ACATTAGGTTTAGACTAGAGATTAGAATGAAATTCTTTAATGTGAGGGTGCTGAGACACTGGAATGGGTTGCCCAGAAAAGTTGTGGATGCCCCATCCCTGAAAGTGTTCAAGGCCAGGCTGGATGGAACCTTCTGGGTGAACTGTGTAGCGGCCAAAAGCTAATAAGGAACAAACACATGCATTTAGCTCTCCATATATGAGAGGAGTACATGGTAATTCAGTAACTAAAATTAAAAGAATATTCATGATCAACTACAGCTTTATAGGCATTGAATAATCTCTTAAGAGACACTTGATATTATCTTGACAATTTCAGACATAAAATATAAGAAAACATGAGCTTGAATTTCTTACCAGTCTCTATGCCTCGTGGCATCAACTTTGCATACTGGAACAAACCAATTTTTAAATAGATTATTATAGGATTAAGTATATAGAGCTGAAGCTCATTGATATCTCATTAATTTCAAATAGGATTATTCTGGTATCAGCTCCATTATTTACTTATTTAACATATAAATTGGGTGGTAGAGAAGCAGAGCAGACATTTTCTGCCATGTGTTAAACGAATTTTCCAAGGAATATGAAGCAACAGACCTCATGGCTATCACAAACAGAAAACTGATTTGGCAGAAGTGGCAACAAGTTCTGACGAACAATACAGAACCACGTGAGTGACAAAAGCATCTTCCAACTAACTAACGGTATCAAAGCTGCTATTAGACCTAACAACAGGAATATAGCATAGTCATAGAATGATCTGGGTTGGAAGGGACCTGTAGAGGTCATCTAGTCCAACCTGCTCAAAATAAGTAAAGACATCTTTGACAAGGTCAGGTTATTCTTAGCCCCATCCCATCTGATCGTGAATGCTTGCAGGGATGGGGTGCCTACCACCTCTCTGGGCAATCTGTTCCTGTATTTCACCACCTTCACCACCAGAAATGCCTTACTTTTATCTAGTCTGAATCTACCCTCTCTTAGTTTAACAATATGATTCCTTGCCGTATCACTAGAGGCCCTACTTTCTTGTCCCCATCTTTCCTGTAAGGCCCCTTTAAGCACTGAAAGGCTGCAATAAAATCTCCCTGGAGCCTTATCTTCTCCAGGCCAACCTCAACTCTCTGCCTGTCCTCACAAGAGAGGCACTCCTGCTTCTGATCATTTTTGTGGCCCTTCTCTGGACTTGCTCAAGCAGGTTCAAGTCTTTCCTGTGCTGGGGACCCCAGACCTGGATCTGTTACAAGTTATATTTCTTTAAAAACGATTATATGCAGAAATGGGGGAAGATGTTGGAAAATTCTTTTAACTTTAGCACAGTAGTGTTTGCCAGGGTTACCATATAGTGCTTAATACTAACATCAGAGACTAATGTGGCTTTGTGTCAATTCCCTACATCTGTGACTAACAGCCTTGTGCCAGTTAGTGCTTCTTTATTTACCCATATCAGCGATTAATATGTACTAGTAGACATATAAGTCTGAGAACAAAGACAGAATGCCAGAGCAAAGAATGATAAGAGAAGTGCATCATGACCTGACCACATATTTGAGATACCCTCAAGGAGAGAAGATACATTAGAAAATCTGGAACCATAGAAAGAAAATCTGGGGAATGTGATGTTCCCAAACAATCACCAAAGACCCCTACTCATATCGAAATAACTCCACAAAAATAATTAGCACACATGAATGTACTCAGGATGTGACAGAAATGTGATGAATATGTATTAGTTTCATGAACATAGCCTGGTCTGTTAGATTGCTAGGCGTGCATTTTGGTGGAGTGATTTCACATGCAAACAGCTGAATAAAGTCATGTTGGCTTTCTAACCTAACAAACTGGTTGGAGAGTTTATTTCCTGATTTTCAGTGATGGATGCAGTACTCCAAGTGGGCTCTCACAAGGGAAGAGTAGAGGGGCAGAATCCCCTCCCTTGACCTGCTGCCCACACTGCTCTTAATGCAGAGCACGACACAATTGACTTTCTGGGCTTGAGTGCACATTGCTGGGTCATGTCCAGCCTCTCATCCACCAGCAGCCCCAAGTCCTTCTTGGCAGGGCTGCTCTTGATCTGCTCACCCTGCAGCCTGTATTGATACCGGAGGTTACCTGACCCAGGTGGAGCACCTTGCACTTGGTCTTGTTAAGCCTCATGAAGATAATATGGGACTGCTTCTTCAGCTTGTCCTGGTTCCTCTGCATTCTGGAGACAGTTCACAAAACACAGTAAATTCTAATCTGAAGCCTTACTGATCCTGCCATCTCTCTTCCTGTTCTTCCATGTTTTATATTTAGTGACTTTTTTTTCCGCTAAAATTAAAGATTTGCAACTCTATGTATGTGGTTTGGGTTTTGTTGTTCTGTTTACGTTTTTTGTTTTACACTGAATGGCAGTCAGAAAACAAATAAGAAATATAACTTAAATATTGTGTTACTAAAATCAATAAATTCTAAACCGATTGAAAAAAAAGAATTAAAACAAATTCATAAGAAGTACACTATAAAGCTGACTAGATAAGTTATTTAGGTAGCAGTTCAAAAAGAGCCACTGTAAAGAAGTTCCTGAGTGAATTAAAAAATGCTCACAAAGCATTACTGCTTGAAAAAAATATTATTTGTTCTGGAACAACTTAAAACTCTAGATGCCCCTGTGTATTATGATTCAAGGTGATGGTAATTAGCCACCAGAGGGAGCCCATATAGTCTGGTACAAGGACATCACTGTACAGATATTTCAGATAAGCAGTAAACTTTACTGTGATTGGTTTGTAGTCTACATAGTAAAACAGCCCTTTCTCAGTACTTCATTTCAGACTCATTCTTATTTTTACACATATAAATAAAACCAAGTGAACTCTGCTATGAAGAACTATAACCATATCTAGAATATGCTGAAATAAACTAAAGTACTCTATACATTATCTTTTTAGATTATTTTGTTTGAAAATACCCACTATCTACCATAGTAGCCCACAAATAATATGGATGAGAGAAGGCCTATATAGTCTTGGGAAATTTTAAAGTATTGCCTTCAAACAGATTTAGGATTGGAATTATAAGCAACAGTGACATCTATAAGACAATTTTGCTGCATTTGTTTTGTATGCCAAGTCAGTATAATTTTTTACACTGAATATTCAGATTTATCTGAGGAGTCATCCCCTTCTCCAGCCTACTTAAAATATACATCTCACAGACTTACAACATTTGCCCCATGACTTAAAATATCTTTTTATCATGAAAAGTTCTCAAACAGAAAAAAGTGGGGCTTTAATCAAGAAAAAGCAGTCCTTAACACAGTGTATGTTTTCATTTGATCCTTAGAAGGCTGATTCTTCAGTCTTCCTTCCAGGTCATTGTAACTGTCAAAGTTTTATGAGTCTAAGTTAATAAAACAAATATAACGGAAATAGTAACTATAATTAACATCACTACTGGTCTGTGTTTCTAGTCTCTGACTCTTCTTGTGAATTTGTCTTCTTTTGCTGCTGAATTTAACTGTGCTTTCCATCTGCACCATGGCTGCTTTACAAAATTGATATCAATACAATGATTTAATGCTGTAAAAGAAAATTCAAGGTGCATATAGTTATATGCTAAATGTGTTATCCTTCCTTAGAATACTTTGCTTAACTTTCTTAGAATACATTTGAAGAAGTTTTTACAGAGAATATAAGTAGGATTTGAAGAACACTGCAAAGCAGCAAACAAGTACAAAATGTATAACTTCTCCATAAAATTAAAAAGTGAAGTGTTACTTTTCTTACAATTACTATGTTGTCTAGCCACAAAAATAACTTGGATGACTTGAAGTGCACCCTGCTCTAGGATACATTAGCAAGGGTCTTTGTAACCCTGGTAGTCAGAATCCTGAATATTAGATAGAGATCCCCAGCCATGACATGTCAGCAACAGCTAATCAAAGAGGTCTGAACACTGAATTTTAATGTGTCTTTGTCCTGATTTCAGAACAACTGAACTTGAAACCCTGAATTTCATATATTTTCTTTCCTAATCTTTACTGAAAAATTGCAAAATACACAGGAAACTTTCAGAAATCATTCCACATACAATCTTACTGCAGCCTATTATGACTGTTAGTGGAACACAGAAGGAATACAAAACAATATTAAGTTAAAAACACCTCACAGACACATTGCAAGATACCTAGCAATCATATTTAACAATTTAATATAATTTTTCATGATCTACTCTAGTATGTACATTCTTGCTCTGAAAAAAAAAAAAATCTTTCTGCTTCTACACGAGAAGACAGAGATGTTAGTAAGGACTCCCAGTGCTGAAGAAAACAGTTAAAAGGTACTAATTCCTGTATTCACACACCTAGGGACTGTTTCATGGCAAATATTAAAGTGACACTAGATATGCAGTACTGTGAGCCTGCCTTATGATGTCAGTCCAGGGAAGTCTTATACGCCATACCCAACCAGCATTACCTTCAGAAAGTACTATTCAATTTGCTGCTTAGTAAAGAAACAATATGCATTATTGTCTATTAAAGTATTGATATTTTATAAAAAATATATTGTACATTTATTAAAATGTTAATTTTGTAAACTAACCAGACTGATACCACTGTTTCAATAGATCAGTAAGAAGCTGTATAGACATCTCCTCTGAATATATTAATAAATTTCTAATAAATAAAGATTTGAAATTAATTTATGCAGAAACACTTAGCAGACAACATATAGTTTGTACAAGGAACTACAGCTGCTTGCCAAGAAACAGCATATAGTACAAATCTACAAATTACCAAGTTTTATGAACACAAATACCACGTGCACATAATAAATTCTGTTATGAATATCTATGAATCATTTAATATCAAAGGTAATGAATACTAAGAACTTGAAATTGCAAATACATTAAAAATATTGTAAATTAACAAACACGGATTTGACTTTTTATGGGGAGTGGAAATTTCCAGTTTTAAAACTAACTTTTTGAATTCTTTTATTTTTAATCTCTTACCAGGTCTTTCCTTGCCAGTTCCTTTTGTCTCAGCAAATTTCTGTATTAAACTCTCAACTGTAGTATTTGTCATGTTATTGATAAACTCTTCGTGCACCTTCAAAAATAAAAAAGAACGCAATTAAACTTTAAAAAGTACTTTTCTCTGTAGTTAAGGTTCAAAATACTTACCTCTAAAATATATTACAGGACTTAGAGAAATCAACAGATATTTTAACAAGGAAATCCCTACTTTACTTTAGTATTAGCTAGTGTGGATACAATACAGATAAAAAATGGAATGTCAGGTCTAGTTTTTACTTCTATTTTTTCCATCTAAAAACCTTGTGTATATATAATTTTCTGAATTTGTCAGCAACATGTTCCCCTACAATGTCAGGAAGAGAAGCAGTTTCTTAAGCCAACACCAGTTAAGGGTGTGAACTGTTACTACTGTATTATCACAACTCCCACCTGCTTGAGCAAAAGCATTACTGTTGTAATGTTTTTGGTCCGACAAAGAAACAACAACATGTTGCTGATAGGTTTTTCCAACAAGGTAGTACGTGAACACGCTGTGTGCCTTAGAAATACAAAGCATGACCCTTGTGATGACCACTCACTAGCAGAAAACCTCAATACTGAAGAAAATAGTGACTCGAAGTGTACGAAAATAAGAAGACACTTCAAAAACCACTAAAAAATAGGACTCCTTATAAAGATTATTAACTAAACCAACTTATATCCAAACAAAAGATACTATAAAAGCTTCTGTTAATAAAGATCTTCTGCTCATAAATTCCAAGTGTATAAAAAAATTTGGAAATTTTTCAGAGTGATATGATTTCTAGTTTTAATCAAAGAAGTAGTATTATGATTATGTGTGAAATGAGTGCTAATTCAGTATCTAGGGAGCAGAAATTGGAAATACACTAAAAATTCTTCAAATTGTCGTAATATTTTGTTTTACATTAAGACAAAATTTATTCAGACTTATTTTGCAAATTTTGTGACACTGAATTTATAAATTCAACAAGAAGCCATGGAAATTTGAGCTTATATTGAATTTCCATAATTTGAAAAGTGTAATTGTCACAAATACAGTAAGAAATATTCCACTTAATAGTTAAGAAAAATATATAGCATAGTCCAAACAAACAAACAAAAGTATAAAAGTTACCTCTCCAATTTGTATATGAATTTCTTTTATAGTATTTGACAACGATTCTATAATCTCTTTCATACGAAGAAGGTGTGTTTCTTCAATGTCTTGAAATTTCTGTAAACCGATATGAGCAATTAGTCATAATAAAAAATATTTTTAGAGACTAAATTTTATTTTAATAATTAAATACCCTACATGGAAAAAACCCGAAACAAACAACTTTTTTTCCCTTCCAGATCTTTACCATGGCAATTACAATATTTAAGAATATTGTAATTACTTCAGAATAATTATTTAAGAATACTTAAATAAGGTGTGGAATTCAGAGGTATGAAATAATGCACTTCAAAAAGCAATATATCCTTTTAGAACCATTATTGAGGTTTTTTTACTTACTCTTTGAACTTTTATCTAATTTTTATTTTCAGAAAAATCTGTCCCATTTCTACCAAAAGGAAATAGGTTCAGAGGGTTTTCAAATAACCCTTCTTTTCTTCATTACTGACGAGTCTTTTTTTTTTCCCATCTAAACTGAGAAATCTTATTTCTGGGTATGTTTTGCACTTTCTTTTTAGTAACCTCTCCTCCTCCTCCTCAGAAATATACATATGCTTTCTCATTTTCTAGTTAAACATACATCCTTTCCTTCTTTAAATAGGATTAATTTGTTTAAATTTTAAACTCACCAAATATAATTTTTGTAGTTTGCTCCATTTTAATCAGGCTTCCAGCTGACATCCATTTTAAAATCACTTCCAAAGATCTAAATGGCTCCTTCCTGGCCAAAAATCAGAACTAAAAACGTCTTCATCCTCCCCAACAGTCAACCATAATTGTTTTGAAATCTTTTACTTCTGCTCTTTCCTACTTCTCTGTCTATTTCTGTAACTGTCTTTTCAAGTGTGTCCAAACTTTGGAGCACCACTTAATCCTCTCTCCAATTTGCACAGGGTTCTCTAAAGATCATCTCTCCCCATTATACACTTCCCACTACTCTGATTCACAGATACAACTCCGTACAGACAGGACAAATATCTATAACTTCTAAACCCTCAGTCTTCTCCCATACTTACATGCCTCTCTAACCATCAATCAGGCAGACTAAAATTATTTTCTTTTATCCAGTAGCCTTCCTCTTAATTACAGAGGATATGGTCATCCTCTGCAGCCTACCCCATGATGTTACTCTTGTACTGATTGCCCTATTATGTCAACTTCTGCTTTCAAAACTATCTCTGGTTTGTCTCTAACAGTCACAGGGGTGTCAAGACATGTACACAATGTGTTCTTTAAACTCTTCTCCTTAAAGAACATGAGAAGTGTTGTCCACACAGACATATATTTTTTAATCTGTTAGCTGAAAGCGTCCCCCTCAATTGTTTTCTTATTTCTTTTTTATTGTTTTATACTTCACATTTAAAGCCTCTGAAGTGTAGCCATCTTGAATAAAGTCAGGTACTAAAATACAATCACATAATTCTTATCACAGGTATAATCACTAGCCAAATTATTTACTTTCTCTTTTGAAAGATCAGTCAATTTTAAAAAGATGAAAAATCACAGTAAGAATCTTTAGCTGTCCAACTCAATATACACCATTTACTCAAGCATTACATCTGTTTTTTATAAATATGTATGTTTTCCTGTAAATTTACAGTGTTTTTTAAAATGCATTCTTACTTATGCTTGAAGTTTGTTCATATGCAGGCTGCTCAACAGCAACATTATCTACATTAAACTCTATCCAGTTCTAAATAAGGTAGAGGACTTTTAAAGAATATAGCATTTTCAACTATTTGATCCTTTCCACTAATTGCCTGAGCTACATGATTTTAAAAAAACCCTCTAGCAAAGTGGAAAATGTGTTTTCTTAGCAGCTGCATAGCAAGTGCATAACACTACTATAGGTGTACTCAAAAACATCCCTCCACATGAGGAATTTCTGTCAAATCCAATTTCTAAACAACGAATTGTGTTTTCCTACTTAAATCACAGTAAACCCTTCCATATTTATCACAGCAATAACCATAACTTGCAAATCAAGACTGGAAAGACCCTATATTTGAATTTCAAAATTCAACCACTCAAAATCATGTGTCATGAGTCACTTCATTTTGCAGTTAAGATAGCAAATGCCAAAAGAGGAAAAATATGTAAAATTTATACAATGTCAGCAAAGTTTAACTTAAAAAAGTGAACAGCTACATTAGGACATTACTACACAATTACATAGAAAAACATCACATCGATAAAAGATGTTTTTCCTCAGAAAAGTAGTATGTGAACATTGTAAGACTGATTTAAGATAAGCCAACTGATTTTGCACTGGAAAAAATAAAAAGACTTACATTCCTCATTAATTTTATTTTCAGAATTATTCTGTGTATTTTCAAGTGAAATGTACTCTGAATTAAGATAATACAGGGTGTGCTTCATGTACAAGTGGGCTTCTATACATTCACAGGTGTTATTTTTCCTATTGCATAATTTTTGAAGTAGCTGTCCTGCACCCAAACTGTAGATGCAGTAAATTACAATTAGAACAAATTCCAAAATTCTACACATACATCTTGAACTTGCAGAATGGCAATTTTCATTTCCAGTATGGAGAGATGTGGAAAGTTAAGTGAAAATTTAATCTTTAAATAAAAGGACTGCTACAATTTAGGAACTAAGCACATTTAGACAAGTGTGGTAAAAAATGCAGCAAGGAGTGGCACGTGCAATGATACAGACAACTTGATATCCTCTGGAATACAGACTGAGTCTTAAAAATCCTTGGAAGCTTTAACAGATGTAAGGGCTTTCCAAAATCTCAGGTAAATCCTGGGGAGACACTTTAACAAGCTGTAACTGAACTGTTTTGATGGAAAAGCCAAGATGTATCCCAATATTAAAACTCCTATGAACAATTTCTGGGTGCCCAGCAATTCAGAGGATTACCCACAAAATCACAATGCATCTACAATACTTCAAGAAGTACCTTTTGCTTTCTTCCTAAAATTTCTTCAAAAACTATTCCTTGAGCTAGTGTTCAGCTGTGTCATTCAAGGACAGTGCTATCACAACATACATAGTCAGTGTTTGCCTTTCAAACAAATCAATTTCCAAAATAACCAATTTTTCAAAAACTTTGATTTCAGATGGCTTCAGAAATGAAATAGAATACATTAATCTATTCCAGATAACTCAATATAACACTTACCTGTGCTGTTTCTGTCATTTTCACTTCAAAATCAGTTTTAAGTGCAGCATACTTCTCCACATATAGTTTATAGGTATCTGTAGCTTTTTTTGATTTAACTGCTGCCTGTAGATCAGTACAAAAGGTGTCAAATGTCATACATATGGTCTGAGCCAAGGTTTTTAAAGTCAATATTAAAAGACAGCTTAGGATGATCCCTAAAAATTATCCAGGGACATATCAAAACAGGGAAGTGTCATAAAAAATGTTATCACCAAATAACTCGTATTCAAGTTATTAGAGATTTCTATTTAGAACTATACATAAAATATGTAAAAAAAATTTAACAAAGTTGTTATGTCATTTAAATCCCTTCCACTTATCAGCAGTGACAAATTTATAATACACTTATTTAGAAATCAAATTTTCATTGCTGATGATAATTCATTAGCTCTGTCAAACATTTACAACAAATTTATATTTGTAACAACAAAAAAAGAAAAAAAGTAGGGTTGGAATATAGAACAAACAGTTATATGTGCAATTCTGAAAAAGTCAATGGTAAAAAAACCAAGATGGTGCAATTCTCTCAGAAATAAGGGAACAAATTCTAAAGTAACGGATTTACATCAACGGATTAACAAAAGTTATCGATGGATTAACAGATACTTGAAAGTGAAGTTAATGCAGAACACACTGATAATCAGATTTATGCAGGTTAGTGTTATTTATAATAGTCCTTCTGGGATTTATAATTGTTTTTTCATTATTTGTTGCTAATAAAACAAAATCATCTTTCTGGGAGTTAAATAAAAGACAATACAAAACACAGGAGAATCCCAGTATTACATGGAAAACAAAACTGAATGAAGTGACGGATTGTGGTACAGAAAAAGTTATTTTCAAAGTCTACAGCATGATGCATGAGATGAAGCCTTTCAGGCCTTTGGTATTTTATTTAATAATGGTTAAATACCAATGAAAATAAAGTTTTGACCATCATTTTTCCCTAAGCTGCTTTGTTCAACATGCCTCCTTTATCTCACTGAAATTTCCCATCAATTGTAACTCAAAAGTATTCCTGAATTGTTAATGACATCAATAAAGACAGCTGTACTTTCACTAATTGTTCCAGTTCTGAGTAGCCCTCTTCCCCTATCAAAGTAATTTCTTCTGTCTCACAGTAAAAGCAGAAACTATTTTTTACTAGCAACGAGTTGGAAAGCTGATCATTACCTATAACATTCAAATTAATTAATAGAAAGATGCCTTCTGGCAATACAGAGATTGATTCTGTAGTTTCCAAGAGAAAAACAAGAGAAAACCATGAGTAATGATATAGCCTTAGCACTTGTTCACCTTCGGAAACATAATCAGAACTTTAAAGAATAGGAACCAAAGCCACAGTTTCACTCTTCCAGTTACAAAGAAAGCTTAAGCAGAAAATACTTCATGAAAGAAGAATATGGATCATTCAGGCATTAAAATCGAGCATGACAGGTTGTATTAAACCCATCAGTTAATTATCCTGAATTCTACTTCATGATTCTACTCACACATTCACACAGGGGAATCATGAAGAAGCACACAGTCCTATCTTGTTTCCCAAATATCATTTACTGTGATAAAAGTACAAGGTGCTCTATGAAATCTTGTTTCTAAAATTGATTACGACTGCTTTGCAGTAAGATCATTCCAAATTTAACCATTGAAAAGGAAGGAAATATCAAGTTAAAAGACTTCATAAAAAGGGGTTTCTGGTAAAGCATTATGTAATTGAACCCCATGTGCAAGGGATTTTGACAAAGCAAAAACATTCTCCATTTCCTATCATGTTTAATGATGAGCAGAATCCAAGTATTTATGCTGAAAAGCATCTAAGAAACTAACTACTCAGTAGGAGAGACAAAATCATAAAACACATGAACACTGATCAGCTACTAATGTCTCCTGAAAACAGGATGTGACTGTTCTCAGGTGCAGCAATTGCTAGAACTGTGTTCAGCAAATTTACAGTAAGTGAAAGAACAAGGATCAGTAAGAATTTTTTGTTAAGTCACTATAAATAGAGAAGTTCACATGTCAAAGAACAACAGGAAATTATTGCATAATAATGGCCAGTCTTCGCGAGCGAAGATCCGGGGAAGGTCTTTACACCTTCCAGCCTGCGCATTGGATTTTTTAGGTGAGACACAGTGTGCGCGGAACTGAGTCCACCCTTTAATCCTAAGGTTCATCTGCCGGGGCCAAGCGAGCTTGGACGGTGGCAGCGAGGTCCTTAGGACGTAGGTGGGTTGCCTTTAAGGGTTAACGAGCCCCACCTGCCCGGGAGTGGCCCTGACCGGGAATCGAACCCGGGTCTCCGCGGTCATAGCGCGGCGCCTTTACCCCTAGACCACCAGGGGCTCCATGGAAATTATTACACAACTTAGTATTAACTTTCAGCTGCAGATACCTCCTCAGATTTTTCAATAAAATATCTCTCCAAACATTTGGCTTTGTATAGTGGTATAGATCCCTTCTTTTCTTATAAAGTAGTTATTCTGTGGTTTTTGATAGAAAATAGTTTTCATGTTGTGCTGAAAATAGTTTTCATGTTGTGCTGAAGTGAAAATATGCTGAAAAATAAGCATATTTTTTACCAAAGGAAAAATAACTGAATACAATCTTTGGTCACCCTGTTTATGAAATTACAAGTGTAAATTTGGATAGATGCATGACTGAAGAGATGTGACAGTACTGGTTACCTGTTCCCACTGAAATAGTTTTTTAAGTACTTGAAGAGCATTTAACTATGACCTAATTGTATCTAAGGACGATGCATAAACCAGTAAAAAATTACCTTCCTCCTATAGTGCTTCCTCTTTCTCTCTGCTCATGCAGACATCTGTCAGGCTGAACATTTTTTTGTTTCCAAATGAACAAGGCCAAGCTACATCTTAAAAACAAGCTTTCCATCAGGTCAGCTTTTTCTACTGAAAAGCTTCAACGTATTTACAAGAAGTCAGAAAAATTGTACTTTGAATATACTGGCAGGAAAACATCTGCCAACACACATATTTCTGATTCACGTCTAGAATCCAACATCAACCGTTGTTTGAGAAAAAGCTAGGAGAAAACAAAATATCTAGATTTATACCAATCTGAAACAACTGGAATATGTTGAACAGAATCACTTTTATCATCAGTGAAAAGGCAATAACCAATTTTATCAAGATAGTAGTATAAAAAGCACAAAGATGATTTTAACAAGCACAGAATCCTACACAGATCAGTTAACTGAAATGGAAATCGGCAGAGAAATCAAGATTTAATATGAGAAGTTCTAGTTAGAGACAAGGAAATGTGACCTCTTTCCTCTACTAGCTAGATTCCTGAAAACAGGAAAAAGTTACAGTGATGCCTGCAGGTCAAGGAAGGTGATCCTTCCCCTCCACTCAGCACTGGTAAGACCACACCTGGAGTGGCGCCTAGTTCTGAGTAGTTCATTTTAAGAGAAACATGGATGTATTGGAGAGAATCCATTAAGAGGCCATGAAGCCAATCAAGGGACTGAAGCACCTCTTGCAGGAGAAAAGACTGAGAGCACTGAAACTGTTCAGCCTGGAGAAGGGAAGCCTTAGGGAAAATCTTATCAATAGATACAAATACACAAAGGGAGGGTAACACAGAGGACAAAGTCAGGCTCTTTCCAATGTTACACAGGGACAGAACCAGAGGCAATGGGCATTAACAGAAAACATAAGAAATTTCCTCTGAGCCTCAGGAGACACCTTTTTCCTGTGAAGGTGACTGAGCCCTGGCAGAGGCTGCCCAGAGAGACTGCAGAATTTCCATCCTTGGAGATGTTAAAAAGCCATGTAGACGTGGTCCTGGCTAACTGGCTTGAGGTAGCCCTGCTTGAGCATGGGGGATAGACAGGATGACTTCCAGAGGTCTCTACCATCCTCAGACATTTTGTACTTCTCTGAATGGATCAAACCCCTCCATAACCCAAGGGCAGTACTAAATACAACATTAAGATACTCATCCCTTGAATTTCTGGTCCATGAAATTGGAACCTTTTAAATTAGCACTGAAAGTATTGATAACATGTTTTTCTTCTTAATGGAACAGACCTTTTATGTAATTAGTTACCTTATCCCACATAAGGGACAACACAATTACTCCTTACTTCAGTAACAACAGCATTGACTATTTGTGTATTTATATAAGGAAATATATTCAAAAACATAATAGATGCTAAAAAAATTATGCAGAATTTCTGTAAAAGCCATTACACAATATTACCATATAATGCTGGTATTTACAAAACAAAGAATTAGAATTGCAGTGCAGTTAGAACAGAGAAGGAAGTAAGAGTAAACAAAACATCACTGGGTATTCAAAATATCATGCACACTATAAAAGTCACAATTACTATTTTTAATTACACTTAACCCTTTCAAAGCATTTTATTCATACAAGGTGAACGCATGACTGATTAATAATACAGTTGAAGTAAGACAGAGCTACCTTATCAACTTCTCTCTGTGTTGCTCCTTCCTTTTTCAAACGTTCTTGTTCAACACACTTTGCATTGTAGTTTTCCTTTGATTTCTGCAAGGCCTGAGTGATACTTTGAATATTTTGCACTGCTTCCAAAGTTCCTGAAACATCCTCTTTAGTCTGCCAAATATCACACAGTTGTCAAAACCAAACCATTTTTATTTTAACATTAACAAGTCATTGGACATGCATAAGGCAAAATTAATAACCTTTTTATAAGCTTTGATTTGTTCATCTCCATACTTATGAACTTCTTTTATTAGCTCTTGTAATCTCCGCACAAGATCCAAATGACAGCTTGCTAGTTTTTCTGTTGAGGTTTTGAAAACATCCCAAACTGGTGCAAATGTCCTAGATTGAGGAAAATAATACTTAATTTTCATCTGAATTTTTTTCTTTTAGTAGGGTTTTTTTTTTTTAATAGTGCTAAAGGGTAATCAAGAAATTCACAGTTCACTTCTGTTCCTAAAATTGAAACAAACACCCCAACAACTGCTATAAATTCATGTTATGTTCCAAATGTACTTGGTATCCTATCTACTAATTTTTCTATGTTTTGTGTTTTACCTGTATTGACTCAAATTAGTAAAACAAAGCAAATTTCATTTAATCCTCTCTATTATCAGGACACAATAATGCCAAGTGGCAAGATGGTGCAAGAGTAGCTTAAAACACGCTTACACCACTGCAAGCACAAGATGGAGAGAAAAAATACTGCCAAAGATGAATTTACTGATCAACAGAGAGGAACTGTATGGCACAGGAAGATGGGATCAATTCGCAGATTCAGATTTCTGTGCTGAATGGACTTCTCTAGCCATTCTAAAGATAAATTTCTACCTCAATTTCCTGGTTAATGCTGCTAAAAAAATCAATACTAATCATACCCTTTAAAGCACTGGTCAAAGGTTCTGTATCTGCTTTTTAAAGAGCAGAAACTGTTTCTACTGAAATCTCTCCACATTTCTAGATGAGATTATTACAAATTAAAAAAAAAAATCTAGCTTCATCAAAGAAGTCTGAGTTCTCATTGGCCTAATCTTTCTGACAAAAAAGCACCCATTAATCATTCCAGTTTTTTTATACCCTGTGTACAAAACTTGCATTAAACTATGGAATGAATCTATGGATAAGTCTCATTCTAAACATCTCTGAGGACAGATAGCACTCCAAAACCAGAAAAAACAGAAATAAAGAAATTAACCACCACATTTATGGACCATAAATTCTCTCTTCAAAATAATTTCCATAGGCTTGAGAACACATAATGGAACTCATATGTCTGAAAAGAACTCTGCCTTAAGCACAGGGGAACAAACAGTTTATCCATGTTTGGGCTTTGGTCTTTTCATTCACCATTTTAAAAAACCGTGCTTAGTTTTTATCATAGCTGCATTACATTTTGCATGGTAACTGAAGAGCTAACAATCATTTTTAAAGGTGGCAAAGTTATGCTAACCTTCAACATCAGGAATAAAATATTCAGAATCAAATTTGATTCTTAACAGATATGCAGTTATTTATTTATCTCTTATGTACAGTTACTTACCCAAGTTGTGTGTAATTGCTTGCTGATTTGGCTAGTTTTGTCATTGACCGTGAATATGTCTCCTCTATTGTAGCCCTGACAAAAACAAACATCAAAAGCATAACTGAAATTTTGAAGACACTCGAAGAGACTTGAATATGCATTCTAAAGGTGCAAGACATAGGACTTTTTACCTTAGCTGAAAATTACTCAATTTTAATGACCCCTCAAAACCTTTATGAAAAATTATATTAGTGTATTTAAAAAAATAATCTAAGAACCCTGTGACAGAACATTACAGGGAATGGAGTAAGTAAAACATAGGAACTGAAGACTTGGAAAAGACAATTCCTTCCATCCTGTTTGCTGTTCTCAATTGTCTTTAACATTTTTTTAGTAACACACAGAATGAAGTGTCATAACAATCACCTGTCTAGCACTGTCTAAGCAGAAGAGACTTACACAGCAACAAAATAAAATATATTTGTAATGAAAACATCACAATAAACAAACTGAATGTTTACTAAGCAATCACATTAAACAAAAAGAGGTCTTGTCTAGTCTTGGGGGGGGGTGTTTTTTCCTTTAAATTATTTGCATAGCGATATCTGAGTTTGGAAACCAAATAACATGCAATGATAAGTACTGTGTTCTACTTTTAATACTCATTTTTAAAGAAGATTGTCTCAATACATTCAGATTTATTTTGGAAAATTTCTTCCCTACACAAAGTTTTATTATATTTTCTTTCATTTGAACACACAATTTCACTCGTCTTGCAGAGATACCAAAACCATGGGTCAGTACAGATTTCCTTCTTAGTGCCTCTGCTGGGGCAATTGACATGGAATAACCTACTGCAGCAGTGACGCCGTGCAAGTCCTTCCTCACCCTCCTATTATTAAAGACACATAGTATTTTAATTTTCTACCCTAAACCAATATTCATTATGTAATACCAATTTAGATTTAGAAGTATCCTGGATTTCAGTAAATATTGTAATTGCCTTTTCTTGAAAAGTTTGAAGCAATTTCTTTCCTACTGTGTAGTACCTTTACATAGGGAGAAGAGAGAATAAAAAAGGGAGATGAAGAATTCAGCCCTCTCTCAAGTTATAGTATGAATATAACCTAAGGTTTTTATCTCTCTTGTACAGCAACACTTTCCAAGCAACACTTGTGAAAATATGTAACAAACTAGCAGTAGTCACCTGTGACAGAGAGGCATGTATTACAACCTTACAAAATAACTATCCTATTAGTTGAAAATAAATTTGGAAAAGGGGATTAAATTCTAATACGGAATAAATAAATTACATCTTAAATACCACCTACTGTGAAGTTATTCACCACAAAAAAAAAAAAAAAAGGTCAATTAACTTTATCCTACTTCCATATATGAACATACCTTTGATGATAAGAAAAAGTTTAAATTTCCAAGGTTTGGAATTCTTGATCACTGTACAGCAGCAAGAACATAGACATCAAGCAGAGGCAATGTGGGGTTTTTTTTTTAATTACCACAGTGAACAATATATTTTGATTATTCATAAATAATTTTTATCAAAGTTTTCTAGATTGTCTACCTTAGTGACTTATTTATCCTCCTTGGTTTTTAAATACAAGAATTCTGACCAAAATCCACATCTATTCCTTGGACTAATTTACAGCATACTTACCTGAGCAATCTTCACAAACCTGGAGTTCTGCCATTTACTGCACAACATCAACATACATCAGTTATAAACACCAACAACTAGAAGATGCTGTTATGGACCAGCTGGGAACATACATCTACATTTATCCTACCAACTGACTTTCCAGAGCACTTTGATGTACAGGTAACACACTATGAACTCCTTAAATTAAAAAAATTAAATTAATTTTCATCCATTTGAATACTTGTCTTTGCTTGAGACTTGCTTAACACTTAAAAGTTAAATGACAATATATGCATTGCCAATTTCATCTGATCTAGAAGATTCTTTTTATGATGCTTACATACAGCTGGCACAGAAAAATATTAAAAAGACTTCTGAAGAAAAGCAAACATATTCCTATTCCTATTTGGCTCCTAGATGAGCAGAGTGGTTTCTTACATATAAACAGTTAAGGTACTAAATATACACAAAAACAAGATAGCTCACCTACAAAATCTTCACAGTATTTAAAGGAAAAACACCTATGTGGGCAGCCCAACCTTCTTATTTTCACTTCTTTAAAAACCAAAAATTTATACATGTTTTATCAAGAAAGCATAGCCTTTATTCAACGTCAGGTTGGATGGGACACAAACAACTTGGTCTACTGGAAAGTGCCCCTGTCGACAGCAGGGGGATGGAATTACATGATCTTTAAGGCCCTTAATGATCTTTAAGGTCTCTCTTGTCCCACCCAAGATTTACCAATACTGAGCAGACTGACTGCCAGAAAACCCTTTCAGATTATACACTCCTGAACCACAGATCCTACTGCCTTTCAGTTCTTTTAGTACTTGACCAATAACAAATACTCAAGAGTAAAACTGAAAAAGTGAAAATTGAATTGGTACTGACTCATTGAACACAGACAAAGAGGAAAACCTCTGCTCCTTCTAGGGATATCCACTAGGAATAGTAGATACAGTATAAAAATATTAATACAAATGAATAAATTTCAAACACTTTTGTTTTTCTCCGCGAGAACAACTTAACAATCTCAGAATGGTCTTACAGAAATTTTGAGAGAAAATTCTTAAAAAAGAAATCCTTATGCTAACTATAGTTATAAAAATTTATCCAATATCTTATACATTTTTTCATTACTAATTCTGGAGAAAAGGAAACAGTACGCTTCCCTAATTAGGCTACACACAGCTAAGCAGTAGTTTAGTTAATTTTTCTGAACAGTACAAGTAACAGAGATGGGCTTCATACAGAAGTGTCTTTTGTGCCCTAAGCAGTCTGTACATTCAACCACACTACCGAGAACACGTAAGTACTCTAACTTATTAAAAGTATTACCAACAACTTGGATCTGTCTCTGCCTATCCAATAGTTTTCAGTGTTCACTCTCTTAAATCTCCACTTCTATAAAAAAAATAAAAAAAGAAAAAAAGCTGATGTGTCAAAAGGCATAGAAGGACAGATGTGAAGTTCAAATTTATGTAAGTTTAGCTTTCATAGCTAAGGGTTCAGTAAATCAGGTACACTAAAGTCAGAGCATAAAAACAACAGGGTATAAAATCTCAGTGACTCCTAAAAAATGTTGCCCATCCACTTAACATACTTTAGCAGAAAACAGTACTATAAAACAATATTTAGATTATTATCTGCCAAACAAGGAGGGGAGCAGATAATCGTGTGTAACATCTCTTAATTTCTCTGCAATAAACAAATATGCAAAATAGATCATGAACAAGACAACTGGACCATTGTAAAATACTGCTGAAATACTGTGCAATCCAATTTTTTTTTGAGACCAAGAATTTGACCCATGTGAAAAAATGTGTTCTACTGGACCATTTCAATCTCCCACGACGCTGACTGACATCCTACAGTAACTTCACAATGTCAGCAAAGGGCTTCACTGCCTAGACTTATCTCCTAAAAGGTTTTAGTAACGAGAGGACACCAAATATTTGGCGTGTCTCCATTTCTTAGAAACTAAACGGTATGCCACAAACTACTGGTAGCTTAGGCTGTGATTGATCAGTGATTCACCCCCTCACTTGAAAAGAAGTATCTATTTGTTACTCAACTGTTTTTTTTAATTGCATCCTGGCACACTTAGATGAGGCAGTAAAAGAAGGGTGACGAATACTCCATGGAGGTTTAATATCCCAATGGGAGGTCATTGGAAAGGACTAAACTAAAACTCCGGTCTGCATCACTGACACATGTTTTCCAATCCCGGGGCAAGTTGCTCTTATGGAAATATACTGCAGCCTTATCAAATAAATTCCAGGGTAGCACTAAAATTCTAGCAAATCTCAGCGACTTAATGCAAATTGAATTTTTTTCACAAATCTTACCAAAAATGCTCTAAGATGGCTGCATATCTTTTTGGCACATCCTGATCCATGCACAGGAAAAAACATTTCTTGACTCCCCACTGAAGGATAAGGTATTCAATGTGGATCCTCATGTATTCCTACATAGTCATTAATCTTCATAACTTATTTAAATGTTATTTAAACATGCTTGAATGAGGAAAAAAACCTGTCCCCTTCTTGACAAACCACAAGAACTAATTAGCAGAAACTTGTGCTGAAACATTTTAATATGTGCAAGTTCGTGAAGCATTAAGCATTTCATACTACTTGAGAACAACGTGATATCCCTCTCCTGAATCCAACAGAGAATTTCTCTGGAATCCTCTGTGGCTTCAAAATGCATTCTCTGAAATCAGGGATTCTTAAAACACAAGATTACTTGGGCTGTGCCCTCCTTTCAACAGGAGGCTGCCCATCTCACAGGGACTCTGGAACTCATCCATTTCTACTTAGTGAAAAGGTTTTTGTCGTTTTCTCCAATCCACTTCTAAACTACACAAAAGTCAGATTTGCAGTGGAAATTTTGTGGATTTTGTGGAAATTTAAAAGACTATTTTTTTAATTGAGAACTACTTGAGGTCAAAACTTAAATTTTGATCAAGAATTACAGAAAATAAAAGCTGGTTTTTGGGACATCTCCAACTGAAAGAAGTCGTCATTGAAACAGATCCTCAATCAGCCCCTTGCAGGTATTTTCCACGTGTTATCTAGTGTCAGTAACTGAATGAAGAAAAAATCCTGAAGCAAACATACAATCAATTTTGTTCAGCAGGGAAATTCTTATGTTCAGCATAGCAGCAGCACTCTTCTTTCACGAAGAACTAAAAACAGAACTAGGTCATCTGTTTTGGAACTTGTCACATTTTTAGATTTCAGTCTTGTTTCTTCCCTTTCAGAGAAGAACCGCTGTTATTTTCTGCATGCTCTTTTCTTGTCCCTATGTATCACTCTCTTTCCTTTAACAAACCTTTTTGTCTTATTGTCTCAATATCTGAAAGTATAATTTTTTAAAGATTATACTAGCAGTTGCTAATAGTCTAATTCTAGACCTATAGTCAAAATCTTCACAAAACTGATAATTTTTGCAACTTTATCTTTTTTCTTCAAAACAGGATGAAGAATTTGGAATAATTTAAATAAACTGCTGGACAACTAATGTGACACTTCTAGATTTTTACTCTAGTTTTTTAAGTGAAACTTGAAAAATTAGAAGCTTGTTATGAACTGGTGTTTAAGCATCCCTATTCAGCTCTAAGTGAATGGATTAAATGTAGATATTCCTGTAGGATATAAGAGTTATATTAGATTTTTACTTATTTCATATTTTGCATGTTGCTGTTAAAATACAATGATAAACAACAGAAACCACAAACACCATATTAAAGAGTTGGGATTACTAAGGATGAATACTTACCTTTCTCTTATAAAGTCTGCTAAGTCTTTTGTGGACAAATGTCCATGTTTCATGTTATGATAGAGCACATCAAAGCCATTGTTCCTTTCTCCCTAAAGATAAACAGAAAGCAGAACTATGAAACACAACGTGCTTGAACCTACATGTTTTAATAACTGCTCAAGTTTCATGAAGTGAATTATTTCTAATGCTTCAGCTTTTTAAACAGCTGCTGTTAGCTCCTACTAACCCCATAAATGTAAGCCAAACTAAAATCACCTCAGCAGCTACAACTACCCTTCTAATGCATATTTCTAGGCTCTATTCAAAGCCATTTCTTTTGTAGATTTCTAGCAATCTTGTATTCTTTCACTTCCCATCTTACTAAGTACTGTACTATCTCTTCATTCTTTTATATCTTTCATTATATTCCATGAACTAAAATTCACACTTTGAAATCACTAGATATCCTGCTTCCCCAATCCATCACACTTCATTTATCTTCTTCTGCTTTTTGTAAAACTGGTTAAAAAAAAAAAATCACTAATCTCTTCCTTCTAACAAGTAGCTTTCCTTTCTCTGTTCTTAAGTTTTAAAACATTTTCCAGTGAGTAAGGTGTACCTCCGTAATAGAAGTGAGATGCCCTAAACACTGATTAATAAACTCAGCCAGATTATGACCTCTGGCACTATGGTGGATTTCCACCTGACAGGAGAATGCAACAATAGAAATGAGAGGAAGGCGATGCAAGACACAGCATAATAGCACTGCTACCATAAAAGTATTCCTGTCAAACTATCCATTCCCCTCCTCTATCCCACAAGGTTCAGATCCATAATGCTGCTCCTACAAAAGATACAGAAGCATGCCGTGATGAAAACTGCATGCATCTTCCGAGTGGAAGGCAAAGAAGACTAGGATGGGATAGGATGGAATGGAATAGATGATTTCAGCTGGAAGAGATCTACAGTCATCATCTCACCCAACTGGCTGACCACCTCAGAGCTAACCCAAAGTTAAATCACGTTAAGGGCATTGTCCAAATGCCCCTTTAAAGATTGACAGGCTCAAGGCATTGACCACCCTCTCTAGCAACCCTGTTCCAGTGTTTGATTACCCTCTCAGAGTAAAGAAATGCTTCCTAATGTCCAATCTGAATCTTCCCTGGAACAGTTTTCAACCATTCCTATGCATCCTATCACCGGATCCCAGGGAGGAGAGATAATCATGTCTCTCCGCACTTCCCCTGCTTAGGAAGTTGTAGAGAGCAATGAGGTCACCCCTCAGCCTTCTTTTTTTCCAACTGCACAAGTCCAAAGTCCATAGTAGCTCGTCACAAGACATGCCTTCCAGCATTCTTACCAGCCTTCTTGTTCTCCTCTGGATGCATTTAAGTACTTTCACATCCTTAAAATCCCGGACTTTTCACAAAGACAGCTCTATATTGTCAGTGAGAGAAGCCTGAGAATTTGGTCACATACCCTTCCCAACATTTCTGTCTGTTCAGTTCTGCAAAAATTTGTTTGTGCAGCCATAAGGAAACCTAATAAGGGAAATTATACAGCTGAAAAGCAAAGCTGGCAAATAAAAACAAGGAGTACTGATCCAGATCACTACAAGGACACAAACAAGCTGCATTGCTCAGCCAAAGAGGCGTGAGCAAAGAGAAGGCATGTAGGAATGTGCCATTTGAAATATGCAGAAGCAGTCATGGGTAGATAGAAGAACATAGCAGCCATGGTATTAAGTCCACTTCTGCGAAGCTGGAAATTGCCTTAAAGGACACACACACAGACAAATAAATTCACAAATAACAGAAAACTGAAGGCAATTTGATTCAGATTACTAGCCAGGATTATTTGTTTTACTTCTTCCAAGCATTGGGGAAAGCTAAACCAAACAAAGAGGATAATAAAACACCTACAAAAATCACAGTTCCTAAGATTGCAGTAAATTGTAACCTGAAAAAGTGCATCAAAATTCAGACCAGTTTGGCCTGAGTGTACTAACAGTCTGTAAAAAGTACAAGCAGTATAAACTGAACACAATAAATACAGCAAACTCTAAAAGGACTATCTAAATAGTAAGGCTTTTGCAAGATTTAAAAATAAAAGTATAAGAACACCAATTAGTAGAAAATGTAATTTCTTTTAAAATATTGTTTTACTTTTTGCAGTATCAGTCTAAATAGTTTCACTGCCCTTTAACTCCTATCTAAACATTTTTTCTTGTAGTTTGAAGCCCACAATAATTTTGAATACTGGTGCACTAACTTATTAACTTTATGCAGTTAATCAATATAAACCCTGAATGCCACTGCATTATAATTAAGTTTCCAATGTTTCCAATTAGAATACAGAATATAATTCTTATTAAACTACTCCAAGGTTGTTACTGTGCTGAAATTTAGAGATAAGCATTTACAAGTAATTATTAGGCATTTCTTCCAGAAAAACTAATAAAATTCTCCTTTATGAAATGTTCTTTGTTGTAAGGTGTTTATTCTTTCTAAACCAATTTGCTCAAAATGCACTGAACACAGGCTGCTTCTCAACTTTTTGTAATGGGGCCTTTTCTACACTGGAGCTTCATAAATTTCCTGTCACTTTCGAAATGCAGGAAGGGTAGCGTAGCCATGACCCAGTCTTTGGTTGCAGCCCTTCTGATAAACTGTCAAAAATGTAACTGTGCAAATCTTTAGAGAATGGAATGAACTAAAACAACGAATTGCCATCATCATCTTGTTCCCAAACTGTAACTGAAGGTTACTGCAAAGGAAGTAATTTTCCCACTTCAATTAGTTTTTTTAATCAGTCCTGCTCTTGTTCCTGATTTCACATAAAATAGTAGAAAGCATGACAGAGAATCAGAACAGATACTATCCTTAATTAAAATAAGTCCCCTGAAAGCCACATCCTTATACATTATCAATAGTTATCAGAGGTTAAAAGTCTATACGCAAAATACATTAAAGTTTCAACAAAACAACAAGCTGAAAGCAGGCACCCAGATTTGAGGGTCCATGGGGTTTAAGCATGGCACAGCTAAAGACACGGCTTCACTTGTAAATATAATGTGAAGTACAACCTCTCTTACCAATATCAGGCTCTACCTGATAAACATCTAGATTTCAAAGCAAATTTACATGATCAATAGTTCTGATGACTAATCTGATGATAATTTACTCAGGTTTGGAGACGTGTACCTAAGCCAAATCAAGTACAGTACCTCAGTGCAGAGAGCAGTTTTTCTGTTTTAGGAAAACCTATACAACCTATCCACAATTTCTCCATTCAGTAGTTATGTTTGTGAAGAGCAGCAGTTAGAGTTATTTTGTATTTAACACTGATATTGTACATGTGATGACTAAGAGGAAAAGTTCAATTTACAAAAGCCAAGTATGTATCATCTTGCATACACACAGGCCATAAACACTGTTTGTGTTTTGGTTCCCTCCCCACATGTACTGCATAGAATTCTGTACATGGCAATTGCGTGTCTAGACACTTTTTCTTCATTGGGTGTTTTTACCTGCTCCTTCCTAGTGGCAACATAACAGCTGTGATCACCAAAAGGCCAGTACCAGCCTACTTAAAAATAAATTAATGCAGCATATAGTAGAAGGAACTGGTGAAACCTTCCACTCCCATTCTGAAGCAATTACCATCCACTGGTATAACAGATCAACAGGGAAGTCAGATAGAGATTCTTCTACAAGTTGCATACTGAAGAAAGAGGATTCTCTGTTGTCATGTATAACATTAGATTCTATGTAAGAGACTTCCGGATCAGTTTGGCAGACCATTCTGAGTGTCATTTTGCACATAAACCACCATCTGTTGAGGATGATCCTGTCAGTATTCAACAGAAAACAACTGTAAAATTGTGTATGAGATTGTAAAATAAGTGGTCCTCTCCTATATAGGAGAGGACATTTAATTACTTTGAAGTTCATTAGTAGTTTTATCCTTCCTCCTCAAAGCTAACAAAACTCTCTTTGGAAGCTGGTGTTCTTGTTGAGGTTTCCTATTATATCGCGCTGTAAGAAAGCTCTTTTGTATCTATAGCACAGGTGTCCCCTGACAGCAGTCCATAGGAGGAAACAGGACTTCAAATACAAGTAAACACTTCGCTTAAATAAGCCTACAATGAAGCATTACTGACCAACTTTGCACACAAAACAAATTAAAAGTCACAGAAAGCAAGGGCAAACAGTCCTTCCATTTCCCTTCATCAAGAGCTAGTTGCAATGATTTCCTCATGGAAATGAAAGTAGCCCTGTCAGCAAATGTGAACTCAGAAATCAGCATTTCCATGGCTTGTGCATAACAGGAAACAGATTACAGGAACTGTGTTGCACTGAACTACTTGAAATAATTTTAAAAGTTTTAAGAATATATTTGTTTGTTGCAATAAAAGTAATTTTGAATTTAAACCTACATTTAGTAAAGTACCCAGAAATTTCTGGGCAATCTGCAGTAGCATTTATTTCCTGTGTTTCTAATCAAATTGAGTGCAAGCACTATCTCCTCTGGATCAAAACTGTCCAACATTAATGTCTAGTGTAAAAAAGCTTATTTCCTGTTAAAGCACTTTCTATTTACCCAGTACAAACACGTTTCTATGAGGGTGACCCTAAAGTTCCCATTACTGATCAGATACTAAATTCAGGGAGATATAAACACATTTTAGATACTCTGAAAAACACTGTTGTCATTTTTATTACAGTTACTCCTTGTTGCAGTTTCAAATCAGTAAGGTGTTTCATGCTTTCTAGCTAGATAATGATTTATTGGGCCCTGCATAGAAGAAAATATTCCTGTGTTTAATCTTATATGTGTTATTACATTTCTGAAAGCTAACTATCAGTAAATTTCATCTTGTGAGTGTCTGAAAAAGCTGTCAAAAACCTGAGTATTGAAAAAAAGCAGTCACTTGATGCTTACAGAGGCAACATATCTTCTTAGTTCTGAAAAGTTTTGAGAAGATTGAAATTGCCAGGTTGCTTTTGTCTTCAATTTCCTTCTTCCAGTTTCAATATATTAAAAAAAAATCAGCTCCAGAGAAGCTGTACGTTTATGAGGAAGGACAGATATTTTCCTCCATATACAGATCACTAAAAATATTTTCTAACAAACAGATGGAAAGATGGCAACTCATGCTAGATGCACACATGCAGAAGGAGGAGACTAAGCAAATATTGCACAACAGCTCTCCTGAAGCAGAGCATCCAGCTGTATGCCAAGTAGAAGAGTAATGCTGTGTAAACACATGAATGGAACCACAGATGTCAGCATGACAAGTCTCAGTGTCACTCATATACTCACGCAAGTTTGTAGGAAAATACATTTTACACTTAATACAGCAAGTCTCTTTGCAAAGCTAAGATTATTAAACCTAGATACTGCCAGCCCTTACATGTTACAAAAGCTCCTGAAAAAAAATGAATCCTCCACACAGTCATTCTTAAAAGTTACAAGTAACACAACCAATTAAAAAAAAAAAAAAAAAGAAATTCATCAAAGCCAATAGGAACATACACTTTTATGTCCCAAAACTTCCAGAGTTACCAAGCATAGAAACCAGTTCTATACATAGAACTTCCAACAGTTTTATCAAATTAATTTTAAATGATTCACAAAAAACTGACTGTTTTGGAAGAGGCTTATTTTTCTGACTTTATTAATAGTAATTCTATTAAAATGTGTCAAAAGCATCATCTGCACCAGTCAGTTTAAATACAATGTCAAAACTTAAGCAATATTTTCTGTTAAGAAAAGAGTAAGTCAATGATAAAGAACACTTTCTATTCTACAGTACCAGTCTGAGCATCATCAAAGTGACAAAATGCAGCTATGTTTAATGGAAACAGCTTATAGAGTTACCTTTAAATTACAATATTGTTTTGATGCAGCACATATACAGCAGCAAGCACACAACGTTTTATGATAACATCCTAATTAGGAGTTGGGAATGTTTGGCCACGTGACTTGAATGCCTAAAACTCAGTCATAAGAATCAAAGCCATTTATAGCCTGCACTACTAGTTCATAACTTTTGATACCCAAAAATACCCTCCTGACTTCGAAAATTGCTGCTCCAGAGTGCCACGCTCCTGTAGTACTTTTCAAGTGATAGTAAAATTTTTCAAGTGACAGTACAGGCCTCCGTACTTCAGAGTACACATCCTGAAACAGTCTTATCTGTCAGGGACCTCTTGCCAAGACTTCTTTCCAAGAGAGGGCAGGCCCATAAAACATCCAATTTTCTTATATCCTCTAACAACAACAACAACAACAAAATGTTCAACTACTCACTTTTAAAAGCAGGGCAAGAGGAAAACCTCATAATAACCTTCAAGACTGTTACAACAAAGAAGGTAAGATTTGTTTTGTTTATACGAGTACTTTTATCAAGACAACAGCTTAAATAGCCTGTAAGGAATTGATACATTCACACATTTGTCTCCTTTTCTGAAGAGATCAGTTAAGACAGTCAAGTTTCTGATGCCTTTTCCTATCAGTTACAGCAAATTACCAAATCCAGGAAAACCACCACATAGCTCAAGATCCAGACTTCCATTTCCAATGAACAATTTCAGCTGCAAACTGCTGACAGTATGCACATCAAATATTAATTATGTTTTGGATTTATTTTCACATCAGTACTTTAAAAAGCCTAATTATTCGATTTCATAGGTGATGAAAATATTTTTCCTGGTGTTACTTAGAAGGGCAAGACAAAAGTAAGAAATAGAAGACAATTCTTCATAAGTTCTACACTCTACCATGTTCCTTTCTCCTTACATATTTCTCTTAATTTTCATCATCCAGAATTTTAAGTCATTATGAATTCAGTGCATTTTAACATTCTAATTTCCATCTTAACTTTCTCACTACAATTCAAAGCCTATATAGACTGTGTCCCAAGTCTTTCAAAACACAGCAATACTGAACAATAACCTGTTCTGAAAAGTTAGTAGAAATGGAGAAGTCTTATGATTCAAAATGCACAGATCTCTAATTTCCTCCTAGTTTTGCTGATATATAGAAACTCAATACTTTAAGACTTTACAAATTCATCCCCACAGTTAGTCTTGAAAGACACTTACCCACAAGAGTAAAGAAGGAATATTACCCGTTCCTTTTAATGTTACTTCTACACAAAAGAAAACCCTGCTCAGGTATTACAAAAGTTTCTTGCTTAAGTGTTGCAAGTTAAGATCCTTCCTCATGCCTTTGTTGTCACTACAATACAAATAAGAAGAATACACTTCTTGTTCTACCTTGTGTCATTTTTGGAAGCAGGAGAAACATCTGCAGTAACAGAAGAAATCCCCCTCCTCCTGGCACTCACTGATGACCCACACTAGCAGTTTTACTAAAAGAGCTAAAAAGCAGAGACTTTGTAGAGCAGAAAGAGAGAATGAGAATTTTGGGTAGATGTCAACTACCTCATATTTGCCAATAGGATTTGTGAAGTCACAAACAGGGAAACAGAACGTAATTGGAAGTGGGAACAGCCCACTGCCTTCAATGATTTAACTAACAAAATAAAATACAACTGATCAAATAGTTAAATGAACATACCACAAGTCCTTAACATAGTTTAATAGAAAAGTGCTGATCTCAGTTGCAACAGCTGAATAAATAACTCCTATTTTACTTTGACATTACACAAAGATAGTAACTTTTCCAACGAAAATGCACCTTTTTATATAAATTTTAATCTTATTTTTAGGAAAGATAAAAGTTTTTCACATCAGTTTAATACTGATCTCCCACAGTGAGGTTTCAAATTAAACGGATTTGGTATACCAAGAGAGTAAATCTAGTATCTTGTTTCACTAAATTTTAATAGTATGTTAAGAACAAAACTAGAGGAGTCAAAACTAAATACAAAGCTGCAAATAAAACATGAACTTGAACTACGCCTTATATTCAAGAATAGTGTATTATACTTGTGAAATTAGTTTTCCCTAAACTTTAAGTATAACTGTTGCTTACACTGAAAAAGCAAAAATGTAAAAGATATTTTTCTGTCACTTCAGTGTCAACAAATAATATGCTTTATGTTTTCCTTATTAGTAGTTAGATCGGCACATTAAAAAAAACCGTAAAGTAGCAACTTTGAAAACAGAGAGGTGATTACAAGAACACTTTAATGCTTCAAAGTGTCAGGGGTCACAGTGAAACCTAGTTGCACTTCATAAGAAACACAACACTAATCCAAACCCATAGCTTAACTTTTCATCCATATATATCTACCCACTTAAAATCGCGTGTCTGGAGCCAGCTGGAAAGCCTGTTGTTTCCCTGGACGGATGGTACTCGGGCTGTAGCTCCTCATGGGCAGAGGAGACGAGTTAAGGGTCTACAAGCGCGGAGCGCCGAGGGGCGGCTCCGCCTTGGTACGGCACAAACGCGAAGCTGCTCCAGGCAGGGCTGCTCGCCCGCACAGCAAAGACCGCGGCAGCCCCGGGCACACCCAGGCACGGCCGTGCCCGCCAAGGACAGACCCCCGAGCACAGAGCCACGTCCGCGTATCCCTTGGCCCAGTGCCCCGCGCCGACCACCCATCCGATCCCATCCCACCCCACCGCAGCGCACCCCTCTCCCTGCAGCGGAGCCCGAGCACGGCGGCGGCGCCGCAGGGGCGACGGTGCCCTTGCCCTGCCGCGGGCTGCAGGTCCCCCTCTGCCGCACGGCCCTGCCCGGGCGCAGGGGGCGGCAGAGACCCCGGCCGCCAGGCCCCGGCCCAGTCCCGGGGGTGGCGTAAGAGCCGAGGCTGCTCCCGCAGCGGGGACGGCGGCTGCCCCTCGCCGCGCCCTGCCCGTCCCGCCCGCGGCGCGGCCAAAGCGGCCCGCGGCGCCGACCTACCCAGAAGTTCTCCACGAAGTACGCCATCCCTCCTCCTTCGCCGCCCCGGCAGCACCGGCGAGCCCGGCCGCGGCCGCCGAGACGCGCCGAAGGAAACGGGCGCCGCCACCGCGCTCCGCCCTTCCCGTGACGGAGCCGCCGCCGCCGGCAGCCCTGCGCCTGCGCAGGCCCCGCCGCTCGGGCCGCCGGGAGGGCCGGGGAGCCATCTGGGGAGGCGGCGGCGGCCGGTCCCGGTGTGCAGCAACGCGGGCACTGCGGCAGGGGGCGGGCTCGGGAACCTCCAGCAAAACCCCTCAAACGTGTGGAGCAACCCCGGGGAACGGCTACACGGAGTGCCACCGTGCACGGGGAGAGGAGACTCTCCTCTTTGAAGCTTCTTCACCTAGAGGGTGGTTGGGCACTGGAACGGGCTCCCCGGGGACGCGGTCACAGCACCAAGCCTGACAGAGTTCAAGAAGCTTTTGAACAACGTTCTCAGGCACATGATGTGATTCTTGGTGATGTCCTTTTCAGGGATAAGAGTTGGACTTGGTGATCCTTGTGGGTCCCTTTCAACTCAGAATATTTTGTGATTCAGTGAAGTGGCTTCACAGCCAAGCCTTGGTCCAGCCAGGAATGGTAAGTAAGGTCCTTCAAAGCAGGTGATGATGACTAGTCCTACAGGGAATGTTACTGATAAAGCATAGTGTATCCTCCTAACTGCATCCTCCCACGGGATTTTACAGTTCCAGTCACACGCTTCTAAGAGAGATGCACCTTATCTAAAGCCTAAGTGTCTGGAGAAATTCTTTGATTCAGACCTTCATCTTCTTCAATGACAGTTCATTTTTCAGACCCTTCATTGATTGGGGATAGATTATTAGCCAGCAGGGGTGATGCCAGTTGTTGGTCCAGAACATGGAGCCACTCAAGTGCCACCTGTGGGCAGTCTACGTGGGGTGCTGCTTTTCAGTGTGTATATATAGTCTTTATGGCAGAGCCAGCACCACTGGGCTCTTTCTGGGACCCCAGAGAGTTCCTGTTCTCCCCTAATGAGGTGATTCGTTCCCCAAGACAGCTGTTAGGTTTTCATTATTGACTAAAATCAGAGGGCAAGGTCTAAGAAGTAATATGAGGGGCTGCAGCTCACTGTCCAGCACAAACCTGGTTTATCCCAACTTGATCTATGGTTATGTCAGCACAACGTTTTGTACAAGATACAAAAAGTAAGATGCTGATATCTGCTGGATGTTCAAGGGGATCCCTTCCCCCTGACAGAAACCCTCTTAGTTTTAGTTTGAAAAACCTCACCTGTCTTCACCTTAATACTGATGTTTTTTGTACTTTGTTCAGTAAATTAAGGGATAGATCAGAACACTGAAGTCATCCTTTAGAACCTGATGAATTCAGAAACTTGTATCAAATTTATGCTGAGTAAAGACTTCCATGAAAGAAAACACTTAGGAAAAATGTAGTTCAGAAGTTTACAGAGCTATAGAATTTCATCTACTTTTATCAAAGATACTTTCATGGAAGATGAACAGTATCATTCTGAACTGGTATTACAATTATTAGGGAATGACTGTAGCTTTAGTCCATCACTTCCTGTAGCTCCAAGGTTAGTTTAGAAGTTTCTTTCTTTCTAGCAATGTTCTTCCAAAGTTCCAGTATATGCAAAGCTTGCTAAGTTGCCAAAGCCAAGACAGAGAAAACTTCTGGATCCTTTCCATAGTAGAAATTTCTTTAAAAGTCCCAAGGCTGTTAGATCTGGATCTCTCTTGATAAGAGTATTGTTACAGGACTACATTTAAGGAAAACTCCTTTATGCATCTGTTTACTTGATATAAGCAAGCAGTCTTCATTATGATCTGAAAAAAGATATGATCATAGTACATTTTGCAGTGTGAGCTGTTATCTGTAAGGATGTACACTAGGGCAAACAGTAAGATATAAAAGCTGCGTGATCAGAGCTGAAGCTTTCTATTCCATAGAAGATAGAAATATACCTTTCACAGGAACAGATACTATGATATGATGGAAGGAGAGGTTCATTTTTACATTTCACAGAAAAGTTCCCATATTCCACATTTTCAAAGCTATGTAGTAATCCCTTATATACTGCTATATCTAGATGTGAAGCCACTGCTGCAGTTCTTCAGCATTGCAGCATGACAGAAATACCAAACAAATCCTCAGCTTTTTCAACAACAGCTTTCCACATAAAGTTGAATGAAATGCACAATCTTAGACATGAATATTAAGGCATATCCTCCAGCATGGGTGCAGTTATATAGAAAACCACTTTGATAGGAATGATGATCAGAATCAATACTTATGTTTCTAAATTTTTCTACATAGAGAAATCCAGAGTGGATTACTAAAAGCAGAGACAATGTCCCTTATTCTGGAAGTCTCTGATCTGCAAGTTAGTGAAGCCTTTGGAAATTCTTTGCATTAGCATAATTTATAGTTCTTTAATCTTAACTTCTACTCTAGGTATTGGCTGCCATGGACAGGATACTGGATTAGGTATCTTTGTTTGTCCCAGTACAGACATTCTTTTGTTCTGTTGGTGTAATGGAGGTGGACAGAAAGGAACTTTATTTTGACAGCCATAAATACATGGTGAGTCCTGTATAATAAAACAAGTATTCCCATTGCATATTTTCAGAGTCCTTCATGGAAGATCCAAATAGTTCTCTGGATTGCTAGTTTTTTAATTTAAGAAAAGCAGTTCCTCTCCCATTTTTGTGATCTACCTGAGTGAAAATTTAAAGAGCCACAACAACAAGCCTCACAGGAAGGGTATGAAGAATTAAAGAGATTTTTTAGCTATACTACTTAACTAGTTATATTTTGTGAATATAATCCTAATTTTTGAAAAAGTATTCTACATTTGTCATTAATGTGGGTTGCATACATGTGAAAGGAGATATCTAGCTTAAATTACCCTTTCAGAAAATCATTCCTAATTATGCAGTTTGCTATCTGCATCTCAATTTATCCATCCTCCCATATATCCAGCTTCTTGTTTTGTAGGTATTAATATTAACTTATTTTCAACAAAAATAAAGATTGTGTATTTTATTTTTACCTATAGTAACTAAGCTAATTTGCTCTATGTCTCAGCCATTTGAAAACGGACTATGAACTCTGGGGAAAGTAACTATTCAGTTATTAGCAAACCCTAAATACAAGAATGTAAAACTGAATTTGCTACATTTAAGATTAAAAAAACCCCCAAATAATTGCCAAAAATAAATTGCATTATTACTTCATTTAATGTAATTATGTAGCATCAAAGAGCCAGCTGACATTTAACTTTCTTAATAAATTAAAAGAGAGTAAGAAACTGATTCAAAATAAAATAAATACTCTAGCCCTGCACTTTATTTTAAAAGAGGATTTGAAGAAGCAGATGGAGGTGGAGCCATTTTATATACCACATACATATCTCATTTACTAGATTAAGGATATGCCTTGAAAAATACATTTTCTTTCTTCATCATCTTTGCTAAAAGAACTACTCAAAATTTTTGCTAGCCAAACAGAAATTTTTATTGCCAATTGAGGTATGTTCAGAATATTATGAGCAGCAGAAGGAGATATGAAAAGGCAGACTTGTTTACCACTGTGATGGAGAAAAAAAGGTGATTAAAGGGAGAATTTTTAGCTAAATCCTTCCAGGAGTCATTTAAATTTGGTAAGTAATGCCAGGTTACCTTGTCGGATTTAAAAAACACTAGGATTATGTTCTAACCAAGCAACTCTACCTGAATACCTGCAGACATTACCCAGAAGTTTAATAATTCACTTGCTTATAAGCTACACATTACCTTCATTACTAGACATTTATTGAAGTCTTTCTCTACAGAAAGTGTAATGAAATCCCATAGGCAGGAGGTTAGAGCTGGTAAGGTTTAGGAAAAAAATCTCTCTAGGAGAAAGAGATTATAAAGTTAGCAGCAAATACAGCTAATTTGAAATAATTTATTTAAAAGGAATTCTCTAAGACAATCTTAAGATTGTCTTAAGGCTAGGCTAGGCCCTTTTCTGAAACACATGCACAAACTGAAATTGTGGTCTGATGAGAAAACACTGGTGAGATTATGGCCTACATTACACTTTTGGTTGGAGCCCCTGGTGGTCCAGTGGTAAAGGCGCCGCGCTATCACCGTGGAGACCCAGGTTCGATTCCCGGTCAGGGCCACTCCCGGGCAGGTGGGGCTCGTTAGCCCTTAAAGGCAACCCACTTACATCCTGAGGACCTCACTGCCACTGTCCAAGCTCGCTTGGCCCCGGCAGATGAACCTTAGGATTAAAGGGTGGGCTCAGTTCCGCGCACACTGTGTCTCACCTAAAAAAAAAAAAAAATCCAATGCGCAGGCTGGAAGGTGTAAAGACCTTCCCCGGATCTTCGCTCGCGAAGACTGGCCATTACATTACATTACACTTTTGGGTAGGATGGGTGTCTCTAATGTAATTTCTAAGTTTTAGATTTTAAAAAAAAATGTACACAGAGCTATAGCCACGTTATTACAGTAAGAGATCAACTGAATTTCTTTAAACATGGTGCAATACCTAACTGAAGTTATTTTGAAGTTAGGAATGATATATGTGTTCTGTTGAAGATTTGCAGCAAGTTTTAATGACAGTTTTCAACATGCCTGAATAATATATTCCATTAGGCTGCACCATCTGACTCACTGTATACTTAAATGCACACTTTTGTTGATTTGGACGCCAAGCTTGATTGCATCCCATTCATTAATTCAATTACTTAAATGATGAGCCAAACAGCATTGTTTCACAGTGAATCATTTGGTGCTAATACTCCACCTTTTTTACTCTTCAGCTCTGTTGCTACCAAAAGCATGTTTCATCAAATCAACCTTCAGTCAAATGGAAGGATCAGAAAGCACTAGTAAACATGAATAATGACAAACCAGAATAGTTCAATGTTTGTAGATTCCATTTTGACTTCTTGTCATATTTCAGCCCTACAGGAAAAATTCTGGGAGATTTTTAACATACTCAGGAAGCGCATCATTATGGAAACACCATACTTAGTTTTTTAGTCTATGTTCTGTGTAGGATGGAGAAATAATATGACCTTGAGATTATCTCAGTTAGAACATGGTGCTAATTAACATGAAGTTTGGGGGTTCAATCCCTATAAGGGCCATTCACTTAAAGAGTTGGACTCAATGATCCTTGTGGGTCGATTCAAACTCAGAATATTCTGTGAAACATCATGAATTATTATGCTGCTATACTCTCAAGAATACATTGGTTAGTTGAATTTATATTCTTGATGTATCAATGTATTTAACACTACACACATGCTTTAAGTACTCACCTGCAAGTATGTCAACCAATGAACTTGGAGCGGCTTATTTGCAGTCAACAAGTAAAAATAACCTTAATGAAAAAAAACCAAAACCAAACCAAAACAAACCAACAAAACCTGAAGTATTTAAAACATTCAGATTCAAGTAAATATGAAGTGTTTAGAAGAGCAAGCTCTGACTGTATAACCATTTAGTACTAAAGTTCCCCACAGTATCTAGTGTACAAGCAAGATGGTGATCAGACACAAAGATCTTCTCCACTTTGGTTATAAAATAGAATAGAAAAGATCATTTGTGGCAGAAGGATTTGAAGCCAAACTAACATGATTATGTGGTACCTCAGGAAAGTACTCCTGTACAGCACAGTATAAGAACAGATGGTGCTTGTGTCCTTAATAAGCCACAGGCAGCTTGCAAGTATTCCTGTACTAACAAAAAGAAGTGCAAATGCTTGGGATTGAGTTTATGCAAGTTAGTAAATGAAATAATGAAAAAGAAAGGTATTGGTCTGAACAGATATTTTAGCTGCCTAGGTAAGAAGCAGCTATTGAAATATTGTGAAAGAGGTAAAATGATTCGGTTATACAGGTACTTAATTAGGATAGCACATTAAACATCAGAATGTCAATGTGAACAGGATGGTCAGTGAATGGCTTGCATTTGGGCAAAAGTAATACTACGTGAAAATGATTCTTGCCTTTGATTCTTCACATCCATAGATTGACATACCAGTGCGTATTAATGGCAGCCACCAGCCTTATCAACTAGAAGAAACATGCGAACTTCAGTGTCCCTATCACCTCAATAAAACTCTTAAAGCCTAATTTCCTCTGAAGATGTGCAGACCTGTAATGATTTAGTATGGTTTGAGGTTTGTCTTTTTTTTTTTTTTTTTACAAAACTCTGAGTTGTTACGTCAGGCAATTATTTGTGTTAAACACTGCCGTTTTATGGACTGAGAAACAGTTACTTGCATGAGTGAATTCCCTGCAACACAATGAGAGCTGTGGTCTGAGGTTCCAGCTAGCTTCCATCTGGTTTTGGCCGTGTTGAAAAAAGTTTTGGTGTGCAAGGACTTCGACAAGCAGAATGGAGATAAGCAAAACTAAAATTAGCCACATATTCCTATGGCAGAGTACTGGAGAAAGTGATGCAACTATCGTACTACTTTATGCTATGTTATGTAAAGAATTTTAAAAAATGAATACTTGAATTCTTAGTTCATCATGTGATTCATCTGAGCTTCCAAAGCTAGAAGGAAAAGGTGCACATATATACATACATGGTTCCAAAATGTTTATTTGAGCATGTACATTTCACAATAAAAAATGTATATGCAAAACAATGACCATCAATATATTAAGGAGAAAAAAACCCCTACCATGTAACATGGTTTAAACTTTTCTTTTGAGATAATGATTATATTAAAAGAAGACGCTGAAAGATGTCTTGGGTCAAGATGTGGTTTTAGTAAGAAAAATACCACCTTAAAATTTAGCTATGAAACAGTTTTACACTTTTTTGGAGAGGGTGGTTGTTTTAAAGGAAAATCCCTCTTTTTTTATGGTATTATCCACACTGTTTTGAGTTTCAAAACTACAAAACCCTTCTGCTTCTATGCCTGCACGTTACAGAATCCTCTCAACAAGTCAAAATAAATGCAAAGCTGAAAGATAGCTCGAGAAAACTGTAAATTAAATATACCAACCCTGTTAGGACATTCCCTCAGAAAAATTTCAAGGTAAAAGGAGCTGTAAATTAACATCGCTTCTTATTGTGTCCTTTACTACAGAGATAAAATTCTATTTCCTATTTGAATTAACCACTGAAAGTGCAAAGAAAAATAATGGAAAATTTTAAAAAACTGGTATGTTATAGTAACACTACTGTAGTTATGCGTCCAAGTTAACCTGTATGCTATAAACATGGGAAGATTTTAAGTTCCCCTGTATATTTAATACAGGAAATTTATGACCATCCACTTAGCCAAGGGGCAATAAGGAAAAATTTGTAAAACTCTCAGTATAACAGTTCATGTTTATTTCCACTTATTATATATTTATTATTTATTATATATTTGCACTTTTAAATTATACATTAGGATTTAGGAAAAAAACCCCTTATACCTGAAGTTACATGCACACACACACACACACACACACACACATATATATATATCTCTAAAGCTCAATTTTCATTTTTTTGATTCAAATTGAAGTCTGACAACCAGGACTGATGTCACAACAACCCTCTGAAAAACTGTGATTCAAAAATAATTCCTTATATGCCATCACTTACACACATGTATGTGCAGCATAATTGCATCTGTTTTCCTTGAAGTGATTATTGGAAGCAATCTAATTTTAAGTCTGTCATTGTGCAGATTAACATTTGGGTGTCTTTTTGGAGGTTTCAATAGTCTATACTGCTTATTTTGTGCAAAAAAAGGCCAAATGCCTGTGAAAGCCCATGCCTTTATGTAAGCAGTATGTTTCATTTGGAGTCATTCTGGGATAACAAAAGCTATCAACAACTACTCTGTATTTCGTATATACAATATTCCTACTGAAATGCTTTTTATTCAAGGACAATTTTAAATTAGATTTTTTTTTATTTACAAATAACATGATATACAGTGCAAGTTCAATCCTTGGCACTGTTCCAATCTGACCACAAACTTCGCAGTAACATTCATTTCACTTACTCAAGATGGTAATACTTACTTGTCTCTTGTTTGTAAATACAGGTAGCAATTAACCTCAGAGTCAAAATTAGAGGCCACATCTTAGATGTAGCTCTGAGCTGGTAGTAGGAGACTTGAACTAAACTGCTGACTGACAGCAGGATGTTCTATCACAGGTACCCCAGAACATAAGGGGAGTGGGGATGGCTATTTGAAAGAAAACAGACCTTCCCCCTATCCCCTCCCACACAGCCACCAGGAACTGCTAATCAACTCTACTAATCAACTTGGTCTCTATGATGCTGTTCCATGGCCTTCTCCTGTTTCTCAAAGCAGACTAAGTCCTTTGTTAAGCAGAGTTTAAGCCAAGGATGCAGCAATTAGTTTCTACTTTAAATTTTATTATAGTAAGTAGTTTTATCAATGCATTTAATTGAACTTTATCATTACGCTATAGAAGCAATCCATGCTAGAAATGTGTAATTGTTTTAAGTTGTCTAAATGCTACCGACCAGCTTTTAAATATTTGAACATGAAATGCTCAAGTCAACATGGGTGGACCAAATGCAACTTTTGCTTTTCTGTTTTCATTTTAGAGATTCTTGTATCAGGAAGTTCTGGAAGGGCAGCTCTTTAAACAGTTTGTATTATCATGGTCCCATGAAAGCTAGATAAAATTAGACTAAGACCAGCATAAATTCTGGTTCAAGGTCTTGAATAGCTTGAATTTATTTCTAGTTTACTCATTTTTTTATGATTCACATTACTGTTAGAACACAGAATGAAAACAATTTTTTTTCCCTTTTCCATTTGGAAACTTAGCAAGTATCAACTATTTCAAAAAAAAGTAGTCAAATGTAACATTTCTCAGAAGTAGTTACCAGGTATCATCCAACAGGCTCTAATTTCAAGTCACCTACACCTCCTTTTTTCTACATTTATCTGCCCTCAAGTAGCATGAAGCATCTAAACTAAACTAATTTAAAGATTATTTTCTTTCATATAAAATGAAAATCCTTGTTCCATAAACCCTAGTACTTTCATGTGTGAATCAGAAGAGTGCACTACCAGGTCAGGCAAAACATAGTTGAACAATAAATTTAATCATTCATTAAAAATTGGAATGCGACATCTATATTTAAACAACTTTATTAACATAGTCAAGCAGTGATTAACATTCACATCTATTATGTCACATCATACAAATGTAAATACAAAATTACTACAGTACAATATATATTCTCTGCATGATCCAAAATATTTGGTGGCCCCAAAAACTCTTTAAAATTCAGCAGCTTATCAAAAATTAAAACCATATTCTATTTAAAATGAAGTTCTGTTAGCACATAGGCAGACTTCAAGAAATATCACTCAATTTAGTACAGTTTGAGAGGTTGCAGGAGGATATGTTTGAAGGAAACATTCCAACATTGTGGCAGATACAGAAACATCAGATTTAAAGCTTTCAAGCAAAACTTATACAACCTAAGTTGTCAGCAGAAAGATCCAGTCATCTTTCTTTAAAACTATATTGTGTACTTCATCCAATTTAAAATTTTAAATTTTTAAAATTTTAGAAGTGTCTAGTATTATTAAGTCAATGTACAACGCAATTACCTCTCTCTTTCCATGAAAAATAATACACTGCAGATTTCAATGGCCAAATAAACCTCCTTATACCAAACCTTTTTTTCTCATTGCTGTCCTCACAAAAAACACCCAAGCCTTCCTATTTAGTTGCTCACGCAAAGTAAGGAAAGAGATACCTAACCCAAAAGTAGTACAACAGAACTAGTTTATAGGAAAAAATATACTATACTGTAAGTGCTGAATTCTTTCAGATGTGGATTTGGCTTACTTAAAGCATACTGTAACACCACACAGGGATTTATCTTATAGAGCCATTTCAAACTTCCCTCATGTAAGTACATTCAAGTGAGTGAGTATCACTATTTTAGCAGAATATACAAGGCAAGCAAAGTACTTGCCTCAGTTCCCCATTCAAAATAATAAACTAAAACTGTCTTGCTCCACCCATTAAGTGCAAAGAGCAAGCATCAGTGGCAGACAAAACCCAGTTTCTATCGGAGAAGAATACCTAGAAGACTGATGGATGCAAGTCATCCTGGAGAATGCATAGGTGAGTGAAATACACAGCTACTGATCAAGCTTTATTTATTCAAGGTGAGGTTATGTAATATATAACAAATATGTGTGCAAACTACATCAGCATCTATCTGAGAGAGGTGCAGGATGTTCTGCCATTTCATTGTAGAGCTTAATCTTTATCTAAGATAAAAAGTCACTCTTTAGACCCTATATAAAAGGTTTATGCATTTGTCATCCTCAGGAAAGAGACAGTATGGAAGCAGTTAGTGTTATTTCTTTCCTTGACAAAATCTGAAACAAAAGATTACCAATTTAATGTTGCATTTAAAGCATTTTTTTAAGAAATATTTCAGTTGTTTGAATATGGATGCATTCTCCTCAAGGGAAGAATGTTTTTGCACCTTGTCTGTTAATACATTCAATATGAATAATACAGGTGAAGCAAAAGTAATTATTGTCCCACAGTAGGTTAATTTAGAGTAAGTTTAAGACAAGAGGAGCTGCCTAAATGAAATACGTAAACTGATAAAATTATGACACATTTTTATTACCATGTGTTCTGAACAAAAAGGGTACAAGAGTATTCACCTGAGATAAAGCTAGTATTTGAATATTTCTGAGTAGCAATGAGTTTTGCTTGAGGAAAGCCACTTGAATTTTTAAAATATACATTTTACTATTATACAATATATGCAGTTTAAGTAATTAAGATTGATGCTAACATAAAAGTTCTAATGAAAAAAAATCACAGTGTGTATCAATATTGTTAATTACAAAACTTATGCTACTTCATAACTTTTAAAAATTATCATGATTACAAATTTTAACCCATTCTTCTAAAAGTGACCTTTTGAGTACAAGCTTCAAGGAGCAATAAACCAAAGTGTAAGAATTAGCTTCTTACAATTTAAATATATACATATTCACTGATTTAGAAAATAATCAAGCTTTGGAAAAAAAAAATACAAAATTGATTATTCTTGCTTGCACTGGTTAAAATAATGAACTAGCCTAATATTTTTCCCTAAATGAAATGAGTGGTTTCCTGAATGTGTTATGAAAAAAACTTAATATTGAACTTCATTTAAGACTAATTTAACAGCAATTTAGAACTGCCAAAAAGATGCATTTATAAGGATTTTAAATACACTTTCTGTTACCAACTTAGGTTGATCAGCAGCTTTTGTTCACTCTCAGAATCCTTCAAAAAGGGAAACTCAAAACAGGAAAAAGGCATATATAAAAACAGTAAACACTGACCTCCTGAGGTTCCTACAACAAAAATATTCAAGTAGAAAATCTACACCATTACTTAGCAGCGGCTATTTCTGTAGTTTAGCACACTAACAGCACTTTATTCAGTGTGTAAGGAGCAAATGAAGTAAGCCGTGCTTTTAGCATGCCAAGAGGCAGAAACACTGGAATGTAACAAAGACAAACTCACAATTCTACCAGTATAGACATTCAGTCAACGTTCAAGAACTGTCAAGACTACACCACAAGAATTAAGATGCTTTTTGTATATCCCATGATGCAATAGTTCAATTTTAAATATTAATGCTGTTTCAGAACTTTTCTTACCTCACATTACACCCTAAATGGCTTCTGCAAATCTTTGTACTTTATTATGCATTAGGAATATGGTTTATTTGCTTTAAAATATACCACAGGAACTTACTGATACAAAAGACTATTTTGTCAGTACTGTTTGTTTCTGCCACAATTAATTATTTTCCTTGCTGTCATATCAGATCATTTCACATCTGTACAAATACCTATTAAAACACGTATGCACAAAAGTGGCATCCTAAGCTAATCCAAGGTGAGGTGGAGTGGTTTTATTTGGTTAAAGGGGCTTTCTGAAATTTAAGAAGTTTAGTTAAAGTCAGATTCTAACTGTTAAGCTACCATATTATTTGGGTAGGCTTTCTATTCTACAAACTCTTTAGTGTCATTTCTCTGAAACTCTTCCTTAAAGTTCAAACACACTTAACATTAAAGCAAATTTGGCTCTAAAATAACATCCCACCTTGCTAAAGGCTGGGGGGTTTTTTCCCTTTCAAAATTTGTTTTTAAAGTGTTTTTTAGTGGCTAGTAACTAATTTACTTCAGAGTTATTAACTCTGAGAAGGAATTTTGTGTTTGCTACCAGAGTAATGTAATTTGAAAGCAAGCTATCACATGCAATTTTGATCAAATTGAATAAATACTATGTACTGGCATTATCGAATGCACTTCATACAGTAGATGTCCAAACTATTCTTCAGGCATAATCCACTAAAATTTGCAAAGCCAAAAAAAAAAGTGTGTGTGGGGGACATAAAACATGCATGTGATCATGCATTAAAAAAACAATCTAAGTTGTTTAAACAGCATTTTTACACACTCACACAGCTCAAACTTCAGTGCAATGGCTAAATCATTCAACAGTCAAAGAACAGAACCATGCAAAGAAGAGCAAGTTCTTAAAAACAAAACAAAACAAAAAAAACCACACACACAAAAAAATCCCCAAAACAAAAAAAAAAAAAAGGAAAGAAAAAAAACCACACACACACAAAAAAGGGGGGGGGGGACCCAAAAAGAAACAAACAAAAAAAACAAACCCAAAAACTTGTTATCCAGTATCAATTCTGCGATGCAAAGGTGAGAAACTAAATCTACAAAAAGGCTGTTATGGCTTAATTTTGTTTTGCAGATTAATAATGCAGCACTTGAAAAATGGAAAGGTGTGGCTTCACCTCTGACCAGCAGAGTTAAAAATCTCTCCATTTTCCTTTATCATCATGGGATACTCTTTAGGCAATCTAAATTATTAAAGACTTGCCACTTTCAGATGGACACAAGATCAAGTGTACCAGTTAGGATTTCACATTCACAGTACATAAGAAAATACACATGGAAGGAAAAGTAAAGGGTTAACTTAACAAGGATTTATTCACAGGAATACATGTAAGTAGAGAAAAAAAAACACAACAGAAAAGCTAAACAAATGAAATGAAGAGGATCCAAACCAACTTTCACTCTCTAGCTTTAAACTTGCACCCTTGTGCATTTAACTATATCACAAAGGGCCACCAACATGCGCCAATACAGTGTAGATACCCTGCATTACATCCATTAACTTAAACATCTCTTTTAAGATCATGCTTTGAACAAAAAGAAAAGTGTAGAAGGTAATACGTTGAGTGGGAATAAACACAAATGTAGCAATCTTGTCATCAACTTCTACAATTGTCTTTACGTGCCAACTAACATTTATGCAGCCTTTAACGGGTCTTATCATGTAACTCATTTTAGAGATTCTGATAAAATCACTAGGATATAACCATGCAGAAAGCACATCACACTGACAGCACAGAGGCAAATATTTTGCACAGCTATATCGGCTTTCCACATTGTGCAGGTTACACACAATACAATATCAATCTTATTCTTAACAGATCCTAGAAAGGTATTTCAAGGCCTAATTTAACGTTAACTACAGTACTTTATATCTATATTCTTAATAAAAATAAATTCCACAGAATCTTAGAAAGGAATTTTAAATGCAGGGCTATATTGAATTGGTAAACTGCAACACAAAACTGGCGCAACATAGGTAAATGTATACCAATTTCACTCTATGTGATGCAAGCATGCTACTTTCCCACTAATTAAAATTACTTCTGATCACTATGAGCCAGAACACATGCCTGAACCTTAAACTGCAAGTTAAGAATAATGCCTTACTCTAAAAATTAAAGCTAAGAAAGTACAATAATAAAATCATATCCACTACCTTGGTTGTTTTCCTTAATGTAAAAATTAAGATGTCAATCTTTCCTTTGCAGTGTCCTTCCCCTTACCCCAAAAAATGAAAGGAGTGACTTATTTGGCAGCTTGCAGTTACTTCATTTTGTCCAAGTTAACCTTTATTATTTTACGATGGGGTTTCTATGCTGTACACTGCAAGTGCCTGTTTCTAATACAGACACAAGCTGCATTTTAACTGTACTAACTTCGTTTGCGTAGTTCATTAACATGCAAATACCTAGTAATCCCCTCAAGCAGGATGAAATAATGTAGAAAACCCTTACTTAAAAAAACAGAAAACAAAAAAGAAAGCCTTTTACTGTTTGTGACCCCCATTCTTAGGTTTCCTTTATTGTGCGCAAAATATTTTTCCTCTTTACGTATCCCTATGGTTCAATTATATGGTTTCTTATTTTGGTACAAATCCCCACAATATTCCAGAATGTGCTGTTTTGTGACTAGATTCTTTTTTTTTTCTTCTTCACATCCAGTGCAGAGGTGTAATAGGAGACAGATTTCCACCCACAAAGGCTCCAGATGTTAAAACATTTCCCAACATCGACTTAATACAGTGACGGCAACACCTCCCTCCCACCCCTCCCAGTAGGGTTGGGATTGTACTGTATTCCCTACTGGTTTACCCTTCCCCCCAGTAAAGGGTAACATTTTCCCTGGGTGCAGAGGCTCCCTCATAGTCTCCCAGACTGAAGGACCTGTAGAAGGAAAAGATAAAGGTAAATTAAATCTTACCTTGACCCTTTGACAGACAGGTGCATAAACAAAGAGCCTTTTTCAAGCACTAAATGCCAACTGTTAACTTAAAAATGAATTTATGCCTAGATTTTCCCTTTTAAGTCTGTTAAGAAAGCAGCCCATTTATGTAAGATAAAATTATTATGCATGAAACAACAATGTATGCTATGCTGACAGTTCCACTACTGTGCTAAACTTAGATTTAAGATAAAAGCAGTCCTATATATTTTAACCAGCTTTTTGATTTTTTAGCACAAACTTATGAGGTAGTTATGACATTGAGAAAGAATATTAAACACATTGCTACTGACCTAACAGCTTCCCTTTCGGGTGGATTAAACAAGATTGCTTCTCAGTTCAAACTGAGGATAATACTGGATTTTATCACTTTGGCTTCCTTTTCAATAGGAGGAGAAAACACCCTCATTGATAATAAATATGTAAATGTTTGAAATTGGTTTATTTTTAATCCACTGTTTGAATCAAACATGTAATTCAAACAGGATTTCTTATGTCAGTGACTGAAAAAGCTTAGGCTGACTTCTAAATAGTTATCCATTCCAAAAATGCTGCATGACTCACTCCCATAATTTCAGTGCAAAAATTCTACTAGAAGTATCAAATAGTTATATAAAGACTAAATGAATCAACTTAATTCACGCTCTTTTTTTGGGTAATATAATAATCTCTTCCCAGTATCACACTACTTTACACATGGGAAATTTGCTTAATACATCATGCACAGACAGCATACAAAGCATGGTGGTACAATTATACAGCTATTCTAAAACACACTTTCTTTGTTGAAATTGAATCATTCTCTACAGAGAATTGCCTAACAATTTTGAATTGGTGCACAAAACTGGAACATGGCAATAATAAACACATCAGCCTACCCAAAACATCATGCTTTACAGTTACAGTAGTTACACATTAGCATAATGTCCTTTATTCAGCGCTAAGAGCCTTTAGGATGTAGTTCAGAGTATACTGGACTTCTCATAGCTCCAGTGCGTTAACAAACTTGCTTTCTATCCTACAGGAATATTCCTGCTTAGACTACATCTGCCACCTCTTAATTCATAACATGTAAGGGAGCCTGTGTCTTTAGTATGATAACTTCAGGATCATATTCATCACTTGGATTATTAAACTTGAACCAGCACTTTGTTATACTGACACTTGCAGCTTTATCTCGATAAACTAATATGTGTATGATACACTCACTTTTTCTTTCTTTGTCTCTCTGTGACAATAAAAAAAGTCAGCTGCTTTTGGTACAGCCTCCATTATTTAGGTAGCTATCATACCTTCTTTTTTTCCTCTATATAGGAAGGAAAGATATTTCCTCTGGTGTATCTGAACAATTCTAGACTGATGAATTAATTATATTTCATATACTGCAAACAGGGTGGAAGTTGGTTATACAGATCTGTTTACCAAGAAAGATTTCTGTGCTTACCTCTAATTATGGGACTGCAGCTACAGTGCATGAGATTAAACTCCATAGTAAGCTGCAAGGCGCTCTTTTAAGGGAAGGGGAAACTGGTCAGAGAAACGTCTCCAATTTTCATCCCCAACTTGATTTTTAAATCCATGAAGAATCTACAAATGAGAGGGGAAAAGTCAAGACAAGTACTGAGGATATATTATTTACTAGCCTCATGTGCTGAGTTGTACATCTGGCAATATGAATTCTCTGATTTCATACTGAAATGCTATTAAGAAACACAGGAAGGAAGTATTGTCTTTCTTAATGTGTTTTTTCTTTTAAAGGTGACATACAGAATATAGCTATCCCCACAAACTAGTGTGTATACCTATTTATAAGTATTTTAATGGGTAACGTAGAGTTAGGCCATTTCAGAATGTCTATTTATAATTTTTTCAATATATCATTCATCCAGTCAGTCAGTCACTCTATTGACATAGATCATACATGTTAAGACTACTGTGTTCACATTTCTTTTTTAAATGTGTAGTATGTTATGGAAAGAAATCTGAGCCAAAACCACAGCCAACACTTATAGAATGAATATCTGTGAATATCTGTCCATTCCTAGCACAAAAATAAAACCTGTGAGAGCTGTTTTTTGCATGGAACCTATAAGACCAACTGTCACTAAAAAGGAAGCTCTTGAAATCTTTTTTGTTTTGCAAGTACAGGAATCCACACTCAATGGTAATCAAAAGCCAGTGAAAGATGAAAAACAATAACCTACAAGTTTCAGTCTAGACCTTCTGATGTAATAAATTAACTGAAAACCATTAAATTAAATTATACTATCTGAAAGGTTTTAGTATGTTAGCTCTTAAAACAGCAAGTAAAAGGTGAACATTAGAAAGGACAGAAGCAGATGAAATTGCTTTTCCTCATAGAAAATTATGCAAAGAGAGCCTAAAGTTTTGATTTTCTTTTTTACATTCAGTGAAACTGAGTTGTGGAACAGTCTGCCTGAACACATTCTCAGAGAAACTGCAATGTCAAAGGTACGTGCTAATGACATGACAGTGCAACTAGTTAACTTACTGCTTTTCTCCCTTCCACAAGCAGGTTCCTAACTCTAAGAGTCACATTAGGCAGCTGCCAAGCAACTACTGAAAATCTAAGAATGCTCAGGTATGACAACAGGTTATGTGTCAGATTTCAATACTGGTAGCTCATCTATCCATGCTCTTGACAGTGGTATTTTTCTCCCAGTTCCAGTGGTGAAGAATAACACAAAAAAAGAAACACTGGACAATCAAATTTCTTTCCATTGTTCCTGAAACTCATAATTATTATTGGAAAAACATCTAACTCGACTACAGCACTCAAGTATTCATGAAGAAGTAATCTAAAACCCCTGAATGACATCACTGAAGAAAGCTTTGTCTCCTTTCCTGCAAGGCAAAAAGCACAGAAATACATTAAAATTGCTTGTTTTAAAAAGTCAAGTGATCAAGAACCACTGTGTCTAGTTTGAATGCCATGGGTCCTACATGGATAACTTGGAAAGAATCTGAAAAAGAGGAGCCTAACTTACTGCAGCAAGTATTCGATGCTGAAGGACTGGTACAGAAACTCACACTGAGACTGCTTTGGGCAATCATCATAGGCTGTATCCTGGACTTCCTTTTCACTTGTATTTGATGTTTCCTTCTGCTGATGCATTTTCTAGATTTAATGTTCCTTGGAAGGAGACCGGTTATCTGAGAGGCTAACTAAGACAGTGAGATTTCTGTCTCTGCTCTTAAAGATGGGATAGAAAAGTTCTAGCTTCTGTTTTCATGCTCACAAATGGCATTAAATGAAGAAGTGCCAATACTGACCCATGATCCTAGTAAGTACTTAGGAATATGCTCCATTTTTTCTATAAGAGTATCATGAACTTCTCTTTTGACATAGAACTTCCTAAAAATCGAGATTTCACTTAAGAACTTGTGAAGGGAACAACTTTTTTTCTCTCTCTTTTTTTTAATGTAAGACATTAGTGCGAAAATACAATATATCACATTCTGGTGGTGGTGGTCTTGTAGTTTAGTGGGGTTTTTTTTTGCTTTACTTTTTGGTTCGTTGATTCATTTTTTAGTTTTGGGGGTTTTTTTCCTTATTAAATACAAGGAAAACAGTTCTTTTGCTCAAATTCTGTTGACATTTTCTCAATAGGGATGCATTCTTAGGTATAACTGTATGTTAGTTTCTTAAAACTTGCTCACCTAAGAGGTATTCTGAGAAGGATTAAGCAATCCCTTATTTTCAGCAAAATTAGGAGCATCAAATAGAATACCACTGGGATATTTTTAATTCAAAATTTTCTACATATTTTTTCAAAATAAAGTAGGCATCTTTGTGTCAAAAAGTAGTCTTGAACCATAAAAATCTCATTTTCTAGGAAAAAAAGGTCTTAAATGTAATTTAGAACCCCTTGGTCTTCCAAATGCAGGACATTATGAAAAGCTGTTTGAGGATGATTACCCTTTCAAATAACATCTCAACTGAACTTCTCCATTTTAAAAAAGTTTGGAATAACCCAAATGCATATAAGAAAATATAGGCTAAAAAAAATATTCAGGATTTTCATGTCGTTTTGTCTGTAAATTTATGACCTTGCATGACCACAGGGGGTAGAGAAACCTCTATGACCACAAACACAGTAATTGCAAAAAAACAAACCAGAGGATGCAAAACAACCACCATTAGAATATACTGTTATATTAGAAACCTTACCTTACAGAACATGTCTCGAAGATCATCTTTTGGACTAATCCATGATGCAACAGCATCACAAAAAAAAATAAAGTCCTATAAGATTAAACAATCACATAGGTTAGCAACCTCAATTTATACATCTGAAAACAATGTTTGATGTTTACTCTGTCAACTGTACATGGTTTTGATCCCAATTCACAACTGCTTTTGCTTTTATTTATTTATTTTCCACTGAATTCAGACAATGCTATGTTCTTGTATGCGTAAGTGTTCAGAAATAGAAATCGCTGAGTGTCTTAATTAAAACCACAGTTAAAACCCCCAACTCTCCCCTCCTACACCACACTAGCCTAACATTATTTCTTTCAGTACACATACAAATGCAAGAACTAATCACCTTAGTAAGAAGGAACAAATGCACACTCACATATTCCCAGCTAGGGAAAAAAGCTGTCATATTTCTTTAAGCAGGGCCAGAAGTTTTATTCTGGGACACATAGAGTATTCATCATACAGGTTCAAAACTAAAGCCACCCCAAAATCCCTATACTTATTTCATCTGCTGTCATGCATTACCTCCTCCTACACCAGCAAAACATTAGTCTTTAATAATTATGTTAACAATGCACATGATTTCAGTAGGAATTGAGGATATCTCCAGAGGAGAGATGGGCTAATGAAATGTGTCCTGAATTATTCCCTCCTCTTAAGCTACATGAATGAACAAAGAGACAGCAGAAGAGTAAAATGTTAAGTACCGAATAATAATGGCCAGTCTTCGCGAGCGAAGATCCGGGGAAGGTCTTTACACCTTCCAGCCTGCGCATTGGATTTTTTAGGTGAGACACAGTGTGCGCGGAACTGAGCCCACCCTTTAATCCTAAGGTTCATCTGCCGGGGCCAAGCGAGCTTGGACGGTGGCAGCGAGGTCCTTAGGACGTAGGTGGGTTGCCTTTAAGGCTAACGAGCTCCACCTGGCCGGGAATCGAACCCGGGTCTCCGCGGTGATAGCGCAGCGCCTTTACCACTAGACCACCAGGGGCTCCAAGTACCGAATAAGGCATTAGTGAAATGAACTGAAAATTTCAAAACAACGTACAGGCTCAATTCTTGTGTTTCAGGAAGAAGAACTCCAGGCAGAGGAGAGGGAAAAATCAGTTTCATTTTCCTCTTAGAAAATATTACATTGATCCAGCTTTACTTTAGAGGTGTAGAGACTAAATATCAAGTCATATTGTATTCTTCCCTTGTACCATTCAATTTAAACATATGCATGTTCATTGTCACATTGACTACTTAAGTATTATATCCAAAGCTGAAACAGAATCTTCTCTACCCAAGTTTTAAGAATGGTTACTGTTTTTTTCTGTTTCTTGTTTTAAAAGCCTAGCTTGCATCTAGAAAATACGTTTCAGATTGTCAACTTTTACCTTATATTTGCATACAGATCCTGACACAATCTGACAGAAGTATCAAAATACAGTTATTTTAATCAAAGTTCATTATTTATATATTCGTTGCAAGGAAAAGACAAAAAACTGATTTTAACAATACTCTCCTCCTTTCCTTTTCAGATAATAATTACTGAAGTGTCATGATACATATCATTCACAATATGAACATTTTGGCCTCCTTGACCTCAAAATAAAGCTACATCATGTACTGCAGGGAATCACATCAAGGTAAACTTTTTCATACTCCATATACAGCTTTAATTAAATTCCACATGGGTAAAGAAGTTGGTATCTATTAGTGTATCTTACTTGGACTACTCCACTGGGGTTGACTGTAATCATGGTACATATGCCACGGAACGCTGAATCCTTTTCCTCGTTGTCTCTTATATTTCTCAGAGAGGTGCACCTAACAATTTGGAGAGCAAAACTTAGCTAACTCTATTACTTTTCTTCAATCAAGTCAGAACTAGATGACAGTATCTGATGGAATAAGTCACACTGATAAGATGATCTGAAACACAATTTTGAACACTGAGAAAAACACTTCTTGCATGTAGTTTTTACTAGCATAATCCCATTAGGCTTCACCTCCAGAATCTGTTTTTTTCTGTTACACTATATACAGTTAGAAAGTGTGACCTGTATTCCATTAAATACAAAAGAAACATGTATCTGAAATATTTATAGAAACTATCGTTATTAGAAGCGGAACATAAAATATTATCACAGTATGAATTATGTCAGATACCACTTACAGAACAGTTATTTAACTTTTACAGCAGCAAGCAAGCTATTTTATACGTAACAAATCTATAAACATATATATATTCCTTACAGCATTTCAAGCCTCAGACTGAATTTTATATAATGCACAGTTTAAATTTTACAGTATTTGCATGCATTGTATTATCATTCTGGTGGATTTTAAAATGCTCTTTCATAGTCAAGCTTTAACACAGCAAGCATGTGACAATCTTATCCCATGCATAAATTAGTCATTAGCCACAACATAAAGAATACATGACGGTGCTACTAAAAACTCACAAACCTGATAGGACAAGATTAGTCACATGGTTGGCAATGATTAAGGATTGAGATTTTGTAACCAACTGAAAATATATCTAAAAGTGAGATAGAGAGAAGAAGGAAAGAAAGAAAGAGAGTGAAGAAAAATGAATTAAAAAAAAAAAGATTGAATAATACACACCAGGGTCTTATAAACTGCTGTAGCATGGGGGCCACCTCTTGAGGACAAACGTAACCAAGACGACCAATTGTTATTGCTAAGGTAACGCAATCACGGTTATACACCACCAAACGCCAACCAAGACATGAGCAAATGAGGGGGGAGGAGAAAAAATAAAGAAAAAACAACAAATAACTCAGAAACAGAAACCAACAGAATCTGTGTATGATAATAAACATAAGATTTCACCAGTGCTGTTTATTACCACCCCCTAAATAAGAGGCAGCAACATATATGGTATACTCTCCAGGGTAAAAGAAAAAGAAGTAAATGAGAGAACACCAAAAACACAATTTTAAATCCAAAGGCTTTCTGATGTAAGCAGTCGTTCTGCCCTCTTCAGAGTAATCTTCTCCAGTAAATTTACCTACCATACATTTCAAAGTTTTTATTCAAATGTACTATTACGGATATTTTTGATAAAAAAAATTAACCATTTTCAGTTTTAGTATCAAGTGTTCTATATTTTTTACCAGGTTTTGAATTCAAGGTTTTAATAAATCCCATCAGTAAAAATACATGCATAAATACTTTCACATGGAAAATACTGTGGTCTGTCTGAAAATTCTAAATAGATAAAGCACTTCTCAAAGAGCACCAAATATTTATCTTCTTAATAATCTCATACAGAATTTAATTAAAAATGGTTGCTAATGCACAGCAACTGACTGCAGAAAATTAATTCTTTAATCCCAGTATTTCTTCTGTTTACAAAAGGTTTCCTCATAGATATATAAGAATCTGACTTCTGATACCAAAGCATAAGAACACATGAAAAGCAAAATTGCTTCATCACATGATTAGGTAGTTTGGTTCATTGTTCCGAGGGACAGACCAAAGAAAATATCATCATGAAAATGTGTTTTAATGGTGTTTGCTCAACTCACGGAAGATTAATCTTTAGAAAAAGGAGAGGGTGGGGAATAATGTATCAGGATTACTGGAAGCAAAATACATGAATAATACTAAAATTCAGCAGATTTGTATGAAGCAGAGAAAGGAAACCTATGTTCAAGGGACATACTATGCAACACTCTAATTAACAGGCATTTGTGAACAGTTTCATGAAACATGCAATAAAGCAGATGATGCTTTCTCCAATAAAAGTTTGGTGTAGGATATACTAGTCTGAAGCACATTAATTCCATGAAAGCTGCAGCTCCCTGTTAATATACTGTTTTGCCCTGATATTACCCAATTTCTGTATGCAGTGTCTAAAATTTTTTACTATCTTATAAAATTGTACTTGCAGTGCACTTGCAAATGAAAATACAATTTTATCCATAAATTCTTACAGCTACAGCCTGTACAAGGAATAGTAACCTCTGTCAAAGTGTGTTCTCATAATTGTTTTCATAATTAATTACATAGCAAGCGACAGCAAAACCAGTAATTTTCTTGCACATATTAGTGGCACACAGTAAAATATCCCACAACAAACGTATAATAAGTACACCACACTCAACATTTATTTGCAGTTATCCACCCACATTTAAAGGAACTATTAAGAGAATAATAAAAAAAAAAATAAATACATAAATAAATAAATAAATAAATAAATAAAGGAAAGTTAAGTGTTTGGATGCTTCCAAAAATTCTCTTAGCAATGACGGAAGCAAACATTTAAGTACTGGATGCCTCTCAGTTACAAGTATTACACATCCATCAGTGCAGAGAAAGGAAGTCAGGGCAGAGGCAGGGGTAAGGAAAATTTATATTGATATACTATTCCATGGTATATTTCACAACAAGTGGGTATTTGCTCCAAAACTACATTTTCAAAAAGTAGTACCTATAATATGCCATACAACTAGGTCATTTTTCCTTCAACTTCACCTTCCATACTAAATGGGGGCTGAGGAGCAGAGAAAGTGCAGCTTTTAAGTTTAGAGGATATTGGAGGAAAAATATGCAATGAAAAATCTCTCTCCAAATTATCTCTTGCTTTGCTCAAAAAATAGAACTGCACCATTGCATTTGCATAATTTTCAATCATGTCAGGTATAACAACTAAACTGTCATTTTTTTACAAGGCAGTTTTCAAACAGATGAAAAAATAAAATTCTCATTTAGTAAAATTTAAACCATAACCCCACCAAATTATCAATAAATTTTTCCTGGAGTATGGAAGGTGCTTGTCATACCAGAACATGCCCTCTATAAATGCAAAAGAAACAAGCCTCAGAAATTTGAATTCAGTAAGGTACTTGGGGATTGCTCCCAATATGGAATGCAAAGCTGTGGACCAGAACATAAAATATGCATGCCATTATTAGAATTCTTTTCAAAAATTTGTTATTAATTGAACAGGTAATAGAAATTAAATATAATATAATTTCAGTTACATGTGGTAAAACTGCCATCACAGATCTAGATTTTTGTGTATGATATTACAATTTTATCTTAAAATAAAAGACTGCATTTTTTGTAACTTCAAAGAGTTTATTATTTGTTTTATATATGCCAATGACATTTTTTTCCAACACTAGACATGTATATACAGTACACACGTAAGGATACGCGTATATCAAAACCAGGGAGAAATAAGTCTTTAAGTGCTACTGCATACATTTGTCATAATTAATACATAAATAGAATTGGAAGAATAATTAAACAGATTATAAATAGATATTAAAAATGTTATAAAAGGAAAAATCAATAACTTTTAGAATCTAGATATATGATATGCTGCAAGACTGAGACTTGTAAGAGCTTCTGCAAAACAGAGTTGCTTTTGCTTATAAAAGCCAAATACATAGGAAAAAAGTCAGTTCTGGTGTGGTTCCCCTATGCAATTTTAAAAGTGATTATTAAAAAAAAATCTCTAATTTCCTTCACCATGTACAGTTAATTTTTTGGGTACCTGTATTCTCTAACAACGTCTTTGGTGTGTTGGGTCTGTTAATTATTTCTACAAGCTGATGCAACACCATTGGAATATAAGGCTGCATCTCTATACCTGAAACAACAACAACAACAAAAAAGATTCAGAAGAAAACAACAATTAATATCCGTAATCTAAACAGAATGCATACCCTGAATTTACTAAAAAGGACAAGGATCTCAAATGCAATTTAAATTTTAACATGAAATAATCACTAAAAAAAACAACCCAGCCAAAATGCCCAGACACACAAAATGCTAAATGTGCACAGATTAAAGAAAAAATTAAATCTTACCCATCTGGATAGAGATTTCTCCAATTGCCCAGGTGGCATTGTTACAGACAGAAATGAATTCAGGGTTTAGGTTGGTTCCCAAAATTGGCATGAAATCAGCTAGAAAGAACAACATTTTAAAATCTCATCACACAATACAACCATCTTGTCCCATTAATGTAAGATCATGGGGGGGAAAAAAAGGGGGGTTAAGAAAAGATAATGTAAGCCTCTTTAAATGCTTGGAAAGTGTTACTTGTGATTTAACAAGAGCTATATTTCTGCTGTATATCATATTAACCCGGAATTTAGAACCTAAGCAGTTCAATGCAAATCTTTTCAAATTATGCTTTTAAAATCTTTCTAATAGGCTTTATGTAACTCTAGAATCTTCCTTCCCTCCTTCCCTTGCTTAGGTGGAGGGAGAGAGGGGAACAGAAGAAAAAAAAAACCCACAGCTACAAGTATTTGTAGTTTTATAATATGGTTGAACAACCTCAAATCACCTGGATAGCTGTGTATTCAGCCATGCTGGATAAAACAATGAAGACTAGAAGGCAATCACAGCTCTGATTAAATTTTAAAAAAAATGAGTCACACAGGTGATTATATCATCTGACAGATAAACTTTAAATTCCAAGCCTATTCAAGCATTCACTTGGCAAGTGCATCTTAACTATATCTGTGGGAAGATAGAGCAAATATCAAGGAAGTGTATAACTGATGCTACTTCTCTACTGAAACGCAAAACAATGCAAAGAACCAAAGGAAACCTATCCTCTAGCCAAGTTTTTTTTATTTATATATTATATATAATTTTCCTTAATAACAGAGTCTAGTAGAACAAAAAAAGCTCTAAAAATAAAGGACAAAAAAGAACTTTTGCACTGTTTAAAAAAAAAGGACCATGTATTCTAAACGTACAATTCAGAGGACAAAAGACTACAGACAATTGTTGATAAAGGAAAATGACAATGTACAATACCATGAAAAGGCAACCCACCTCCTCTCTAAAGGGAGGGAGCTTAACAATGGCTAAACTAACACCTCAGGAATTTGTAAGACAGGTTGTTTAATATTAAAAGAAACATACCGATGCAAGGTTTAACATGCTGAAAACAGGCCTTTGTCAGATCCCCTAACAATGCAAAAGAACTCTGCCGTACCTCAGGCATTTTGTCCTAAAGAGAGGAAGAAAAAAATTACAATTCTAGAAGAGTTTCCGATTCTTTGAAAAAATAAAATCTTTGGATCAAGTAAATGACTCATCTCACCTGCATGCATTGGTACATTAGTGTCAGGATATTGCTGCGAGCCACTAGCTGTTCAATGTTGCCTCCAAGTCCTTCAGCTAAACCACTGAGTAAATCAAGAGCCACAATCATGAAATCTTTATCTGGAGCCTCGTATTGGTCTGGCTGAGCATTATGCAACTGCAACAAATAAATACACATTTTCAAATTATATTAGATTTTTCTCAGGGGTATGCATAAAAAAAAGTTTCCAAACTCCATGTTCATTTAGATATTCAATATCCCTGCAAACCTGTAATTTTACACAGTTAATACATTGGTTTAGCAAAGTCACATTGGAACAGTCATAGTAAAATACCATGGCTTGTGCAAGTGTCTTCTGCACCAGATTTACACAACGCTGGTACACAGGTTCACAGTATGGAAGAAAGCCAGATTGCAAGGCGGTAGCAACTGATGACAGGCACTGGAATTAAAAAAAAAAAAAGAGAAAACAATTACCAGCTTTCCTCACATTCCTGAAGTGCCTTTTCCTCGAGAAAGGTAACTTAAAGATATTATGATTTTATTTACATCAACATGTAACTGATTAAGTAAACACAACCTAGAAAGGCAGTACTGGTTAGCTGAGGCAAGGCAACTATCAGCAAGTTGTTACTCACTCCTGTACACATCAGTTGAGAAAATTTCTCAGCAGCAGCATCTTCTTAGAGGTAGCCAAGAAAATGCATACAAAACCAGTTACAATAATTTCAGACAGCACTTAACTAAGCTGCAATATCTTGACCATGAACAAGCCCTAACGTTACCTAAGAGTTACAAAACTAATTTTTCTAGAGGTGTTTTCCTGCTTCACACTCAGAAAGTACAGAGAATAAGACTACATGGTCTGTTTCATACCTTCAGCTTGTCTGACAATAGTTTTAATGGAGGGATGAAGGGAGAGCAAGGAGAGAGAAGACAAGAATAAAAGGAGGATAAAACATCTTTCTTCCCTAAAAGAATCCTATCAAAGAAAACACTCTAAAATGACAAAAAAAAAAAAAAATCTAAAATATTTCTGTTAAACCTAAGGACAGTTCCTCAGTCATAAAATTTTCTTACTGCAGTCAGAGTATTTTGTTCATAATGGGAAATAGCTAACACTGTCAGATTTCACAGTCTTATTTCCTAGTAGGAACCTCTTTAGTAGAAAGTATAATTCCTAAAATAAGTTGACTAAAAATATCCAAATTTTAACATTTACCTCTAATAAAGGGAAGAGATCTTTATCTTCATCCTTCAACATGTTCCACTTCTGGATTAATGGAGGCATTAGCATCTGAATATATTCCTGTTTAGGATGAAAATGCATGAGCTGCTAAAATACTTAACTGCATACTATTTTATTTCAAATTAGGTAAGAACTGAGATATATTCTACTTCTTCAGAGAAAAAAAAACCCTATGTACTGTAATTCAATCATTGTTGCAATTCATAGAAGTATTTTTATATTAGGATTTACAATTTACATCTTGATATTTTTTGCTAAAGCATGTAAGTACCTTTGCAAAGTAAATCCCTTCCTCCAGGTTACAGTATAGCTACCAGTTTCAGTATAGCTACCTCGATTATTACAAGTTTAAATGACTTCCTCAGGGCCTAAGAAAACATTTTTACATTTACATTCTGGCTCTACATCTGCCACCAGCTTTTCTCAACCATTTTGCATTGCCCTCATGCTACAGCGCTATTCCCCCAAGTTCTGAAACTTCTTCCTCAAGCAACTAACCATCCATGAAGAAAGTAATTTCTATGCCTCCAGAAGGAGGCACTTACCCTTACGCCTAAAGCTAGCTTTCCTGCCACTGCACAGCCACAGTCACAAGGACATTAAGCAAGGCATCTCTATAGTGCTGTTGTTCCTAGAAGGCATATTAACAGCCAACATGTCCAGCATGGTCCAAAAATATAAAATTCAAACTGACTAATGAAAGTCACACCCTCCTCAAGAGCTGCCATTTAGCTTCTTCCTCGTACTGTCAAATGTCAAGGTGGCCAGGCTCAGAGAGAGACTGAAAAACCAGTCTTTGATGGTGTGGGGTCTCTGATGGCAAGTAAAATGCCTTAGAAACAACTAAAATTGGTTTTATCTGGGGTGTCTATGTCATTTGAAGCGCTATAGAGAAATAAAACAAGTTTCAATAACCATCATAAGATGCAAACATGTGACAGGTATGTATCTTCTACAGATTAATACATGTACACTAAAAAAAAAAAAATCCTATTACATTTGTCTTTCTGTTATCTGTGTTTTGACCAAAGAATTTTCTGTTTTTATATAAAAAATGAATGCCTGTCTCACTCTGATATAGCAATTTCTAGTGATGATGTGCTCCAATTCATTGGCAAGAGACATATACAGAGCAGCTTTTGTAACTTAAATCAGTTACAAAAAAAAAAGTGTGATCTATATTGATATGTGTATCTCCCCTGAGCTGAAAAATTCTGAACATGAGGAGACAATCATGATGAGAAGCACGTTTCACACACTATCATTTGTTTATTCAAAATGGCAAATATTTGTGTAGTGGGAAAATTATGTGCAGTCTATGTATTTTATCTGTTAATATTCAGTATTATTGAAACCTACACAGAAATATCAGCATTTCTGGATTATAACATGCAAAACACACTACAAATAACACTGAACAAGTTTTTCAATTATGATGACTGCTTTTACAGAACATATGATATACTCACTGGTTTATTTAGATGATGTCCTACAGAATCTGCTAGAGTTCCTATAGCATCATAAAGAATGAGCAGGTTTTTATGCTGGTATTTACTAAATGCGAAGACCAAAGTGTCAAGTATATATGCAAGATAAGGAACAAGCTCTGTACAAGCCTCCTCTTCTAGAGTAGCAAAGGCACTGAGGGACAATAAAACAGGTCAGTTAATATCTTGGAAAAAATAAAACAAGACGACCCCAGAATGCCCTACTTCAACTATTTCTGTTGAAACATAAAACTGTCTTCAAATTCATCCAAGATATGTTTTCAAATATGTATTACTTAGATAATCTTGATCTTTTTTGACTGAACACAAAAGCACCCATAAGGATTCATCTCTTACAGTGTAATGAACAAAATTTTAAAATTCTGCCATAAAATCCTTTATGTATACACAGGAAATCCCCCACTAAAAAAAAAAAAAAAAAAAAAAAAGCATTAGTACATAAGTTAAAATATACTAACTGTTAAGTAGAAGGAACCATATCAAAAGCTGTTAAGTTAAAAATGGAAACTATCTTTATGTACACTGTAGCTGCACCTAGAGACCATGGTGCTGTCATGCCAGTACAATGCAAATATCAGTCTGTACTCTCAGCAGTTACTAAGTAAAAAAAGATACAGAAAGACGTGAAACTAAAAGCAAATACAGAGGATGAACCATTTTAGCCAGCCTATGTCAAAGCACACATCATGGAAACTTTGAAGCTTGTCTATCGAGTGTTTGAACAACAGCGTTAAGAAAACATATCCAAAACAAAACAAAACAAAAATCCCCACACACTAGAGATGCTGCTTCAGAGAAACATTAAGCAAAGCAAAAGAAATGAGCTATTGAAGATTTACTGGCCTAGCTTATGTCAACAAGATTATTATTAGCATGTTCCTGTACTAAAATGCATGCATCACTGCATGAGGTGAACACTTCCTACTTGCATGCTGCCAAATACAGAAATGCCTTTTTCTTAACACAGTGGAACTGCCAATACTAAGTGAGTAGTATTCTTTCTTTCTTTATTACTTTATTATATTATTATGAAGTGTATTTTTTCAGAAAGGCATACAATGTGCGTAAGAAACATTTTCCAGTGAATATCACTTTGTGTGTCATCAACAAAAGGAGCAGTTTTTCCACAGTACAGAAATGAACATTAGACATCTGCTACCATACAGTAGTTAGTGACAAAAACATACATTGTCTTACGACCAATCTTCAATTTGGTAGACATTAACATCTATGCAACTAGTCACTATTGGGATGCAGCTTTTTGTTGCTGTCCAAAAACATTCATTTTATTTCCTCTCAATTTAGAAAGCTAGTAAATATGTTTTGACTTGTAATGGCTCTACATCTTACAGCGAAGTTTCTCAGGCAGTTTATTTTTTGCTTAAACAGTCATTTTAATGAATTTCTGCTCTAAAAAAAAATCTCAAAACACCCTCTAAGTCTGGTATCAAACTTTTAATTAAAAAAAAAATAAGGTGTACTATTATTTTTAATATTTCCATCCTATATTTCTTTTTACTTTGTTTCCATGGCCCATTGTACATCCTTCATAAGCATCACATGAGGTTATTTAACAACTACAACACAGCTGTGTTTAACTAAATGCCGGTTTTCAACTGTGTTTTAGACAAGGGAAGTTTGAACAGAAGTAGGGTACTTTTCTTTGGGGATTTTTGTTGCTTTGTTTTGCTGTTCTGTTTTTGTTTTGGGGGGGGGGGGTGTTTTGGTTTTTGTAGTTAAATAGAATTAATAGAACAGACACTAATGCTCCCCAAATTTGCTAGCCCAATGCTTGAAAAGGTTTGGAGACAAAAAGGAAACTCTGTTTAATACTCAAATCTTACTAAGTACATTTCATAAATTCATTGTATCTGTTCTCAGGCAGGGATACATTCACCCCTTTTGTGCAAAGCTTAGTACAAGAACTCTGAACTCAGCACTGTCCTTAGGCACTACTGATATTTGGGGGTTGATGCTATCATCATCATAATTTTTAGCATTATTATCATTATTACAGGTTTCAAGTGTTAAGAATCCATTCAGATGCAGATACAACTCTGCTTTATGAAGAAACCTTCTTAAAGGTTTGCTGTGTACACTCTGGTCCCACAAAAACTGACATGCACAAATTTTATTTGATGGGCTACCTGCACAAGGGATGCACTCATTCCCATTTCATTAATGTTATGTGCACTAATTAAGCTTTTTTTTTTTTTTTTTTTTTTAATATAAGTAGACAAGCGGGAGAATGCAGTCTTATCTCCCAGGATCTCTCTTTGAGAGAAAGTTAGTAACTCTTGAAATAATTATAACTCAAATGTTTCCATAATGCTGAGCTAAGTACAAACAGTACCAGTACTCCAACCACAGTATAGCTTTCCACTGAAATCTGTTTATAGGCTTATTAAAAAAAAGCCAAATCTCTCATAAATGAAACATCATATACTGAAAATAAAGAAGCATCACAAACAGTAAATTTACTACAATAAATTATTTAGCTTGGTGTTTCATATACTCTGAAAACAAAGTAGATAAGAGAAATACAAATTAACTTTTTTCATGTTATTACAACTTGGGAGAAAGTTGTGACTACTTCAGAAGAAGTTGCCTTTACTCCATTTTAAGAGAAAGAAATACATTAAGAGCTAGAAATGGAGTCATGCATTCATTGATAAGGGCATGAAAAATAGCTTCCCATGGAAAAAAAAAGCAGTGCCATGGATTTTTGCTTAAGATTTGGCTTACCTGCAGGCAGCTTCTTGTACTCTCTTGTTGCTATCCAAGATACGCTTTAGCAACTCAGTCATTAATGGCTTCAAGTATGTGTCTGGGGGTTGACTAACGACCCAGTGTGCATAGCGACTAAGAGTCCAGCATGTAATGGAGCGCACAAGAGCCTTTTTGTCAGAGAGGCACTGAATAAGGTGAGGGATTAACTCTGGAAGATATGGAATCATACCCTGCATGCAGCCTAGAAGGAAAAACACAGCTATTGCAGTACCAGAATTAACAAAAAGTTCTATTGTTTTCTGTTTCCTTTAAGAGACATACTTTCATTCTATGCACAATATGCAAAGATAACAGTTATTTTCAAGATATACAAAGCAAGTCTACCCAATTTATATAAAGTCCTAAAAGAAACCCTACATAAACAATAATTAAAATGTCCAATTAAACTTACATTCATTTCTACTACAATTCTACTTCAGTGCTTTCTATTACAATTCTACTCGGTCTGCAGAAATTCTGCTTTATTAAATGTAGTATAGCAAGTATATTCAAATACAATGAGTTTATAAAGCTTGAAGGTCCTACATCAGTCTACTCAGAGTAAGCAAGAAAACAAGTAGAGAGACTCTGACTTGACACCAAATCATCACATTAAAAAGGATTCCTTAAGCAACTCAAAATTCTTCTTGTATTTTTCCTAATATCACATGAATACTGACCACCAATAAAAGCCACACCATTCAAGTAAGCAAGGGCAGCAATACATTGAGATTTGCTAGAAATACTAACTTTCACCTTACTTGACTTGAAATGAAAACCAAGTAAAAAGTTTTCTAGTAACAACAAAAAAAAGTAGGTCCATTAGACTGTGTGGGAAAAGAAAGATAATCCAGGCATGGACCCAAATGTACTTTTCAGCCTGTAAAAGATGCTGATAGAGATGCTGAAACATCAGGCAAAAAGCCAGACAAGACTGTGAGTAAGCAAAAAGGAATGGAAGTTATTCTATTTTTATTGGGGAACCATCCACAAAAGGCAGCTTAGGGTACTAAAGTCACTTGAGTGGTCTTCTCCATTTCTGAAAATCATTTTTAAAAAAAATATCTTCTACAAAATCAAGGTAGTATTTAGTGAGAGATCAACAATTGTATGCTGCAGAGTTAAAACAGGGAGAAATAAAAGAAATTATGTAATCAATTTAGCCTCCTAAACATGCATAAATTTGAAAATTAACAATAAAATAACTGCAGTCACCTACTAGTAGATGTAGAGATTAATCACTGAAACTAAACCAGCTAAGAACATATACTTGTTTGCATAAGTAAATTCACCTGATCCACTACCCTGATATGCACTGTTGCCTTACCTTCAGCAATTGCACCAAGAACGAGGATACCAGATTCTTTAACTACCCACTCAGGGTGGAAGAGCAATTCCTTCAATAGGGGCAAGATGTGTGGCAGAAGTTCATCTCGAAATACATTGGCTAGGACATCTAAAGCAGCAGCAGAACATTTCCCTGAATGGAATTAACAGTGTTAAATCTCTGCTTATTATACAAATAGTTGTAGTTAGGCAATATAATCCTTATTTTGAGCTGCCAGTGGATTCTCAGTGCATTAGGAGGAAAGATACTTCCATTTCATTACAATACACAGTGATCCACCGTGCTCTGGTGCAAAGCCACAGATCTTTGAAAGCCATTATTATTACAATATCAGTTCCTTCTTAATCTCTCACACTGGATCACACTGGTCTCATCAGTAAGCAATACTTCTTATTTGTCAAGCTGTGCTGATGCTTCCTCTCTGTTCAAATTGGAAGTCAAATATAGAACACTGCATAAGAAATAGGGCACACAATTCTGATATTGAGATAACAAAAATTTTCTGAAATCCAGATAACATATGTCATTACAGATTTCTAAACTGCTCTGCTATTTCTCTTCCAGGCCACTATTTCTGAACAACTTCGGCTTTCTCACCATCTTAATCAAAACTGTGCATCACAGGGCACCTTATTTATTTGAGCTATCTTCTTCAGAAAATATGTATTTATTTCTGCAATCTCTATATATAGCACTGACAAGAACAGCACTAGGAATCTAAAACTATTTTTTTCCCCAAAAAGCAGCTTTACAGAAACAAGCATATCTGCACTCATATTTTCAACAACAACAATAACAATATTCCAGATACATTTCTAAATTGTTTAACCATAATCCTGAAGGTACATTCACCTATTGTGAAGACTTGTGGCCTTGGAGAAAGAAAAATGTGGCTATGTTCAAATCTCAAAACATTAGTCCACAATGAGGTTGTTTGCAAAACATATTCAAATCTTATTTGTCAGAATTTCACTAGCTCTTTTTTATCATTGAACTTAAAAACCAGTTTGTGGCATTTTTTTTCCTTACAACACGGCCTCTTAGTTGAAAGGTCCTAATGACAGACATAGAGGCCACCAGAATTCTGGTTTTCTCACAGCTATCTCCTCTCTTCATAACTAAGGAACTGTATTCTGTCAGAAGCAAATTCTTCACACGAAAAAAGAACTACTAGTAGTGGCCATAGGTAGTAGCATGTTCACATGGGGAAGAAAAAACAAACCCAAAACAAAACACAAACCAATTTCAGAGAGAAGACTGGAATTAAAGAAAGCATTATTAAGCTTGCTCCACTTATCAGTGTGCAAAGATTTTTTTCCTCCTTTTAAACTAAAGTTAAACAGGTGATACATGATTTTTATTATCTCAAAGAATTAAAATTCTAAGTCCAAAAGCTCCATTGAATTGCATCAACTAAATATTTTTAGCTCAACCTGCCATATTGATACTAAAAAATAAACTTACAGATGGATAGCTTTTGCCAATGCAGCTACAAAGTCAAAATGTCTTTTGAAAGGCTCTCTGTATTCAAAAACAAAGACTCAGTATTCCTATACACAAACTCCTCTTCTTATTGTGGTTTCTGTATTATGCAAGTTGATTTATTTTAAAACATTTTACACATTACTTTGACATACTTAAATTCCAGTCAGAAATAGTATCATCGTCATCGAGTTCATCATCATCATCATCATCATCTTCAATACCATCTTCTTCATGTTGCTGAGCCACCGTCTTTGAACGATGAAAACGAGGCCTTATGTCCTGCTCACTGTCTGGAATAGCTTCATCTTCTTCAACATCCCCCTGTCATCAAATTGCTTTATCAGATAAACTAGTCCAACTATATTGATCACGGAAGTTAACAATGTAGTTTTAGTCCAAGACTTTGTAAATATATGAAAGATTCACATCCCACTTGAGCTATCCAACTAACAAAATGCCAATGCTCCTGTGTTCTACTGCGGCATTTACCCGGAAAATGACAGAAGATTCAAGCAAGAGACCTCACTCTTATCCACGCTCTCCCACAAAGTATCCTTCATGTTACAAAATTACTCAATAGGAATGAAATAGAAAGAACTAAAAGAGAAATTCTGGTACACAGACATATTCTGAAACGCAGTCATGGAAAAAGCCATGTATTCAATCTGGAAGGCATGAGCATTAATTCTCAACATTTTTTTAGGCTGCATTCTTGAAGTAGTTCATAGTAATAGTATCCCAGTTCTGCGTAAATTGGGTGGGATGGGACTGGGGCAAAGCCGGAGTGCCATAAATTATTTTCCAATAAACATAGCAGCAGTTGCATTTAGTATTTGGAACAGCATACCTTGCCCCAGAAAGCTAATTCTCCATTGAACAGATGGTAGGCCAGATCTACCCATTCTGATCTGAATCATTCTGCTTTATAGGTCAGAAGCTAACCAGCTATTCCTCTAGAGTAAATGGAATTGATACTCACCTTCAACAGAATAATATCAATCTCTGAATATTTCATACCATTTACCAGCACAGGTATCAGCCTACGAAGAAATATTTATGTATGTTAAAATAACACATAAAAAGGCAAGCCAGCTTTCAGTTATACAGGCCATAATCTTGGTTGTAACCCTCACCTCCCAAACCAAAAGAAAAGCTTAGCCTTATAACAAAAGCTAGTACTGAACCAAGCTCCATATCATAAGATTCATCAATACTTTGTAATGAGAAAATGTGTTAATTTCAAATTACAAACTTTTAGACAGAAGTATCCAGATGGTGCAACTGATGAATTTGTTCTGAAGCACCTTTCAGAAATTACATCCATAGTTTGTCACTTTATTTACTTGTGGATGAAGACTCTACCTCATTACTGTTAAAGACGGAGGCCTAACTACATTAATCCCTCCTATCACTTTGTGACTACTTTTGTAAAACAAGACCCAAACATTGCAGAGATCTTGACTAGTCTGTATTAGGTTTTACTTCATTATTAAACTGGTTATGGGACTCCAACTCTACAGATGTATAGCTAAGTACTAAGGGAAAAATACTAAGGGAAAAAAGTAAAATATTTCCCATAGAAACATGTTCATCACAACAACAAAAAAATCCATAATATGTGTTACAAGCCAAAAGAAGCTAATGACAGTGGATGACCCAGCAACAGGGATAGACTCAAACTTGCTATATTCTGCAGCTGAGGATGATGGTTTTTGAAGGTGCAAGGCTTGCACTAATGTTCACCCATTGCACTGGCACATTACCTTCTAAACTGTGAATGAAGGAATAGCAAGTATAGACATTATCATGAATTCATTGGCTTTTCTGCAGCATACTTTGAGCAGTATGCATTTTATAAGAAAGGCTACAAGCATAAAATGGAACAAAATGTTAGATACCACATGAACATGTTTTAAGAAAACACTGTCCCATTTTTAATTTAGTATACAAAATTTTAGGATTATCAAGTATTAACAAACTTATATAGCTCCCTACTCAAAGAGAACTCCACCAAAAAAAATTTGCCTTCAACACACACGGCATTGAAAGATCATGGGAAAAAAAATGTAACATTATTCTTAGTAATTTGTTTTTCTAGAAAAAGCTTCTAAAGCTTTTTTTAAAAAGTTTTTTTTTTTAAATTCAGTATAGTGGTGTTGCAGTGTCAATGTTCATGTAGCCAAAAGAGGTTTAATACTAACAGTTATTAACTATTAGTGTTATATATATTATATACTGTATTATACAGTAACATACTGTAGTTATTTACTACATAATGTGTGTTGGGAATAGGTGGACTCAGGAATGGTGCTATCATTCTTTTGCTTTTTGAACTACAAAAGTAGAATTAAGTATGACCGTTTAAAAATTTAAAAATCATTTCTCATAACATTGGTTCTCTTGTTTTTAATTCTATCCCTTCTCTGCAACAGGGCTGTGTTCTAATCTCAGTTTTCTACTTTTTAAATTGCTTATGGAAACTGGACTTTTCCTTCTTCTTTTTTTTAATTTACTTCACAGCTGCCGTGCTTATTTTTGCTGAGAAGAATGTGTCCCTTCAGTCTGTCATTCTGTTCTTCCATTCAAAATCTTGAGAGTCTTAACAAATTCAAAAATCTGTGCATATTTGAGAAGAAAGAGTATTCATTTTCTGGTAACACTGAAGAATTAATTTCCTATTGTAAAAGACTTCAGATTAGTCTAGAGAAAATTACAAGCACTGTTGCAGACATGCAGATGTTTACGCTTCACATGTGGGTATTCACTCCCATTCAAACAAATTCTATATTTTGAGGCATAGGATAACTAGTTAGAAAAACTAGGTTTTGAAAGTTACCAGGCTGCAGAAGTATGAAGGAACAAATTCTACATGCTTTCTTCAAGTTTAAATTGCAATAGTAACTGATATAAAATTGATTTCTAAATCCAGGTTACATCATATTGTCTTATGCACTTTTTAAAATGAGGAACTTTTTGCACAACTATGCACATAGAAGCATTGCACAGAGACATCCACATCAGCAGTAATCAAGACAACATGTTCATGGTACACCAGGTATTACAGGTAATGAATGTCATGTGCAGATGTTTATTTGAGTGTAAGTGCATGTTTGCATCCATGGGAAGCTTAGCAGCTTGTTAAATTTGAGGTAAAGCACTACGGTGACACAGTTGTTTCTGGAGTTCAGTGGGTCTGAAATCTTCAGAAATCTTTTCAATTATACTATGCACAAGAACTAGCTATAGAAAAATTCATCTAAATATACTGCAAAGTAGATACGGTCTCTATAACAGAGTACTCAGGAACAAGTCAACTGAAGTTTTAAGTTTAATGAGTTGTAGTTCTTAATACTTACTTAGTAAGATGCCGACATAATACATCTTTACAAATTGGCTGTTCAGCCAAAGTCAGCCAAAACTCACAAGCCTCCAAAGCCACATTTTCATCTTGGTCCTGGGTCCTTTGAAGCATGTACTACACAATATAAAAATAAATATTTAAGTTAGAACTTTTTCATTACTAGTTCAAAGAGCACCTCAGCTATATAAGATAACATGGCTTATCCTTATTATGCTCAACATATCCAAAAAAGTGACAACTGGGGCAGTACCAGCATCAGCACCACATTTTAACACAATCTTCTCATTTAGGGTCAAGCAATGCCTTGACTTTGATCCCAGTCATTCTGGGATAATTATTTTAATGAAGAATAAACAACTGCCATATACACTGCCTGTCAAACACAGCATCAAGTTGGCAATTAGATAAAAAGAAATTTTTGCAATCTCAGTCTTGAAGGGAGACGAAGAGTAGGCAAGTGCAAGAGTAACATAGCTGTTCTGATAAATGGTTTTTTTTTGTTAATTCTTCTGCAATGCCAAAGAGTGGAATCTGCAGGCAATCTAGAAAATGTGACTCACCTCAACTATACTAATCATATGAGGAAGAAGGCGATCCATCCGTACTTCCAGCAACATTACCAGAGCACGGCAAACATTTTTGCGTACTTCAGGCTCCTCATCACCAGCCAGTGCAAAAAGATTCTGTTAGGAAACAGTAACAGTTGAAAAACCTCTATTCATCAAGTTCAACTTGTATTAAAACTGACACTGCTGCAAACTACAGTATGCAAATACGTACTTCTATACTCGCCTACCCTACACCTCAGAATACTATTTTATTTCTTAAAGCAAATTAACTCTTCACACTCCCAACATATTTTACACATAACCATGACACTGTGTAGTATTAACACTGGACAGTACTTCTTGAATTTTTTTTTCCTCCTGAATGTAAATTCCATCAGTAAACAGAGAACAGTGTCAGTACATAAGAGTAGCAAATCAAATGCTTTAGATAACTCAGTATCCTTCTCATCCATGTTTAGTAGCAGTATTCAGACAGACAAAGAGGCCCAGTGACATGCATGTTGCAGGACAGGTAAGAGACAGACTGCTGTCATGACTTTTGCAGCTTTACATAGCAAGATGTTACCCTACTTATGAAAATGAATCATCTTTCAAAATACATCTATTTTTGTGGCTTTCTGAGTGGTTAACTCTGAGCACAAGCACACAGAATGAACTTTAATCCATGGGGACTGAAGCTAAGAATGGGCAAACAAAAATGGGGAGCTGAGGGGTAGAGGTGTTGTTAAACATAGTTCAAAACTCTTGATAAATCAGATATGTCACTTGACTTAACTCCAACCAGTACACACCCACCTCAATAAAAGAATCTATGTGCAACATAAGAGCTTGAGTTCTGCTGATGATAAATTGATTGACGCATGCCACAGCATGAGACCTACAAATGGAACAGTTAAAATTTATGTTTTTATGAATTAAAAACATTTTTAAACTGTACACAGGCACCAAAACCATTAAACAAATACCTTCTACGGGCAAGTGAGAATAAATCTACACATCTGTAGTCTACCCAAGGAAAATTATTAAATCACATTTTAAGTACTGTGTTATACTCTAATATACTTAATAAATATTTTAAAATAAAGTATTCAGTAAAAAGAAAACAGGGCAGGATGACTGTGGCTGGCACATTTGTTCTGAACAGTATGTAAGGATATTCTTTTTGGGCATATTATGACTGTGATCTTCTCAGATATTAATAATTCCATAGAGTCAACATGGTGAAATTTTAGCATGACCTTCTTCGCTGTTAAGTATGCAACTTCCTTTGCAATATTTTTAGAATTTAGTGAGACCGATATGTGTCAAAAATATACCTAGAGCTTAGAACAAACACACACTTGTAGTAGGATACATATTCGTGGTAGAAACATTCTAAAAAACAAAGCACTGTTATTCTATTCCATTTCATGTAAAGCCATTACTTACAGGTCTTTTTCATTCTCAGTCACAAAAGTCAAATTCTCAAAGTAGAGGCATAAGGCAAAACTACCTCTAACGCCCTTTGAAGATTCATTACACTATTTTTACTAGTGTAACTCTAAACTTTTATTCTGTTCAGACATTTCTTGGAAGACTGTCCCATACAACATTGTTCAAGAATTGTCTTTCAGTGGATTTAAATATAAAGTATTATTGTATCGACACTACTAGTCCTTTTTATACCTCAGCACTGTGTACTCAAACTACCCTATGGGTGAGCAGGTAGCCTGCTTTAAATCTGAAACTGGTTTAACAGTCTCAAAGCCAAGAACCTTGCAGCATAAGAAAGAAGTGAGAGACTGTATAATACATTAAGGAAAGAAGCAATGTTTTCTTCATCTCTCACAGCTCCAAAGAGGTATGAGATTAGCTCAGTTGGTTAGAGCATGATGTCTTAACTCCAAGGTCATGGGTTTGATCCTTGTATGGGCCAATCACGTAAGAGCTGGACTTGATGATTCTTGTGAGTCCCTTACAACTCAGAATATTCTGTGAAACTTACTAAGTTTTATCTTTCCACAGGACCAAGTTCAAACTTTGTTACACATTATTCTTAGTGTGCATCTTTTACAGGTAAATTTCTAAACCATATCAGAATCCTAGCATTATATATTCTAAGTTATAATCTTCCTCTCAGTCTTCACTATCTACTACTCTTGGCAGTAAAGAATTGCCACGTCCAAGTTGTCAAATCTTTCAATATAATTTTCAAACAGGAGTTAAAACACATTTCATAGAATCACTAAGAATCACAGAATGGTTGAGGCTGGAATGCATCCCTGGAAGTCATCTGGTTCAATCCCCCTGGTGAATCAGGGCCTCCTACAGCCAGTTGCCCAGGACCATGTTCAGCTGCCTGTTGAATATCTCCAAGGATAGAGACTCCATCACCTCTCTGGGCAACCTGTGCCAGGTCACAGGTAGTCACTCTCACAGTAAAAAGGTGTTTTTTAAGTTCAGAGGGAACCTTCTGAGTTTCTGTTTGTGGCCACTGCCTCTGGTTCTGTCACTGGACACCACTGGAAAGAGCCTGGATATGTCTTTTCTTCCTCCCTCTCTTCAGGTATTTACACACATTGATTACTCCCAGCTCTTTCAGCCTTTCCTCGGACCTTTGTTGGACTCTTTCCAGTATATCCATGTCTCTTTTGCACTGAACTGTCCAGAAACTGGACACAGTACCTCAGGTGTGGCCTGACCTGGAAGATGAAGGGAAGGATCACCTCCCTTAACCAGATGGCAACACTCGAGCCCAGAATGCCCGTTAGCTTTTCTTGCAGCAGGGCACTCTAGCTACTGTTCTTCATAACAAATATTAGAAATAACAACTTAATTCTGGAATTTTTCTTCTATGCTGTTATTTTGGAGAGATTTAATGTAGTTTTATAGTGAAAAGATCATGAGCTCATTCAATTTGATTCAGGTGAAAGTTCACTTAAAACCAGAACTTTTTTCACCAAAACTCAGAAACTTTTGTCAGAGAAAGAATTTTTACTCTCCTATTGCTAAAGCCTTTAAAAAGGAATGCAAAATTATTATTTCAATCATAATATTAAGTACAACCCCTAGCACTGAATTTTTCATAATAATATGCAAAAACTTGAAAGAAACCATTTGATTTTCAAAATCATTGAGAGGTGAGATTGTTGCATCAACTAAGCAGACAAACATGGAAATTACTGATGCATGGAATCTTTGTTGATCTCTGCAGGATTATTTAAACTAAGTAGGTTTTAAACAAATCTACAAAATAGCAGCCTTGCTGCTCATATAAATAAAATTTAAACATAAAGTCTATAGGTAGCTTCAAGTATAATACATAAACCTACCGTATTTTTGGACTGCTGTGCTTGAAGAACTGCAAGAACTTAGGTATCATGATATTAAGTGGCCGGTCCAACACATCACTATCTAAAATTTCAGCAGAATCTTCACATATTTTCTGAAGAGCGCCAAAAGCACCCTGTTTAAAAGTAAGTAAATAAGTAAATAAATAAATAAAATCTTTCACATTCTGAATAACGCCAAATTTCAGACTTCATATACAATAGGTAATTTCAGCACAACATAGTAAATGTAGTTAGTTAACACTGTAAATGCAGTTAACTAAATACAGATTAAACTGAAACATCCCTAAAGGCATTTCATTTAAACCAACATCCACCAGCTCACAAGCTGTGTGAGCTGTGTGAGTCAGTAATGGATAAGTGATAAATTTAGTTTTATTCCGTTCATTCAATGATCATTTATTCAATCATATTTTTAAAAATGTTTAAAAGCTAGCTCTTATTTGATAAATAAATAGAATGGGGCAGGAGTGTCCAATTTAATTACATATATAAATATATTTTCTTTCATGATTTGTTATGGGGCAAAACAGATGACACTCAATTTGAGTTCCATTTTCAAGCGTTTTTTTTCTTTTTCTGAGAGAAAGCGGCACTAAAACACTACCTGACAGCATGGCATCTTGGACCATCAGTCATCTTTGAGGATCACTTTATACAAAATGTTTCATACACTTTCATGGAGACAGTATCAAGTAATTCACATGGGGTGATCAAGCAATCACAGATCACTTTTCCGGATTAAGTTACAATAAGAACGAACACTACTTTTATGTAAGAGAAAATTCAGGGTCAACTTAATGACACTGATGATGCCTAAAAGATTAGGCATCACAGAGTAGTAACTTCAGGACACTTCTCAGCTGAGATATGAATGACGACTATCCATCTGCAATGTTATTCTGCTTTTATGCAAAGAAAACAAATTCATTTGAATGAACAGTAAGGATGTCGACTGCAGGTAGAAAAAAAGGTATCAAACTGAGCCACTGTTCTTCAAGGAGAACACATGAACATGTATAAGACACACAGACATGTACACAATACTGTACATATACAAAGTCTCTGTGAAGAGAGATAAAAATAATCAAATTCAGATGATACTCTTTAATTTTCTATAAATCTCCTTACCTCACAGGTATTGTAATCTTCAGAATCCAATAGGCTGCAAAGCTTTGGCAAGAGTTCTGGCCAATTCTGTAATTCCCCTTTTGAAGCAATGGTTGTTATGAGAATGCCTAAAGGAAACAGAATAATGAAGGAAATGAGATCTCACGTACTTTCACATTGTTCATATAAATTTTTCTTATTTTTCTCCTCTCAGATGTCTTAGAACTTAGAAGATTTCTTGTTTTGTTAAAAACTGGCATGCATAAAAAAAAAAAGTTCATTTAATTGCACATGTTATTTGAAGGGCTTTGAAAAACAAAGGTGGGTTGTTCCCTCCTGCTACCTTGAAGGGCTCAGACATTAGAAATCAAGCATAAAGTAATTTTACTTAAGGAAATAACAATGTACAACATTTATACATATACATGATACAAAAGCATGAATGTGGCAATCTGTCAAATAAACTTACAATCGAGTTCTAAGTTATGTGTTCGCAACTTTACTGTGTCTACACAAAACATTAAGGACACATTCTACGACCTAATAAGAGCTTAAACACTCAGGCAGGTCATCCAGTTATGAACTGTGAGATCCAGCAAACAGACAGGTCAACCCAGAGGGTCACTAATTCTGTTTCCAGAAATCCCAAGAAAAACTAATTAGGTGACAAGAACTAGGAAGGCAGGTTATAAACTAGGACTGAATTTTTATGAGTTCATTTTGCCTTAACACAAAATGAAACAGGTAGGATAATCTGTTCTGCTACTGGCAGTTACTTCTAAGGGGTATGAACACAGAACTTAATACTATTAGAGCTAGTCATCTCTCAAGTGAAAAGTGATGGAAAAAGCTTCCCAAGTTTTTTCATTGAGCTAATCAGAACATATCATTTTTCTTTGGAATAAAATGTTAAAATTCTTGTTAAACACAAGAATACAGGACAACATTACAGAGCAAAGGACATTCTGGACAGGACACACAGCAACTAAACAATATTTTGCATCATGTTTCCTTTGATGCAATAGGCTGGAGAACCCACAGAGACAAAGAGCAAAAATTAAGACACAAGCTAAATACAAATTTTACAGCTCCAGAAGTAGTTTGTATCCAGTTCTCTTCATAACTGCAAATGAACAGAAATGATTCCCAAAAGCCTATGGAGATCTATGGAGTCTTAAAAGACTGCATTTTTCCTGAATATTATCATCCTGTAAAGAACATCAGATGCATTACTAGAAAATAGAAAAAGGCCTATTCCAGACAGCAACAGGATAAACTAGGAGGAAATACTTCCAGATGCACAGGCAACAAGTGACTTGAGGCCACTGGCCCTTGCAACAGAGATGTATGCAGTTCAGATCATACATGCCATTAAGAACTTTCTGTACAAATCTGTGGGAAAGCCATTTAACACTCTGCTAGTGTTTTTGAAATGTTGAAGAGACACTTCGGTAGAGACAAAGCGAAAAAGAGAGTAATATCAGACTACCAGGAACTTAGAGAGGCAACTGTTATTGCATTTGACACTTTGCAAAAAGTTTTAAGAACAATCAGGAAGCAGACACATAAAATTAAGTTTCAGGGACTTATGTTCATGCTGAAAAGAATCTTCATGGGATTCCAGTGAGCATCTTCTTCCAAAAGTGAAATTTTCCACACACACCTGCTTTATTTGGCCAGCAGGGAACAGAGACACCAGAGAAAAGACCAACACCTTCGTGGCTTTCTCTCCAGCACTTCAGGCACAGAAACATGGACATCAGAAGAATAAGCAAAGTAAAGAAATAAATCAGTGTAGTAGCCTGAAGCTTTTTAACAGCTTTGGGCTAGACAAGGCCCTGCCTTCTGACTATCATACTAAGCTACAAGGTTAGCAAGCTGAAACTGAAAGTCTTGTACTGTTTTGTAATTAACTTCAAAACAGTATTGCAGAATCTATTCTGTAGATATTTCACTTGACAAATGTGAAATCTAACTAATATAGCAATGGGGCTAACTAAGCAGTAAATACACAAGAGAACCAACTCCAGAGGGATGTCAGAAATTGTTAAAACAAAAGCTTACTCTTGACAGCATCTTTTATGTCACTGTTTCAATTACATGCAACCCCAGTTTACAGCATCAATTCAACAATGAAAAATTTAACATAAAGACAAAGCAGCTACGCTTCAGTACTTTTATGCCAATAACAGGACAGGGAGAAGGCTGGGGTTTTGATGGTGTTTCTTGGGAGACTGTAGCTCCTAACGTTGATTTCTGAACTCCTTAACTTTTAAAAGCTGAATTTCCTAACAAAATTTCCCCTCATAGGGCAATCATTAGCTTCAATTTCCTCCTGCAGTGAAGCTCTCCAGTCCTACTATTACTCTTAAATGCTCAAACTATTTTTCCTGCTCGCTTTTTAAGCAGGAACTACACTAAGGTCATGCCTTAGACTGGATTCTTAGAAAGTTTTAAGAACAGTTGCAGATACTTTCAAAAGAAATGCATTTATATCCTGGTAAATTTGTGGGTTCTCACAAATGCAGCTTGAACTTGAATCCATATTTCAAAGTTAGAACATAGGGGTTTAAAACCTGTACCACACAGCACAGAGAAGTTACACTCTGTTACTCTTTTGGGGATTAAAATAAGGATAAGCTAAGTAAAGATACAACAATGTGCAGTAATCATTTGGTCTCAAGCCACAGTTCTAAAATCAACTCTATTACCATGCTCATTCTCCTCAGCAAGGTGACTTTGGAGGACAGGATTAATCAGCTTGCCTCTGTCTTGGCCAAAAGGTATCAGCATTCATCTGGTTAGTACTAGATGCTGGAGACCACAAAGAAGAGCGAATCCTGCATTAAATCTTCTCTGATTCTTTATTTTGATGTACTCGCTCATCTCACTCTCAGAATTCCTGAGATCTTATTTGCAATTGGCTCATTAAATTGATAGTGCTTGAACTGCAAAACCCCATACTCATCAAAAATAGCAGCTCTAACTTGCACATGCCAACTCATGCTATGAAGGTAGTCTGGGTAGGTAGTAATATATTTACACCTAAGTAGTACCAAGAAACAAGCAGGTACCAGACCAACATCATTACTAAGAGAGATGGCTCCAGAGATCCAACAATTCAGATAGTGCAAAGCACATGCTAAACAGCAACACTTACGCAAGCACTCCTATATGCTGAAAAATCCCTGCAAGGATCACTTAAAGCTGAACAATGATTGAGCTACTAATCCGCAAGCACTTCGTACCAGGAAAAATTAAAGAGTAACTGCTTGAAAACAAATAATCCCTGCCTCCCTCAAAAAATCACCCCACAGATTGTCACCAAACAACCCTAAGATAGCAATCCAGGTGGAACTGGAATATTTTCTTCAGTCATCTCCATTGTACTCCACTGAAAATTCCTATGAATAAACAAGTAAGACTGACTCTTCTACAGCCTGAAACCAAAATGTACCTGCCACTCAGAGACATTTTTCTACTATCACTAAGAACATGGAACATTAATAAAATTCATAGTAAAGCAGCTTCACAAGTGACAAGACAGCAGGAAAAAGCTAAGAGATGAATATTTTTCTCTAGTCTATACTAGAATGTCTGGAGAAAGAATCCTATAGAAAAAGCAAAGGATTCTAAACGAACAGTAACTGGTAGATTATTTTATAAGGAGTCAGCCAATACAAGCTGAGTTTCTTTCTGAAGTGACGCCCATGCCCATTTTCTCAAGAGTATTCAAATATATATTTTATGGGTTTTTTTATTTTTTGAGCAGAAAAGGAAAATTACTACAATACTGCAAAAAATCACATTCTCAAACAGCACACAGAAAATCAACTTTACCTTGAAATAAGTTAAAATAATACAAATAAACATAATTTACAAAAGATGTGTACCAAAACAAAGTATTACAAAATCAGAAATTTGTGTAACAAAAAAGAAACTTCTCACTGGAACTAGATGATCTTTAAGGTCTCTTGCAATCCAGACCATTTTATGATTCCATGAAGTTCTGTACACCACACTTTATCTACTATTTTCTGACAGAACATATTTAAGAACAGAATCTCCTTATGTGAATGCCTTATTCATGGTACGATGATTCCCTGAAAGGATTGTGCATGTGTGTGCATATGGGCAGTGGAACGCAGGAAATCAGCTAAAAGAAGAGTTTCCTTGATGCAAGCAGAGTACTGAAGTAGTTAAGTCAGACCTTTACCATATTCCTGTTTTCAGGTCGAGAAGCTGGCAGTAAGCTCAATTTTAGAAGATTCAAAGAGTCTTATGTTCAGTTACATTTCAAGAAATATGAACTGAATTGCTGTATTAATTCTAAGATAATAAGAATCAAAAGTGTGACTTTTTATATTCCCAGTAAAGAAAAATATTAAAATATTGTGAAATGTACCATTAAAATGTGACAATTATCAGAAGTAAACAGTTTCAGGAGTTCAAGAACTGTTTATGTCACTAGTGCAGCTCTCACCCATATCAGTAACATTTTCAGTATGAAGAATACAGCAATAAGAGCAAACTTACCTACAGTAGCTCTAATTAAGGGGGAGGAATCACCAATGTTGTTCAGACATTCACTTTTAATGAAGTCAGTTACCCCGTTTGGAAAGTTGTGAAAATGTGCTTTTACGTTATTCTTCAAGATAAGACCGCTCAAGGAACGTGTTGGCTCATCTGCAACATAAAGTAATTACAGTCAACCTTCAATCAGCTCACAGGAATAAAGCAGACTTCCAGAACAATGCAAAAAGATTAAAGCTTATATAGAGATATTAATCTTCATTTCCTTATCTCTCCTTGCAGCTACACCCAGCAAAGGTTTCCAGGTTCAGAGTATACAAATCATCAACCATATGAAGCTCAACAAGGGAAGGAGCTGGATTCTGCATCTGGGATGGGGCAACTCCAAATAGATCTACAGACCGGGAATGAGATGCTGGAAAGCAGTGCCATGGAAAGGGACCTGAGGGTCCTGGCCGAGGAGAAGTTGCATCTGAGTCAGCAGTGCCCTGGCAGCCAGGACGGCCAATCGTGTCCTGGGGGCATCAGGCAAAGCATCATCAGCCAGTTGAGGGAGGGGATTGTCCCACTCTGCTCTGCACTGGGGCAGCCTCACCTCGAATATTGTGGGCAGTTTGGGGCACCACAAAATAAGACATTAAGCTCTTAGAGAGTGTCCAAAGGAGGGCAATGAAGATGGTGAAGGGCCTTGAGGGGAAGCTTGTGAGGAGCAGCTGAGGTCACTTGTTCTGTTCAGCCTGGAGGAGACTGAGGGGAGACCTCATGGCAGTCCACAGCTTCCTCATGAGGGGAGGAGGAGGGGCAGGCACTGATCTCTTCTCTGTGGTGACCAGTGACAGGACCTGAAGGAATGGCCTGAAGTTGTGTCAGGAGAGGTTTAGTTTGGATATTAGAAAACATTCTTCCCCCAGCGGGTGGTTGGGTACTGAAACAGGCTACCCAGGGAAGTGGTCACAGCACCAAGCCTGACAGAGTTCAAGATGCATTTGGACTTGGGCACATGGTATGATTCTTGGGGTGTCCTGTGCAGGTCCAGGACTTGGACTTGATGATCCTTGTGGGTCCTTTCCCACTAGGCATATTTTGTGATACACTTTTTCTATGTATTCAAAATTAGAATATCAGTATTACAAACTCTGCATTTTAAGAGGAAGTTTTAAATAGACATATAGGCAAGAATTATATCTGAAGTCACAGGATACAGGAGACTCATTAAAGACATCAGTCAGCAAAAGACAGACATTTTGATTATACTGACTAGCTTGCTGCAACACTGTTACTGTAAGGAACTGATGACAAACCTGCTTTCACCATAGTAAGATACAGAAATGATGTAGGGACTATGCAATAAAACTGCCACCCTCTACTCCAACAGAAATACAGTGCTCTTTTTACAAAATTAAGTACAGCAATTCCTTCAGAAATTAGCTACTCTATTCAATCTATTAAATTAATAATTAGAGAGAGAAGGAAAAAAATAATCTTTAAACAATGTTAATAGGTAAGTGTTACACAATGTGAAACATAAGAAAAATGCTGCTAGAATTGACCTGAACTGAATAAGAATTTAAGTTCAGACAACAGTTTCAGTTCTTTTCACTGAGCTTTCTCTAAGTTACTGGGCCAAGTGGAAGAATTGAAAAAGAGCAGCTTAAGATTTTTCATTTATAGTGGAGGAATATTTATGGAATCTAGAGTGTTCAACAACTTGACAGCTGGACTGTCAGAAGACAGTAATATAGGTCTGGATGGAGTTCTTGCTGTGACACCAAGATTATAAGCTGATGGCCTAAGAGCTGAGTAAGATACTCCTTAATCTTCATAGATTCTATGATTAGTTCTGACAGCCATACGCTTCAGCCATCAGCAAAGCTCACAGTCTTGCTCCTTCTATTTCAGTCAATCTGGAAGTATAGAGAATGGACAAGAACATAAAGTACAAGAAAATAAGGAAAGTGAAGCAGACCTCTGGCATTTGATATCATCTTTGGTGCTTAAACAGTTCATCAGTTGAAGATTTCTCTCTCACATTGCATCACTTTATATTAAAATCATATAACATCATTTGGTTCTCAGTAAATTTTCAATTGCTTTACAGAGCAAATGGATGCATATCCACATTACACACATATTAATTATTCTAGGGTTTCTGCAGTGCTTTTAGGAACCCAAGTGTATCTTCAAACAGTCCTATTTCCTCTAATGAGGGTTTGTATGACACAGGATACATATGTGAAAGCTACAGGTTTTTGTAACTCAGGTCCAAGCGAGCGTATGTTTCACCATGCCCTCACCAGGGGCAAGGACATCTTCAACTAGACCAGGCTGCTCAGAGCCCCATGCAATCTGACCTTGAATGTTTTGAGGGATGGGACATCCACAACTTTTCTGGACAACCTGTTACAGTGTCCTCCCACCCACCTTCTAAAAAACCTCTTCCTTATGTCTAATCTAAACCAACCCTCTTTTAGTTTAAAATCATTACACCTTGTCCTGTCATACCTTGTCCCCACTAATACGTTTGTCCCTGTCTTTTTCATAGGCCCTCTCTTAAGTACTGAAAGGCTGCAATAAGGTCTTCCCAAAGCCACCTTTTTTCCAGGCTGAACAACGCTGCCAGCTCTCTCAGCCTTTCCTCGTAGTAGAGGTGCTCCAACTCTCTGATCATCTTTGTGGCCCTCCTCTGGAACTGCTCCAACAAGTCCATGTCCTTCCTATGCTAGATTGCTAGAAGAAGAACTAAGTGACTGGGATGATGTTGTGGGTTTCTGTGGGTGGGGTTTGGTAGCAGGGGGGGCTACAGCAGTTGCTTCTGTTAGAAGCTGCTAGAAGCTTCCCCTGTCCCATGAAGCCAATGCCAACCAGCTCCAGAATGGACACCCTTTCAACCACCATCACCTCCCCGGGTGCCCTTGAACAACAGATATGAGGCCCTAGACTCAGAAAGTCAAGCAGAGATCAGGCAAGAGGAAGATCTGTCTGCAGGCTGCACCCTCTCTACCAGATGGGTTACAACTACAGTTGTAAGAAAAAAAAGAAGGGTAGTTGTAGTAGGTGACTCCCTTTTGAGGGGAACTGAGGGCCCTACATGTCGACCAGACCCATCCTACAGGGATGTTTGCTGCCTTCCCGGAGCCAGGGTGAGGGACATTGGTAGGAGACTTTCTGAGTTAATTTGGACCTCAGATTATTACACACTGTTGGTAATCCAGGCTGGCAGTGATGATATTAATAGAAGAAGTGCCAGGGCAATCAAAACAGCTTTCAAGGCACTGGGTAGATCAGTTCATGGGACAGGCACACAGATAGTATTTGCCTCAGTTCCTGTACTTGCTGGAATGAATGAGGAGATGAATGGGGAAAAGAGTAGGAAAGCCTACCTTATCAATAGGTGGCTAAAGGATTGGTGCCACTGTCAAAATTTTAGGTTTTTTGACCATGGGGCAAACTCCACAGCACCCAGTCCTCTTAAATCAGATGGGCTTTATATATCTAGGAAGGGTAAAAGGACTGTAGCCCATAAGTTAGCAGGGCTCATCAGGAGGGCTTTAAACTAGGTTTGAAGGGGGAAGGGGTTGAATTCAGCTCTCCAAAGAGAAGTCCAGGGATGAAAAGCCTGAGTTAAGAGTAAAATCAGCAGCCCAGCTGAAGTGCACATAGGATGTACATCCAGTGCACATAGGATGAGTAACAAACAGGAGGAGCTGGAAGCCATCGTGCAGCAGGAAAGCTGTGACGTAGTTGCCATCATGGAAATGTGGTGAGATGACTTGCATGACTGGAGTGCTGCCATGGAGGGATACAAGCTCTGCAGAAGGGACAGGCAAGGTAGGAGAGGTGGAGGGGTGGCTCTGTATGTTAGAGAGTCTCTTGACTCTGTAGAACTTTGAGGTTACCAACGATAAGGTTGAGTGTTTGTGGGCCACAATCAGGGGGAAGGACAACAAGGCTGATATCCTGGTGGGAGTCTGTTATAGACCACCCAACCAGGATGATGAGGGTGATGAATTATTCTACAGGCAGCTGGCAGATGTCTCAAAATTGCCAGCCCTTGTTCTTGTGGGCGACTTCAACCTGCCGGATGTCTGCTGGGAGCTCAACACGGCAGAGAAGAGGCAGTCTAAGAGATTCCTGGAGTGTATAGAGGATAATTTCCTGCTCCAGCTGGTAAATGAACCCACCAGGGGTGGGGCCCCACTAGACCTGTTGTTTACAAACAGAGAGGGGCTGGTGGGAGATGTGGTGGTCGGAGGCCATCTGGGCCACAATGACCATGAAATAATAGAGTTTGCAATACTCAGGGATACAAGGAGGGCCACCAATAAAACCTCCACACTGGACTTCTGGAGGGCAGATTTTGGCTTGTTAAGAAGACTGGTCCAGAGCATACCCTGGGAAAAAACCCTCGAAAACAAGGAGGGATGGACGTGCTTCAAGAAGGAAGTCTTGAGTGCACAGGAACAGGCTGTACCAGTGTGCCAAAAGGCAAGCCAGCGAGGTAGACAACCAGCTTGATTGAACAGGGAGATTCTGAAGGAAATCAGGGATAAAAAGAGAGCTTACAGACTATGGAAAATAGGGCTGGCTACTCAGGATGAGTTTAGGAGTACAACTAGGTCATGCAGAAAGAAAATTAGACAAAAGCGCAATTTGAAGTCAATTTGGCTACTTCTGTTAAGGATAACAAAAAGCGCTTCTATAAATACATTAATAACAAAAGGAGGGGCAAGGAAAACCTCCATTCCTTGTTGGACTTGGGAAGAAACTTGTTAGACTTATTGGACTAACAGGGATGACGAGAAGGCTGAGATACTTAACATCTAATTTGCCTCAGTATTCACCAGTAGGACAGGTGGCCCTCAGGACAACTGTCCTCTGGAGCTGGTAGACAGGGACAGGAAGCCAAACAGCCCCCCTGTATTCCAGGAGGAAATAGTCAGTGACTTACTGAGTTACCTGGATCCACACAAGTCCATGGGACCGGATGGGATCCATCCTAGGGTGATGAGGGAGCTGGCAGAATAGCTCAACAAGCTGCTCTCCATGATTTACCAACAGTCCCGGCTCTCTGGGGAGGTCCCAGACGATTGGAAGTTGGTGAATGTCACACCGATCCACAAAAAGGGCTGCCAAGGAGGACCTGGGAAACTCCAGGCCTGTCAGCCTGACCTTATGCCTGGCAAGGTTATGGAGCAGATCATCCTGTGTGCAATCACACAGCAGCTACAGGATGGACAAGGGATCAGACCCAGCCAGCACGGGTTTAGGAGGGGCAGGTCCTATTTGACCAACCTAATCTCCTTTTATGATCAGGTGACCCACCCGGTGGATGAGGGGAAGGCTGTGGATGTGTCTATCTGGATTTCAGGAAAGCCTTTGACACTGTCTCCCACAGTACACTCCTGGAAAAGCTGCAGCCCCATGGACAAGGGCACTCTGTGCTGGATTGGGAACTGGCTGGAGGGTCGGGCCCAGAGAGTGCTGGTGAACGAGGCTGCATCCAGCTGGTGGCCGATCACTGGTGGTGTCCCCCAGGGATCAGTGCTGGGCCCAGTCCTGTTTAACATCTTTATTGATGGTTTAAATGAGGGGATTGAGTCCATCATTAGCAAATTTGCAGACGACACCAAGTTGGGGGGGGCGCGTTGATCTGCTGGAAGGCAGGAGGGCTCTGCAGAGGGACCTGGACAGACTGGAGAGTTGGGCTGATTCCAACAGGATGAAGTTCAACAAGGCCAAGTGCCGGGTCCTGCACTTTGGCCACAACAACCCCAGGCTGGGGACAGAGTGGCTGGAGAGCAGCCAGGCAGAAAGGGACCTGGGAGTTTGGACTGACAGGAGGCTGAACATGAGCCAGCGGTGTGCCCAGGTGGCCAAGAAGGCCAATGGCATCCTGGCCTGGATCAGGAACAGTGTGGCCAGCAGGACCAGGGAAGTGATCCTTCCCCTGTACTCTGCGTTGGTGAGGCCGCACTTTGAGTATTGTGTTCAGTTCTGGGCCCCTCAGTTCAGGAAGGACATGGAGGTGCTGGAGCAGGTCCAGAGAAGAGCAATGAGGTTGGTAAAGGGACTTGAGCACAAGTCCTGTGAGGAGAGGCTGAGGGAGCTGGGATTGTTTAGTCTGGAGAAGAGGAGGCTCAGAGGTGATCTCATCACTCTCTTCAACTACATGAAGGGAGGTTATAGCCAGGTGGGGGTCAGTCTCTTCTCCCAGGTAACCACCAGTAGGACAAGAGGGACAGGCTTAAGCTCTGTCAGGGGAGGTTTCGGTTGGATATTAGAAAGAAGCTCTTTACAGAGAGAGTGATCAGGCATTGGAATGGCCTGCCCAGAGAGGTGGTGGATTCACCATCCCTGGAGGTTTTAAGATGAGGCTGGATGCGGCACTGAGTGTCATGGTCTAGTAATCACAGTGGGGCTGGATCAAGGGTTGGACGTGATGATTCTGGAGGTCTCTTCCAACCCAGTTAATTCTAAGATTCTATGATTCCATGACTTCCTGCTGCTGGCCAAGGCCAAACAACTTCAGAGTAATAGTAATGCCTCTGTGATAACATCTTTAAGAACAGAAGGTTGTGGCACAGAAAGAATTCCAGCCAGGGAAGAGCGGAGTGAGAACATGGGAACAACAATACAGACACCAAGGTCAGTGCAGAAGGAGGGGCAGGAAGTGCTCCAGGTGCCAGAGCTGAGGCCCTGCAGCCTGTGGGGCAGCCCATGGTGGGGCAGCTGTGCCCCTGCAGCCCATGGAGGACCATCGAGGTTCAAAGACCCATCTGCAGCCCATGGAGGAGCCCATGCTGGAGAAGGTGGATGGATGAAGGAGGCTGTGACCTTGTGAAAGGCCCAGGCTGGAGCAGGGTCCTGCCAGAGACCTGCAGCCCTTGGAGAGGGGAGCCCACGCTGGAGCAGGTTTTTCTTGGGTAGGACTTGTGGCCCCTGTGGGTGACCCACACTGGTACAGCTCATTCATGAAGGACTGCACCCCATGGAGGAGTGACCCACAGGACAGCAGTTTGGGAAGAACTGCTGCCTGAGGGATGGACTCACACCAGAGAGGTCCATCAAAGACTGTCTCCCGTGGGAGGGACCCCACGGGAGCAGGGTAAGGACTCCTCTCCCTGAGCAGCAGCAGAAACAACAACTGACTGCAACCCCCACTCCCTGTCCCCTTGCACCACTGGGGGGAGAAGGGAGAACATGAAAGGAGGAGTGAGGGGAAGTTATTTTTTAAGACTGTTTTATTTCTCACTCTTTGGCTCTTATCCTGTTAGTAATGAATTTAAGTACTGTTCCCACTTTGAGTCTGTTTTGCCTGTGAAGGTAGTCAGTAAGTGACCTCTCCCAGCTGTTATCTCAACTCATGAATCCTTAACTGTTTTTTTTTTTTCTCTCTGCTGTCCAGTTGCAGAGGGAGAGTGAAAGAGCAGCTTTAGTGGGTACCTGGCATCTGGCCAGGGTCAACCCATTACAGATGAGAATAGCATTTGTCCATTCACAAGCTGTGATATAACGATTTATGAGCATGGCTATATTTTGCTGAATTACTCTTGTGATATTGGCAATATTAAACTTTGGGGAGAGACTTTAACTACCTATCAATCTCTATCTTAAAGCTGTTAAGTCTTTCTGTTAAGAAATAAGCTGTCATTCTATGTTTTAACTAGCAATATCGATTTACTGTCTAGAAATGCAAAATGTGTATTGACAGTGACTAGCGTCCCTGTTGCACATGAAGATTTCTGATGCATTAATGAGACTGTCTCTGTTAAAAGAGCTATAATTAAAAAAGGATCTCACCACAGTAGTGTAGTATTAGAAGCAAAAAATTAGTTAATTTCTTCTGTCCTAATATACAAGAATATGATATAGAAACAGCTAAATAAGCTTTTCCACAGCAAAAATTCCTGCTTCTGTTGATTCTAGACTATACCTTAAGTATAACACTTCTGACTTAAACTGATATGGTTTACTATTATGTCAGAGGGTGGAGTGATGATATTTCAAAACATTCAGTGTATCTGAACACATAAACGACCTTGAAATGTAGTGACTAGTCTGAAATTAATCAGTGCTCTCAATTGACTCATGTGAGTCATGGAAAATAATTTAACACAATTGCCTAAGCTTAGGAATGTCTGTAAGGCACCAAAACGAAGCTGGAAATGTTCTGCTGATGCTGAGTTTTGCATATTTACTGAAGTAGCACCAGCTCTGCTTCTGAAGACATGTTGTAAATAAAAGTGAACTGTGGACAATATGGGAAGAGTATTGAACTGCTGATCAACAATTAACTTGCTGGTTAGTGCATTGAGCTTATCTGGCAAGATTTTGGTAGCGGGCTGGGTGATGTAGAGGTGGCTTCTCTGAGAAGCTGCCAGAAGTTTCCCCCAAGTCAAACAGAGCCAGTGACAAACAGCTTCAAGACAGACCTGCTGCTGGCCAAGGGAAAGCCCATCAGCAACGCTGGCAGCGCCTCTGGAATAACAGCAGAGACGTATGTGCTGATCTCTTCATTCTCGTGGCCAGTGACAGGACTGAAGGAAATTGCATGAAACTGAGCCAGGGGAGTTTTAGGTTAGCTATAAGGAAAACGATTTTCATCCAGTGGGTGGTTGAGCACTGGAACAGGCTTCTCAGGCACCAAACCTGTCAGTCCAAGAAGTGTTTGGACAATGCTTTCAGGTACATGGTGTGATTCTTGGGCTTTCCTACGCAGGGCCAGGAGTTGGACTTGACGATCCTGATGGGTCCCTTTTACTCAGCATATTCTATGATTCTGTGATTCTCTGATTTAGGAAGGGAAAAGAGTTGCTGCGCAAGAGCAATCACAGCCAGAGAAGAGTGGAGTGAGAGTATGTGAGAGAAACAGCCCTGCAGACACCAAGGTCAGTGAGGAAGAAGGGGCAGAAGGTTCTCCAGGCACTGGAGCAGATTCCCCTGCAGACCATGGTGAGACAGTAGGTCCCCCTGCAGACCATGGAGGGAGCAGATATCCACCTGCAGCCGTGGAGGACCCAGCGCCAGAACAGATGGATGCCTGAAGGATGCTGTGACCCTGTGGGTAGCCCACACTGGACCCATGTCTGTCCCTGAAGGACTGCATCCCCATGGAAGGGTTCCCCACTGGAGCACCTTGTGGAGAACTGCAGGCTGTGGAAAGAATTCAGGTTTGAAAGGGTTGTGGGTGACTGTCTCCTGTAGGAGGGACTGCATCTGGGAGCTGGGGACAAATATGAGGAGTACTCCCCCTGAGAAGGAAGGAGCAGCAGAGACAATGTATGATGAACTAACAACAGGCCCCATTTTCCATGCCCCCACACCAGTGAGGCACAGGAGGTAGAGAAAACTCGGAGTAAAGTTAAGCCCTGGAAGAAGGGAGGAGTGGGAAGAAAGGTGTTTTTAAGATTTGGCTTTATTTCTCATTACCCTACTTTGATTTGATTGGTAATAAGTTAAACTAATTTCCCCAAGTTGAGTCTGTTTTGCTGGAGACAGTAAGTTGTGAGTGATCTCCCCCTGTCCTTATCTCAACCCGTGAGACTTTTGTTATATTCTCTCTCCTGGGTCCAGCTGAGGAGGAGAATGACAGAGTGGCTTTGGCAGGCACTTGACATCCAGCCAGGTCAACCCACTACAGTAAGTTATGGAAAATTCTGTATTCTAACTAATAATGAACACATATCAATTAGAATGCCAAAATTTGTACATCTCTAGAGGCTTGCAACACCAGGAAAAGTTTAAAGAACTAATCCTCTGGTTTCGCTCCTACTTGCAGCTTCTCTACCAAATCTCCACACACTGAGTGTCTCAGCACTTTTCCTCTCTCCTGTAATTTTACATATCGTCTCCTATTGCAGCAGTTAAATCAGTACTAGAATTCTATTAAGAGTAGAAGAATCATTAATAAGAAATACAAATTCAGCATGATGGGAGCATGATTCACTACAAGGTCCCAAACTACATAACAAATGCAGGACAGTGCTGTAGTTTGAGAACATTATAAAAGTAACGTCATCTCTTCTTTGGCATTTACTTTTTGAGGGCCAGGGGGAGGATGATGACATGGACTTTTGCACTTAGTCAAGTACATAGAAAAGGAAATGATGAGGTTGCAAATGGAACTTGCTTAGACAGCATCTGGCAGTGAAAGAATACATATTTAGAGTCATTAATCTATCTGAAGAAATGACCTGATCAGACGAGTAGAAGTTTTGTCACTCTCTGTATATATCAAAGGTGAATGGTATATATTAAAAATGTGACAATCTGTTATTTGAACAGCTGTTAGCAGAAGGATTACCTGGATGAGTAAAATAAGGCTGTGTTATCAAACTGAGTAATTCAGAATCCTGTACAAACTGCTGAGTATTGGGAAACGCAAAATACAGGGCACTCACAACACTGGTGTTGTACAGGGTACTTCACAGTGGAATTTTTGACTACTTCTCCTTTTGTCTATATCCTATAGGTATAGCTTAACAGAAAGTTGTATGGTAGCATGCAAGCATAAGTCTTGTTTTATGGCCTGACTGCTTTGTTTCTCTGATATCCTTACTTGCCAGTAAGGCTTCTTCCCCTGATATGCCCTGAATGCACTATTAATGAAAAGAAAACCTCCTCCTTTTTTTTCCTAGGGCTGTATTCAGTGCACTTCCTTTTTTTTCTTTTTGTATTTGAATTCTGGCAGACTTTTCTGGACACTACAATCAGATTTTCAATTAGTAGTATTAGGTTGCACTCTGTAAACATCAGAACATAATTTTGGCACTAGTGGAGGTGTTCTTCCTAAGCAGCTGTGCATCTAGCTGAAGTAATAAATGGAGAGCAGAGATTGCTTTTAATTCAATATACCTTTATACATTTAATCTTTGTTACTATTTTAGGAACTTAGATCCTCTCTTTTTGTCCTTTTTTGGCTACATGAGAGTTCTTATGAGGAAGGTTAAGAGCATCAGTGAAAAAGAAGGCATCAAACTGTGGAATCAAGATGTGCATTTTCTGTGGACAGTAAACATACTCAGTTCTGAAGCTAGTAAAAATATTGTGGATACTACTATCAGTAATATCAAAAGTATTTGGGTTTTTTTTCTGGATTCCACTCCCTTCTGACATTAAATGAAAGGTGGTTTAATTTGTACATGAGAAGTGGTAACGGACATTCCTTTATTAGGCCAGATTTGGCTTCATGAAAGTGCTCAGCTATCCAATTGCACCTGGCCCAGCACTGCAAGCTAACAAGCACATTGAAATGATTTTATCATACTAATCCCTCACAGCAAGTATGCTTTCTGAAAATCTGGAAAGAGGTGGTGATATTGCTTCCTAGGAGCCATCACAGACCAAATCAGGCCAGCACACAGCCTTTCAAGTAGGAGGCACATCAGAACTGCATTGAATCAAATACTGCTTGGTGAACAGGAATGCCTTTAGAAACACCAGCAATGCTTTCCCCTTCTGTAGGAAAACATCCCACAGGAATGCTTGATAGTGGCATTTTAAGTACACTTAGGTTTGACATGAAAAAACCACCAAACATCAACAACTAGGACAGTCTGATTTTTATAAAAGCACAAAAAGAAATACCCATTGCAGCAGACTATATTCAGCTTGTAAGACACAATAAGGAATGCCTTGAAATAGCTGGCTAAATACCTCCAACTTACCCCTAAATATTTCTTTGAAGGCCAAGCCAGACTTTATCTAAGACTAGCTGAGCTTTGCTTTCCTTGTATGGGCTTTAGGGACTGGGAAAGACATAATACTGGAGATCCCATACTGATTCTGGATGTTCAGAATATGGAGCTTCAGGAAAGCATCCCAGAAGCACTGAATCATATAACACAATCCACAGCCCAATTATTTTCTTCCAAGACTTTAAAAAAATAATCTGTTAGGAAAAGCCTTTTTCTTAAACCTGCACTACAATATCCCTACAGAAGCATGGAAAGGAGTAATTAGCCAGCATATTGGTGAATGCCATGGAATTTTTAGCCATCTGACAAAATATTTATCTCCTAACAGGTAAACTATGCAAGTTTGCCGAATTTGGAGGAGCTGCTGATTCCCTCAAAGGCAGGAAGGCCTTGCAGAGATATCAACGCAAATTGGAGGGCAGGGCAATCACAAACTCCTTAAAGTTTAACAAATTCCAGATTCTGCAACTGGGATGGGGCAACCCTGGATGTATGTACAGACTGAGAAATGTATCCTGGAGAGCAGCCCCACAGAAAGGCACCTGAGGGTCCTGGTCAAAGGCAAGTTGAATCTGAGTCAGCAGTGCCCTGGCAGCCAGGACGGCCAACCGTGTCCTGGGGGCATCAGGCAAAGCATCACCAGCCAGTTGAGAGAGGGGATTGTCCCGCTCTGCTCTGCACTGGGGCAGCCTCACCTCAAATATTGTGGGCAGTTTGGGGCACCACAAAATAAGAAAGACATTAAGCTCTTAGAGAGTGTCCAAAGGAGGGCAATGAAGATGGTGAAGGGCCTTGAGGGAAAGCTGTGTGAGGAGTGGCTGAGGTCACTTGTTCTGTTCAGCCTGGAGAAGAGGAGACTGAGGGGAGACCTCATGGTAGTCCACAGCTTCCTCATAAGGGGAAGAGGATGAGTAGGCACTGATCTCTTCTCTGTGGTGGCCAGTGACAGGACCTGAAGGAATGGCCTGAAGTTGTGTCAGGGGAGGTTTAGGCTGGATATGAGAAAAACGTTCTTCCCCCAGAGGGTGGTTGGGCACTGGAACAGGCTACCCAGTGATTGGTCACAGCACCAAGCCTGACAGAGTTCAAGGAGCATTTGGGCAATGCTTTCAGACACATGGTATGGTTTTTGAGACTATCCTAGGCAAGGCCAGGAGTTGGACTCCACGATCCTTGTGGATTCCTTCCAACTCAGCATACTCTTTGACTCTATTTTTCCCTTAAGATATTTATGCACCTCAATTTATGCACTGATTAGTAAAATTAAGTCTTTTTGTAATTTTTCATATATCTGAACTTCAAAGAAAAAAATGGTTTGCTGCTGTTTAAGTAGAACGCTATGTATGGTATGCAGTATTGTAAACTGTAAGGGCACGCTACTCTGACAACTTCTGAATGGTAATATATTCAGATTCACTGCTTGACAATTATTTTTGTATATTTAATGGTGACATTAATGTGTGGTGATTGTATTGGGGGGGAAGTGGCAGTGGAGCTCTTGTTTTAATTTAACAGTTAAAGCTTCTGAACTACTTTTCTATATTAATCCCACTCAAAGATACCTTCCTGAAATGGGCAGCTGGCAAATTAACACCTCACCTCACATAAAGGTCTTTTTCTTGCTTAGCTTCAAAGATCTTTCAATACCACCAGGCCAAGAAAGTACATAATAGAATGGACTCATAAAAACCGTTGTTCAGATGAAGTTTAAATTTCAGACTCATCAGAAAACATTCACATCAAACTCATAAGACCACTTCGGATCCCAGAAATAGCTTAAAAAAAGCTGTTTCAAATTCTATGTGCAAAACTACATGAATTATTAGTGTCAGGATTACCAGAACACAAATTACCATCTGGGAAGAATTCCATTGAAACAAAAAATTGGAGGGGAGGGAGTGGGGTGCAGACAGGAGCTGTCTCCATGGTAATGTTTTATGTACAGTAAGGTACTCTGAATGACTAACTCATCACATGAACAAGATCAAGAATTGCAGAGACACTGCTCTATCTTGAACTGGTTTATAAAAATCCGAAGTGTTTTGGAAATAAACTTAAAAGACCATCCTTAAAGCCTATGACACAAATAGTATTAAAGCAGTGTTCTCGATTCCTGCTCATTCACCTTCAGAGTAAAAGATCATCTCAAGGACTCTGATCCTTGACTGCAACAGCCCTAAACCAGGCCATGACCAATCAATCCACTGAGATAACACTTGGTTGAGACCAACTTCTAGAGTCCCCATGTTTGGATATAATGAAGAGTCAGTTGCTAAAGCACAATCACAAGATCACAATCACAAAAGCTTTGTAAAACTGCAACAGGATAGATAACTGCAGTTATACAAGCCAGCAGAAAATATCAAGACCATCATGTATTTTTCTCAATATTTTCCCATTAGCCTAAGTCCCACTGAGAGCCTCATGGACAGGGGAGAGAGAGATGAATGCAAAACTTTACAGAAACTGTGCAAAACTAACCATGTCCCATTGAATGACAATGGACATATTTCAGTCAACCACATATAAAACAAACAAAATTATCTGAGAAGAAAAAGCAACATGCACGCACTCTAGAAGACATTTATTAAATTATTAACAGAATACAGAAGACCACCAGATTCTGAGCTCAGCTCAGGGGACCAGGAGAAGAAAAACCACAAAACCAACACTAAGGGCAGGGCTGTGTCAGTACATTATCTGTGTGGGTTTTTTACCTTCCAAACCAAAAAGGAATAGCTTCACTAACAGTGCACATATTTTCATTTACAGATAAATTAGCAAAACCAAATGGTGGATGAAGAAGGGCAAAGTAGTAAATTGTGTAGGTGTCACAAAAGAAATTCAAGGACAAAAAAAAAAAAAAAGTGAAGTACCCTCCTTGTCACATCCTTTGTGCAGACTCCACATCCCACTGCTGGACTTGCTCTGCTTTTTATTTTTCTGATAATGGTATAAAGTACATGGTATCTACAGTGGTTCCTTTCTTAAAGATTCAGTATCCTGGCTGATTCTGGTGTTGAAAACTCTCTCTCTCAAACTCAAAGTACTTTCCCAAGGCCTTACAGATAACCAGCAGACTTCCTAAACAGTATAAACAGAAACACTGGGATATACTCCAGCCTTGAAACAAGAAAATGTATTTTCATCCTCCTCTCTGTTTCCCTCCACCCAAAGTGAGTTGACAGAACAACCCAAACTAGTTAAAACCTAAGACAAAGTTCTTGCCAATTTTTGAATGTTACAGAGCCATGTATAATAAAATCTAATTCAAAAGGTAAAAAACAAGTATTTAGAAACCACAATATGAAACACTAAAAGGCACAAAAAGCACCGGTAGCAGAACACTACAAGAAAAAACCTTAGAAAAGATCCCAAATAATCAAACATAATGATTACAAACATATGTAAAGAAGACAGATCTGGTAAAATAGATCTTGAAACAAATTTCCTTTCTCTGTCAAAGACATCTCAAGTCGGTAGCTATGACATACTGAAATTACAATCTTTCACACACCCTGATCATTACCAAGGAATTGCCTGAATTTACCAAGAGGTAGAGGCTACACACTATGCCATATACAGCTTGTACAAACGTTTATAAGAATAAACCAACACTTTAATAGCCAAATGATTTCTAACTGTATTTTACTACAATTAAAACTTCAGAATGAAGATCATGAAAGACATCTTCGGACAACTCTAGTATGTATGTATTCTTCAAAGTGTTTAGCAGTCTCATTAGTAGGGAGATTATTAACGTAATGATAGTCATGATTCATCGGTTATTCCACACCTTAACTGCAGTCCAACAGAGGTCTGATGCTCCAGCACTTTTGGGAAGATTTGATAGGACATTTAAAACTGAATATATTCTAAAGTTGAAACTACAAGTACCAGTAAGTCATCAGACTTTTTCCCCACAGAGCCTCCTGAGAGGATAAATGAATTCATGATTACATGATTCAACCGACCAGAAAACTGCCTAGGGGCACCAGCTTTTTATTTCTTTAAAGTTAAATAACATAAATTTAAAAAAACGCAAAAATAAGTAAAATAAAACACTCACTATCTCAAGAACTTACCTTCAGACTTCAACTTCGTGAGAACAAAAATCAGGTAGTTGTTGAAATCTGGATACTGATTGAGTTGTTCTAGTTTCTAAAGAGAGAAACTGTTAAGGAAATTTGAAACTTCACATAGAGCATTTATAGCTTTCTGGATACAGAGATTATTAAGTGAGTTATGTACTGCTACATCACTTCAACCAGCTGTGATTATAAGGTCACGATATACAGAGAATGAACAATCTAAAAACAGTTTCTGTAGTTTTTTTTGCTGATGCAGTAGCTTTCATGGAGAAGTCTTAAAAAATCCAGAGACAGACACAGAAATTAACAGATCCTTAAAAATATTTGTAAAGCCGTATAACCAAAACAGGCAGTTGAACATTACTAACAACTGTGAATTCTAATGGATCAAAAAGTATCAGAAATGAGCAAAAAGAGCTGAAAGAGCAATACTTAACAGAAATTTAGTAAGAAAACACTTATTTGGTCTAGGAAATGAAGACTAGCTCTTAAACCATACTTTCTTAACAACTTCTTCACTCACTCCAACTATTTTTTTTAATCAAAAAAATTCTTGATTGGAAAAATATCTCTGCCTTACCAATTCATAACTTGGCTAACACTGGCTTTTGGCTAACCTATACTCCCCACTCTGTTATATTTGAGATCTAAGCATCCAAATGTGCCAAAACATCATCATAAGGAAAGAGTATGACAGAACCAACACACAGAGGGTTTTTTTTTTTTTATTTTACAAAAAAATACGGACTGAGAGTACTTTAAATTGGAGAACATTAATCACCACCCTGCTTGGACATGCTATTAAGTAGCATTCTGCGATACAACAATCCTCACTATTTTTTGTGGAAACAGTCTCAAAGGGGGGAAGGGGAAAGAGGGGTAAAAAATCTCAACAATTCACAACACTAACACCAAATGCACTGCAAAGTAGCACACGAAGCTACAATGAGTAGATCTCCCCCTTTTCGTGAATTTTAACGACTGCAGTGAGCAGCAGTATTTCAGGATCAGGCTTCTAGGCAAGCAGAAACATCCTCACCACGTACCAAAATGCGCAGTGTCAGAGCCGGTAGGCCCACGAGGGCGCGCAGGGAGAGGCTCCGCCAGCTACGGCTTTCGCCTCAAATCCCAGCACCGGATTCCTTGGGGAGGCCCCTGCCCGCCCCCCGTGCCGCGAGGGTGCGGGCACCGCGCGCGGTGCACCCCCGGCCCCCCCGGGGACCACAAGAGCGAGGGCCGCGTTCCCGCCCGCCGCGCTGGGGGCTGGGCGCTGGCGCCGGCCCAGCGTGGGCAACCCGGGAGAGCAGCGGATACCGGCAGATCCGCGCCAGAGCCCGGCCTTTAAAAAGAGGGGGGGCGGGAGAAATTTAAAATGCTCACCCAGCGGCCAAACCCAAACCGGCCTATGGCTCCGGGCTCGCAACAGGTGCTCGGCGCTCCCGGGGGAAGGCAGCCCCGCGGCCCTCAAGCCGCCTCGGCAGTTCAAACGCCGCGCCACGGCCGCCCGCTCTGGCGAGGGCCAGGCCCCCGCGCCGCGGCGGTTCCCCGGGCAGGGCAGGGCAGGGCAGGCCCGGCACGGCCGCCGCAGCGCCGGCCCTGCGGCCGCGCAGGCCGCGCTCCCCGCGCCCGGCCGCGGCCGCCCCCGGCCCCCGCCCGTGCGACCCCGCAAACCTCGGCCAAGGATACTTGTTGCACGGCTCTCTGCGTGGTGGTGTCCGGGGACTGAGACTCCTTTAGTAGCTGCAGGATTTGCTGGAGACCCTGCTCGTCGGGCTTCCACTCGTACTCCATCTTGACTGTCTGGAAAACAGCAGACAACAGGCGGCCGCGGTTGGCGGCGCGGCAGGGCCCGGGCGGGGGCGGGCGGAGAGGAAGGAAGGCCGGGCCAGGAAGGGGGCGGGCGATGCCCGGCCCGCTCAGGCTCTTACCCCCTTAAGCGCCCCAACAGCCGCCGGCCGGAGGACACCGACCTGCTCCCGCTCTCTCCGCGCCGAGCAGAGACTGAGTCACGGCAATTTTGTGATCCGGCCCGAAGAGCCACCTCGCGTCCTGCTGGGTCCTAGCGCCGGGCACGCCTCTGCTCGCCCGGACCGCTCCGAGGCCGCCGGCACCGCCGTCCGCCTTTGCCCGGTGCGTCCCACACCGCCAGGAGCCTGCGGGCGACAGAACGCGAGCCCCTCAATCCCGGCCGGTGCGAAACGTGCCCACGCCGCCCACCCAAGAACAGACAAAAACCTCCAGCAGACACGGCAAAAGCGGCGCCCCGGGCCCGGCCTAGCCTGGCCCCCAGGGACAGCGCTCAGCAGCGAGCGCGGGGGCAGCCGCCCGCCCTCGGAGGAGAAGCGCTGGCGCGAAGGCAGACCCACCAGTCAGAAACGTGGTACCTGCGTTACTGCCTGATGCATTTCTACGTCATTTGGTTGAGTGCTGAGCAGATCTCAGAAGTTCCCAGTTTCACTTTTAAAGAGGGAACAGGACCAACTACGCAAGGAGGAAGGGGTTGGGGCTGGGGTGTGCAAACTCAAAACTTAGAATACCTACTGCATCTTATCCTTAGCCCCAGAATATATTAGGAGAGATCTGTGGTCAAAATTAGCAATTTAGATATAAATATATATATACACACATATGTATATATGTAATATATATGCATCGCATACATTGTATGTATATAGCTGTTTTTATATATCATATATATACTAACGGGAAAAGTTAAGAACACATGCTGCTTAAAACTGGTCTAAAATGTGCAAATGAAAACCAGTAATTCCTTGGCTTTTTACAATCTTACTTTTAGTCACTGTGTTTGTAAGCATGAAAACTAGTTTTTGCTGCTTCTGCTGCTGTGCAGAACTCAGGTGAACACTGCACATCCCAGCCTAAATAACTGTCCAGAGACATTAAGGTCAGGGAACAATAGTGATTCCTAGGGGTGCATCCCAGGTAATTTGCAAAGTAGCTCTTTGTCTCATCTCCCCAACACTGACAGTCACCTGACAAGTCTAACGACACTCAGAAGTGTCCTGAGCCAACTTTCCTTCTATTACCATGAGATGCTATTCTTGAAGGAGACAAAACCAGTCTCCAACAAAACAGTAAAAGGAACCATCACAGGCAACAAGACAGCAGTGTATATATGTATGTGTGTATTTGTACTTATACAGTGAAAGAGGGTATTTGATGAATGAGGAAAGTACGCACCCACCGGAATAAGAAGTAGAGAAGTATACTGCACACTATATAAGATAAAATCAGAGGAAAGAACAAAAACAGCTTATGAAAATAAACAAAACAAAACAAGAAATAGGCTATGTTTCTTAACCTCTTCTACATAAGCAACTGCTGTAGTTATCATAGGATTTTTTCAGAGACAGACTACAAAAGCAGCACAGCTCTTGAGAGTTTATAGCACTTTAAACAAGATTGAATCAGCAAGGCAGCTACATAAAGGCATGCCACCAGTTACCAGGAAAGAATGGGCACAAGATTTACATGAGATTTTTGTGACCATGGTAAATCTCCACAAGTTTTCCTTTAACACAGGAACTTGTCAAAATAAAGGATGTGGATCCAGACCATTAACACTGATGTTCATAGCTCACACTAGATGGGTAGGAGATATCTTCATAGGGATGCTTGCATAGCTGGAAGTCCAACAAATCAAGGAAGATTCAGGCCTCATTCCCCTACTGCTGCCTTACCAGGAAGGTTGTTGAAACTTGCTTTTCTTTGAGACTGTCAAGTTTGTTTGAACTTGGTTAGAGCTTCAGAAGTTACTAATCAGAAATTATAACACAAGGACTACATTTGTCTAATATTATCAGGAAACCAAGTGTGTTAAACAAAAACAACATTAAATATGGGACACAAGGGAAGAGACCAGAAAGGAAAGTTGAGAGAACAGGAAAAAGCAGAAAGAGAAGCAGGCCATGGATCCATAAATAAGAAAAATATAAGTTTCCTTTCTAAGAATGTAACCAAAATGAAATCCTACCAACAATTTCCATTTTCTGCAGTGGAGAGAAAAATTCAAGTATGAATGGGAGCCTCTACAATTAGTGGAGTCATGTAAGTGCTTTAGACTATCATCCTCCAAAGTAAGTTCCTCTTCAGGTTACATATAAAGAAACCTAAGGAGTACACCTCAGCTTGCAGAGTACCTTATCTTGATAATTTCTCTTACAGTATTCTTACCTATCTTTAGCCCTTTAAATTATATAAGGAATCAGGATAAGGAAAAATAATTTGACTGAGACAAGAAAAAAATGCAGATTAAAAGGATTACAGTGAAAAAAAATGAGAAACCGATTTCTTTCTGTATGCTTTGCCTCTTTGTTTTCTACTACCTGTTTTCCTCAAGCAAGAATCTTGTGTAGAAAGGAATTCAGAATCCATGCTAACCAAAGCACCAGGCAGAGGAATGAAAGCTACCGTTCAAAACATAGCCTGGTTTGACCCACTCAGTCAGCAGAATGCACCAGAACTAAGTTTGAAACACTCATCCGTATATGTAAGGATGACAAAAGTTCTCTGAAAACAGAAGCCCTGCACAAATGCTGAGGCTAATACTTGATTTCTCTATTATCCAGCCTTCAGATGTCATGCACTAGCCAGAATCTAGTTTCAGTCACTTTACCCTTTAGAAAATTTTTCCCAGTCTTTAGTTTGGATTTTTGATGGTTTTGGTTGTTTGGTGGGGTTTTTTTGAGCATTCTAATAGCTACCATCTTGTCATAAAATTCAGGCCCTGATGCATGTAATACTGGTTTTTAATAATGGTAATCAAACATCTGATCCATTGGTAAATCCAGGCTTCTGAGTTTCCAAGTAGTGGAAAGTGCTTATAGTGTCTCTCTGTACAGAAGGCTTGTATGCACAGAGGAAATAATTCCATAACTTTGTGTGTAAACCCTTTTATGTCGGGCTAAGAGTGATATAGATTAAGCTATGCAGAAAAAAAGCTCTCATAATACAAAATGCACTTGTCTATGTGAAGGAGCTCATGCAGAATAGCTACCACTATACTATTTTGCAGTGCCTTCTCCTAGAGACATGCACTAAGCTTTCACTTAAAAAAAACAGTGGTAGTCCTCACATCTAGCATATGAAAGGAGAATCCATTCTAAAACATTTGGTGCAGTCTCAGTTCAGCCACAGGATACAAGATTAACATTTATTATGAGAAGATTTATTTGAATAGTCTTAGGAAGAAGAGAGTTTGACCCTGTGAAGCACTAGAGAGGTTACCAAGGAGACTGACAGAAAAACAGCTTGAAAGGATTTTTTTGTCCATGACTGCAATATCTATGAAATTAATTTTCTACTTTTCCAGAGCTATAGTTATTTCATTTCAGCTAGAGATACCAAGTGGAAAAGTACCATGTTGCTAGTGATTTGCCCCACTGGAATCACACACACTGGATACTAAAGTGGCAGTACATGCTCCTAATGCTGGCGGTCATAAATCAATCTAAAACTGAAAGGAGGGCTGTTTGAGAAAATCATTACCTCCTGAATTTGTGACATAAAATATCAGATCTATCAGCAAGCAAAATCTCTTCCCCATCTTCCCCCTGCCCCCTTTCAACCAGCCCCTCCAGGTCACAAGCTGCTTTATCCAATTCTAGAGTACTTTACTTGCTCTACTACATGATACATAGGAACCTCTGAAATTGCCTAACACAAGAGGTATTTTGAAGATATGGAAAATAAAGAATAACTATGGACAGGGAGGTGAAAATGGAATATCCTGCCCTGAGCATCAAGCTTCACTCATTACTGTAACAACCTACATCTATTCAAAGGGAGTATAGTGAGTATTACAAAGGGAGGAGTCATTCTTGAGAGTCCACTCTTATTTTAATCTATTGTCAAATTTCATGTCTGAAACTCAGCATGTGCTTGCAGCCAGCTTAAAATTCTTTCTAGCACTATTAGTGTCAAGTGCATAGGAACACTATTCAACTCCCTACTTAAGTATATAGTAATATTTCTTCCTCTTAACTGTAGGAGGCAAAGCAACTGGTGTCTGCAGGAGAATTTTGGTTGAACTTAAGTTTTTCTAACTGATGATTCAGGCTTCCCCAGGATGCAGATAAAAATTAAAATGATACGCAGCCTTTGAACCTGTTCCTCATGATAGATCAGAACTCAGTCTTTTGAAAATACCTGAGAAAAATAGCAGATGTAACTTAAAAATGAAGTTATGGATGAAAAAAGTCACATCCATGGATGACTATGATATAAGACTGTGAGAAAACAGACAGTCCCTGAAATTCTAGCATTTACTTTTTTTCAGTTATGCATTCATTCTTGTCAACTAAAAGAGATGAGTAAAAATAAAGAAACTAACAGATGTGAGATTCCTATCTTGACTTTCTACATGCTTGAGAAAGTGGCCCTAGCCCCTGCAAATCTTGGAAGGGAAGTCATACAGTGAGAAATCCACAGTGGCTGACTGTTCCTCTAACAGTGGCTCAGCCATGACAGACCTTTGTGTGAGGCCTGATAGTATAGGCATGTGATAAACTTCTCTCGCTCTTCTTTTTCAATAATGTTCAGCGAGAAAGTCTCCTCCTGCTACTGAAATAAGGAAGAAGCTCACCACAGTGAACACAAAGGACATGACAAAGGACAAACTTCACCATGGGACACTGCCAAATTTGGGTAAGTGCTGGCCCTGAAAACTATGCATTCCTTCTTTAAAATTAAATTATTCACAATTATTAAAAACTTAATCTAAGTAAGCAGCAATGTGTTTTTAGGCTAACTCCAAAAAAACTTGCATTGTAATGAACGAAAATACATCATAGTTCTCCAACTTTTGTCAATATGTAGTAACTTATAAAAGAATCAATTTTAGTGCAAAATATGTATAGAGCACTTATACATCTCCCATAAAACAGTTCACTAGCTTAAAGGCTTTTTTGTACAACACCATCTTAATAATCATAAATAATAATGCAGAAACATATTTGGTATAGTTTATATTAAAGTGTAAAAATTGGGAATCTCATTAAATAAGAAACAGATCCTGAGGCCCTTTTGCTAGTAGAAAGAAGAGACAAATACAAGTCAAATGGTGTATTTAGTTTGTAAGTATTTTTGATGGATAAATGAGATGAAAATTGTCTATTGTGGAAAAGAAAAGCTA